ACTCCAAGTCTCGAGACCGCATTTTCTGCCCAGGGCGCCGATCTCAGCATCTTGTCTCCTGCCTCTGCATTGCAGGCATGAAACACAGATTCCAGTCAAAGCTTGCAGCTCAGTCCATGAAAGCCGGCGCGGTTCAAGTGAAACCCATGCATTCCATGGAAGCGCAGAAGAACGGACCTTAAGGCAGCATCCCAAGGCCTAGACACACCCAGAGGTCCAGCAAGGGCCTCAAAAAGAGGCCTAATGCACTAATCTAAGCCCACAGATAGCCGGATCTTGAACTTCGAGGATCCCCAAGAAGGAACACGCACATTCACTGCAAGAATGCTCCATTCGGAAAAAGAACAGCGAAGTGCAAAGCAGAGCCGGCCCGTGGCGGCTGCGAGTCGCCAAATGTCGGGGGCTCTGCAGTCCTTGCGCTACTCGCGCAACGGCGGGTTGGAGGTCTTGGACCAGCTGAAGGCTCGGAAGAGCAGGAGGAATGAGAACACACCGTCACCACTAGCACTGATACTGCTTCCCGCTTCTACCACTGCTGCTAGTCGTCCATCCGAGCAGACGTGGCATCGAAGGCTTGCTGTTACGCCACTTAACTCGCTTGTCGTGCTATTAAACCGTAGTCTTTAGGAAAAAATACAAGGATTTCGCAGCTGTGCAGATGTTGTCTGATGCTGATGCACCGATGGCTGGCAAAAACATGTATCAAGAACGTGCCCAACCTTTGTGATCAGACCCATTCTCAAGCCTTGCTCCCATGCTAAGCTTTCCAAGTCGAAGGCCACAACATCCACAGCAATCCGGCAGGTGCCTCAAAGCAAGCAGTACACGCCGGTGAAGAATGCGGAGGATGCATGGCCACCCGGCAGCCTTGCATCAACGATTGGTGTAGTTGCTTGCAACATCTTGGCAAGACTCTTTTCGTCTTCGCACTCCGGCATCAGAGAGAGCCTGGCTGAAGCCCTGACCCTGAAGTGTTGGACTTTCCCAGGAAAGCCGTTCGCTCCATGCAGGCGCGACGGATGTCCCGGGCAGGAAGGGTACTTGTGAGAGAGCTTCGCTGGTTTTCTCGTGTGGCCGTTGTTGCTCCACGGAGCTCAAGCGATCCCGGCTTTGAAGCAGAAAGCTTCTCTGCAGGTCCGCGGAGCCCCGCTGATTGCCATGGTTTCGGCGCTGGGCCTGGCCGTGGAGGCTTCCTTATTGTGCATGACCTGCGATGCATCATGCATGATATGTGTTGTGCACACGCGAATGAATGAGCAGACGTATACAGGCGTGTGTATATAGAACTCGGTCTACCAGTACTCATACAAGCAAATCGTGTTCCCTAGTTAGCCACGCTGGTCATGGTTGTAGGGCCTTGTCTTAGAGCAGCAGCATTCCGCTATAGCATGCTATAACTCGGGTGCCCACTATACAAATCATGTGAACATACCTTTGCAAAAAGTGGGCAAACACACATCCGCACAGCATGCCCAAATCTTCAGACACTCGACTCGAATTAGTCTTCTACGCCAGCCCAGTATCACAGTGTCCGAGTATTGGATTCAAACACTGGCACGGGCTCAAGATTCAGATTCGCCCGGTGGGCTTTGTCTGGCAATCTTGAACCCAGCCAGGATTGGACTTCATTCAAAGTCAAAACGCAGGATTCAAGTTCAACATTTCGCGTTAGTTTGATGTGTCGAATGTTGTACCAGTTGCTCCAGATCTGCCGGAGACGTCTCCAGACGTTCCTTTCGCTGACATTTTAACGCATACTGTCTTGTGTCGGGTACGTGCCGCCAAACCCTCCCTGCAGAAGCTCAGTATACTCCCTGCTACTATACTGTCCACCCAATCCAGCTGTTTTTACAGGCCGGCATTATGCTTTAGGGTACCTGTGCATCGCCAATGTTGTAGAACACTGAAATGCAATTCCGATCAGGAATTCTGACACATATTCATGAAAGCAACTCTAAATCCGTGGGTATCCAGGCACCTATCTGTTCATCCTTAGTGCATGCTTCTGCAGCGCAAATCTCTCGCACATGCGCGAAGTTCACAGCAGAGGCTGAAGAATACCATAGATGGGGACTCCTATAAGCAAGCAAGCAGTTTCTGTAATCTCTACGACCTCGAGGGTTTAGGTTTTTCAATCTCTGCTTCACTCCTGACTTAGAATCTTTCAAGCCTGTCCTAGTCCTGTCTAGGCAGAACCTCGACTTGAATTGTAACTTGCTTCCCGCTGCATGATTTAGGCCCTTACTCAGGTTCAGCCAGTTGCGATGCTTGGATCTAAGTTGCGCTTATTGCTGCATGACCACTGGTACTACGGTTTCGACAACATACGGGCCCTCACAACCTTTGCAATCCCTAGACTCTAAACCTAAAGAATCAACTCATCAACTCTGACTTGTGCTGGGACTTGCACATGTAGGTCAATGCATCATGTTTTCCTGTGTTACTCAACTCAGCCTCAAGATTAACTGTTTGAGATATTTTTTTACAGAGCAAGCAATTCAAGCATAGACCTTAAGTTGTTTTCTACACAACTCTTGCAAGTGACAAGTATTTATGCTTCAGGCCCGACCACGTTGTTTCTTGAGCGGCGGTGTCTTTTTTAGCAGCATCGCCGCAATCTTTTTAGTCCGCATAACTGCACACAAAACAAGTCAACATGAATATGCTGATGATCACGCTGTCCTGAAGGCCGCAGAGCGGGCCAAAGATCCTCCTGCAGAGGAGAGAGCCCGCGCTGCACGGTTGGGAGTTTCAGAAAATTTCGGTACCTTATTTCGGGGCCCTTCGCACGAGGACAGTTTTTTGAGGGTTCTGTACTGGGTACCCTAGTACTTAACGTCCCAGTGCATAACATGTGTTGCATTACGACGTAGTTCATTATGTAAGTAAGATACATATGTATTTCGTGTTGGTGACTGCAGACTGTTGTTCTCTGGGCTATGTGCGTTTGTGAGAGCCCATGCAGGTATGTGCCTACTGAGGTGCAGCACAGCGTGCACGGAACGTGCTCACGGTGGTCATGTAGTTTTTGCAGCAAATTTGTTGCTGGTCCGAGTTTTCGGACTTAGTTCTGTCTTGCAGATGCAGTTGCCGAATAAGGATGTATAGCTGAACAGAAGTCGGTGCATGCATATCTAAACAAATACATGTTTAATTAGATTAAAACAAAACTTGCAAGCATACTTAAATCAACCCAAAATATGCATGTATGTATGTATATATACATATATATATATATATATATATATAAAACTATGTAGTCACACTGCCAACCTGAACTTCAACACGCATTAGCATCGTTCAGTCTGTCGTCAACTATTCACTTGCACTGTTCAGCATGACAGTTGCACTGCATCGTGATGACAGACTGTACCAGCGCACGAATCACATGGTAAAACATTTGATGCAGCTCATAACGGTGGCTCAAAACATGCAGGCATACTACACGTAAGGATTACTTGGGTTCTTGTACGTGTATGTTCACACAGATCAGCAGTGCATGCATGTTATATCAACATCTGTATAAGTACGTATGCGCAAACGCACGCACGCATCTACGAATCGGCTTGATCTACTCCTCTCTGTCTCCCTCCATGAATGCATGCATGTTGGCAGACAAACAGAGAACGAACGTGCATATAAACATGCCGATGCATACATACCTGTACGTAAAGCAGAAGTTTCGCCCTGCGCATGCAAAACATGAGCTGTGTATCTCACCTGCCTTGCTTCTGTGCTGAGAAGATTGTTTCTGCGGCAGGATGCAGCTGCGTGGCTTAGGCACAAGATGCAGTGGCCTCAATCAGAAAGATTCGATGAGGCAACGCGATATCATCACCATCCTGATTGTCATCATCGCCTCTCTTTCTCTTTCTCTCTCTCTGTCTCTGTCTCTTTGTCTCTCTGTCTCTTTCTTTGTCTCTGTCTCTCCCTCTGTCTCTCGCACATGCCTCGTGGGTCCATCGTTAGCATCGTCATCATCATCATCATCATCATCGTCATCATGGATCCTGCCGGCATCAGAGTCACAAGCACCAGCACAGCACAAGGGTCACCGTCATCATCATCATCACCATCATCCTCCTCCTCCTCCTCCTCCTCCTCCTCTCCATCATCATCACCACCACCACCATCATCATGATCATCCTTACTCTTCTTCATCCCCATCCTCGCCACCATAATCATCATCAGCAGCATTATCATACTATCATCCGCATCGTTCTCAACCTGACCTCTCCTCCTCATCGTTACCATTGCCTTCTTCGTCTTCGTCCCGATCGAAGATTGTGCAGCTCTTGAATGGAGTCATCGTGGCTTGGGAGTGTGTGTGGACTGGCCGGGCGGGTTTGCCTTTGAGGTCATACCTGCGAACCTCCCGGCCCACAGCCGTCAATCTCTCCAACGCGATGGAGGCTCTGGAGGAGGCTGGTTTCTTCGTGTTGCTTCTTCGTCGTAACGCAAATAAGATTGAATTGCAACTGAAGCATGTTATCCAGGTCGTCAATACCGCCGTTCAGTCGGGCTCCCAAGCGGCGCAGGCGAAGCACCAGAGAAAGAGAGAGGGAGCCTATTATTATTACTATTATTATTACTATTATTATTGCTATTATTATTATTATTACTATTAATACTATTATTATTATTATTACTATTATTATTACTATTATGATTACTATTATTATTATTGCCATTATTACTATTATTACTGTTTCCCTTGCTCAGCCCCAGGCTTCTTCGCCCTGCGCAGGTCTATGAGGCCTACGTGTGTGCGGCAGAGCGGATGCTCGAAGAGGACGTTGCAGCGAACAAGGCCGGATCAGTTCCATCAAAACATGTCATACACTATTAATATACTATCAATATACTATCATTATACTTTCAATATTATACTAGACTATTAATATACTATTAGCTATTAATATTTCATGGTGGAACGCAGTCGTTTTGTGACCCGTCCTCAGGCCATTGGCGAGGCCGGGGCTGATGCGATCCTCGCAGCGATGCAGGCGGAGCGCTTCAGGGGGACTCTTTTCTTGTGGAGCTAGTATACTATAGTGTATTACGGTATATCATAGTATACTAGAGTATGTTAATAGTATATTATGAGATATTAGGAGCTGCAAGGGCTATCGCGCGCGCGCGCTTGAAGAAGAGCTTTGCTGCTGGTATACTTTGGTGTATTACGGTAGATCATAGTATACCAGAGTATGTTAAGAGTATATTATGAGATATCCCCTGGAGGCCGGTGGCCGCGGTGACAGCAAAGCTCGGGTTTTGACGATCTGCAACACGGGCTCGCTGGCCACAGCGGGCTGGGGCACTGCGTTGGGCGTGATACGCTCGCTGCACGCCAGAGGCGAGCCACAAAGCTTAGTTTTTTTTCTTTGGTGTGTGCGTGTGTGTGAGGGGGGGCCTGTGATTTCATGCTGTATTCTGTTATGGCACCAGACTGTTTAGGTTCAGATGAGATGACATTCGTTCAAGTCATATTGGATTCTAATGATTATAGGTAACATCAGGTTATCTCAGAATATGTCACAGTTGGGTATATGACAAACACCTTGTATCGTATTGCATGCAAACTACTTTTTTTGGAGGCCGCCTGGAGCGTGCCTTCGCTTGCGAGACAAGGCCCGGGAGTTCACTAGGATAATGTAACACAGTAACATAGTGCAGGATATGCTGTAGCAGCATGAGAGATTAAAGTGCAGTGTACTGTAACAGAAGAATAGAGAGTGAGTGGAGCATCGTCTACTCAATTTTTGCAGACTGTCGGAGCTCTCTCTGTTTGTCTTTGGCCCAGGCCGTACAACCAGGGCGCCCGGCTAACTGCCTTCGAGCAGCTCGGCAATTCCATGGCAGTAGAAGCGCTGCTGAGACAATAAATTCTATGCAGATTCCACGAGCGACGGAGGTTTGTGGAGGATGGGATTCCGGGGACGCTGCCGCTTTGAAGCACGAAGGTTTATTACTTTTTTTCTATCTCTCTTTCTCTCTCTCTGCCTCTCTGTTTCTCTGTCTCCATCTCTCAGTGGCTTCGCATGCCTCAAATCTGTCAGTGACGGAGTGGCTCTGAGGATCTGCGACTCCATGGCAGCTTCGCTGATGCAGCGCTTCGGTGTCGATGCTTGCGTGGTGGGTGCAGACCGGGTGGCCGCGAATGGCGACACTGCCAATAAAATCGGCACCTATGCTTTGGCGGTGCTCTGCCGACACCACGGCGTGCCTTTCTACGTGACGGCACCCCTGACCACGCTGGATGCAGCAGCCTCAGACTTTTGCAAAATCTGACGTGTTCTACTCTGACGTGGGTTCTCCATTATGAATAGTAGCCTGTTAGTCAGGGGGGCCATAGTCAGGTCGTAGAGGGTTGAAGCATGTTGAAGAGCTGCCCAAAGCACGTGCTGGAATTCCCAAGGCCAAAACTCGGAGCGGCTCGGACATTCCCATCGAGGCGCGCCTGGAAGTCATGGTCGCGCTTTGCAGTGCTAGGTTTCAAGCCGTGAGCCCACAGTCCTCAACCACAAACCCAAGGAAGTGAGGCCTGAACGTGATTCAGACAAACGGACCAGGTCCTGATGCCGATCACCTAGCCACCTTTGCTCAAGATCTGTCCGGGATGGATCCAGATCAGCCCTATGAGACGGTGAGTGATGGCGATTTCCTTCAAGCCAAAAACGCACTCTCCAAAGCTGACATCACCTGGCATCACAGCCAGCCAAAACAAAATGTTTTTTCTTCATCGCGGCACGACAGCGCAGGGGGTGCGAGATTCTGGGAAAACGGGCAGGTCCAGCGCTGCTACGCAAAGGCCGGCTTTAAGGTGTATGCATCTGGTCCATCCCGGTTCCCACCAGGCAGCTTCCGGGGTAACGAATGTCACCACGCAAGGATCAGGTGGCTACACGCGTTTTCGGAACTTCGTCGCAGTTTCACCCGAACACTGCAAAATGCGAAGCAAGCAGGCTGTTCGCTTATTGCTCTGCCCCGTGCCAGGAACGTCCTGGAGACGAGTTGAGCTGCCTGAAGCTGAATGGAGAGTCGCACCGACTGGCTGCACCAGGGATTGAAGTGTGGACGCGCGGATGGAATTCGGTATCAGTAGAGGCAATCGTGTCTTGAATCGGGATTTCTCAACAGCCAGCGAACTAAGCCTGAGCCAACTCCCTGAAGCCGTCCCTAAATCCGCTGGGCTTGCATCCTCTACATATAGTAAAACTGAAAAAGGTTGGAACATAAGATGATTGGTGCTTCGACTCTTTTTAGGGTGCCTTTTAGGCCATGGGGAGCATGTTCGACGTAGTGTATTTTCACAGAAGACGATGCCCTAGAAAAACGTCCTTCCGAGGAATCCTGCCTTCGACGTTACCCCTGCGGCGCTGATCACAGGCTCGAGTTTAGGGTTCGGGATATGGGATCTGGGGTTCGGGATTTGGGACAAGGACTTCTTGAGGAGTCTTGGGGAAGTCAGACAAGTGCTCCGAGAAAGGGTTGAGATACCCTACATCCCTCAAAAACCCGCAATGCTAAGTCAGAACACGCACCGCTGAACCGCTTCATGAAAAGCTGCAGGCATCGCGACCGACAAAGGTCTGGTGCCGAAGCGCAGCACCGGTCCCGAGGCGGTCAGCGCTGTCTGTTGGGTTTCGGTTTTGGGATCTCAGGTTGGCTGGGAGGGACAGGGTTTTAGGGCTTGGGGGGTGTGTGGAAAGGCATCTTATGGGGATCAACTGGTAGGTCTTGGGTGTGTCTTGAGGGGTGAGCCAAGGGCTTGGAGGGGGGGTTTAGGGCTTCGGGGAGAGATTTCCTTTGTTACCGGATTGTAGATTGAATCCAAACTTCGGGTTCAGGGGATTCGGCAAACAGGTTGAAGTTGTGTCTTTAAATGCCTTGCTATTTGTAGCTCAAGCCTACTTTGTATAGAGCTGTTGGGTCCCCGGATGCAGCCAGTGTTCGGATCAGGAGAGATTGCGCACGTTCTGTGTTGAGATGCTTTCCAGGACTACGATGTTGCGGGCTTTCTGGTGCAGCCGAAGGGCAAAAGGAAGAAGCTGGCGTGAGAAAAAATGCAATGGGCCGCGAAGCAAAACCAAGAACCCGGCAGATCTAGAAGCTGTGAACCCTGAACCCACAAGACATCACGTCCATATTCGGACGGCCATCAGGCTTCCTAAACCCTAAACCCCTAAACCCTAAACGTTTAATCTAAACCCCCTAAACCCCTAAACCCCTGAACCCTATGTCTTCACCCCCAGGAAGACTGCCGCCTCCTACTTGCACTCTTCCCGTCGCAGCAAAGGGAGCTTTCCTGAAGACATCCTAGGGACCGAAAAAGGACATAAGCATGTGCTTGTTATAGGGATATCTAATTACGAGGTTTTTCTGGCAAATCCCTTTCCTTTTGGGCCCCAACCCTGTTCATAGCGACCATGCCGTCATGGTTCAGCATGTGTACCTGAATTCGTGACTAAATTCTTACATCGACTTGAATGTGCAATTTGAAGCCCCGACCTATACCCTATACCCCAAGCCCTAAACCTGAGCCGGGTGAATCCGAAGTAGACTCGACTTAAGACCTAGAGGCTCCCAGAAGCATCCTTGTCGCAGCTGAAAGTCCCAGACCTGCTGGGAACATCCTGCCTCACTCTGTAAAGGGAACTCCAGAAAGTTGGAATATGGATTAATGGTAGGATCCCCTATAATTTACCTTAAAGGGGTTACGATAATGATATTCCAACTTTCTGGCTTCTACTTTAGTTGATGACAAGCACACGCAAGCGCTAACGGGAGCCAGAAGAGCAAACGTAGCAGCCGCTCGAGCCCTGGACCCTGAAACCTACCCTAGGTTCGCGATTGCAAGCTCTATGCCGCCCGGAACCTGATTTGACTAGCGCCCTGAATGCGAAAAAAAGCATCGAACACCACCACTGGGATGGCTTTGTTTCAAAGCCATGGGTGGCTGGAGTGCCACTGGCCGCTTCCGGACGGCGCATTCGAGGCGCCACGTCCTTCAGCCCCTGAGCCCCTTCCTAGCTGCTTAGTTTTCAAGGTTCACGATCCCAAACCTTAACCTATAAGTCCCTAAACCCTAATTAGCTGAGAGGTTGAGGGGTCTGCGGTGGCATCTCCGGCAGATCATGATTCCAGCATAGAATGGCAGAACCTCGAATCCTCGACACCCACAAAACGGCCCCGCATCCCAGAGTCCCAACGCAACCCGAAAAGCCCTGCACAAATCGAAAATGTAAACCCTCGCACGCAAACCTAAACCCTTTAAGAAGCCCTTCTGGTGACCCTAGTGCAGTATGTAGCCCTTAAAATAACCCATCTATCATCGTTACGTGGTAATCATCATAGTAGCCCTTATACATCTAGTAGTATCCACGATAGCCCTTAGTAGCCCTCTATCCTCATAGAACTCTCGTAGAGACCAATCCCTAAACCCCTGAAGCCTAGACCCCTAAACCCATAAAGCCTGGACCCGCACCAAAGCCGACAAGGCATCCCTCACCGAGCTTTTCCAGCGCCGCTGCAGGGCGGAACCCAGGGCTACAGCCTTGCGCGTTCCGGGTACTGCCGAGGCGACTCTGGGAAGGACGTCGCAATGTCGGCTTAACAGTTACAAATATCATAATAAAGAAGAGTCGGAAACTACGAAGAAGATAAGAATCACGGTAATCTAACAAGAACAGTAACTATGACAAGTAAGAGTACGAACAATAGCAGCGTTTTAGGGGCCATGTCCTCGTAGTAATAATGGGACTATATGGGCATAATACCATAAACCCTAAACCCTAAAAACCCTAAACCCTAAACCCTGGCCCCGATCTTTGGTACCTGACTGTCGCACGGGAAGGGCCTGGGCTGATCCTCCGTATTGGATGAAGAGCAGCAGCCGGCGATCAGGGTACTGGGCCCTATACAACCCCTAAAGCCTCAAGGTCAGGCTAAATCAAACCCCAACGTCCCTAAAGCCTTAAGGTGAAACAAACCAAAGCCTAAACCCCTAAACCGTCCAGATGAAGACCCTCGTGAGGCATGGACGCGAAAGGACCTGGCGGCAGCGGCAAGCCGTGCCGCAGTGGCGCTGCAGCGCCACCTTCCCATCGCATCGGGTGCTCGGTTCAGAGTCTACTTAAAGGGTCATGGGACTTAGTAACTAGGGTTATAATTAGGGTACTATACTTATAACCTTAACCAAGGTACTTATAACCTTACTTACTAAGTCCCATGATCCTCCAAGTATTGTAGGGGCCCTGCAGTCCGAGCTTTTGGATTCTGGGGGCAGCGCTTTTTATGGGTGCCGCTACGATGTTTCAGAACACAGTTGAGGTGCATGTGTGGCGCTTGGTGTTGATGAAGGTCCGGCGATGGTCGTCCTGCAACTGGCCGTGATGGAGGTGTGGCAAGCTGAAACCTTGAGTGTCAAGACCTGGACTGGGGCTTACGATAGAAGGGCGGAGTTATTCAGATGTTTTTCGACACTCCAAGCCCTACACAACTATGCCCGAAAACGCACTGTCTTGCCTGCTCCGGTATCCAGGCGAGGCATTTCTTCTTGCCCTTGGACCTTCGGCAGCCGCCGGGACGCCTGGAGGTGATGCTGACTTCCGCAGGCATCGACCACGCGGTTCAGTTCAGTCGTTTCCCACGTCGGTTGCGTTGAAGTTACAGTGTAGCAACCTTGCAGTAGCCTTGGTAAGCCTTCATATGAAGCCTCAAGCGTGATCTCAGAGCAGGTGCAGGCTTGCTGCTGGCTTTCGCAGCTTCCCTGGGCTCCATTTACACGCCACAGGGCTGCCTCCTGGTGAGCGCTGAGGAGGCAGCAAGGAAGTTCCTGGTGTAAAGGTTACGATACGGGCTACTCGTACTGTACCATAGGTCCCTGCAAGGAGTACTTGTTGGGTTCTGTTTTTTGTCTGTTTCAGCCGCGAGCCTTGACTGGGAGGTGCTGGGGGCCGCCCCAGTATCAGCAAAGACACCGGAGCTCGGCCCTGCTCCCGATGATCTTTGCTATGTGCAGTTCACATCCGGGAGCACCGGCAAGCCCAAAGGCGTATTGTGTGAACACCGCCAAGCTGCTTGGTATGCTCTGTCAAAGGCAGCAGCAGAGGGTGTCGACGAATCCTCGTGTCTCATGCTGACGGCAGCCTTCACCTTCGATCCTTGCCAGGGCGATATCTTTTGTGCACTGGTTTCCGGCGCAGTGCTTGCCCTCGTGCCGCGCGTGCGTCTGCTACAGGACTTGACACAGGTCCTCCGGCAATCGCAGGCCAGCCACTTGTGTGCGACCCCGGCGCTGTGGCGTCTTGTCGACGATGCCGAACTTCCGCATCTGCGGTTCCTGGCACTCGGTGGCGAGAAGATGCCGCCGGCCATGGTCCGGAAGTGGGCGCCGCTCCTGCAGCTGAGGAACGTCTACGGCGTGACGGAGGCCACCGTCTACCAAACGGCCATGCAGATGACTTCGGAGACCCGGCCACAGACGGCCGGCTGGCCTTTACCCGGAGTACAGGTGAAGATTGTAGGTTGGGAGGAGGCTGAAGAGGAAGAAGAAGCTGAGGAAGGCGAGATCTGCCTGGGTGGTCCTGGCCTGGCCCGTGGCTATCTTGGACTTCCAGCCTTGACGGAGGAGCGGTTTCGGAGGCTGCCTGGCGGAGGCTGGGCTCTTGTCAAGGGATTTAGTTTAAGTTGCCATAATAGGGATCTATAGTAAATAATATGGGTTCCGTATTATGGTAGCTTAAAAGTAAATCCTTTGACAAGAACCCAGGAGGTCGCTGCTATCATACCGGGGACTCTGGGCGATGGCTTGCCTCCGTGGGCTCGCATCCTTGCCTGGAGGTGCTCGGACGCCGGGACTCGCAAGTAAAGCTCAATGGAGAGAGGATCGAGCTGGGAGAAGTGGAGCAGCTGCTGGGCATGAGCCCTGTAGTTACTCAGTGTGCCGCCATGCCTTGGGGAGATCAGGCCTCTTGTCTTCGCAGCTACTACAAGCTTCTAATAGGTTCTCATAAGAACTCTCAAGAGTTTCGTCAGGGTGTCGCATTTTTGCATGCCATGCATATATGTATACAGGCATGATCATGCATGCACATATGCATGTGTTTATACATATAGAGATACATGCACACACGCTCTAGCAGGTTTTGTGATGCATCGCAAGATCTCAGGGCAACCTCTTGGCGTTCGTCGTCTTGGCCAAAGGCGAGGCGTTGGATGGTTTGGCTTACTTGGCGCTCATGGCCCACTGTGACAGCCACCTACCGCGGATCATGCGACCTAGGAGGCCGCCCACTTGGGACGTGTAGTGCGGTTTCGAGGACTTTGGGGACCTATAATGGAGTTTTCAGGTTGAGATTTGTAATCGGGGTTCTAGGATTCTAGGGTGTGGGACTTGTGTCCACAGCACTGCTGGAGGTCTGTCGATCATAGGAGGGCAGAAGTCGGCGCTGAGGCTGGTGGCCCTGGACACTCTGCCTGTCACACCGAACGGGAAGATTGACCGGAGAGCTTTAATTGCTCCCCAGCTCGCCACGGAAGTGGACAAAGACGTCGAACGAGAGCCTCTGTCGCCTCTGGAAGAAGCCATCGCCGCGGCATGGACCTCGGAGCTCTCACTGAAGAACCATCTGGGTCCTGGGGCGGATTTCTATTTGCTTGGAGGAGGTAGTGTGCACGCAGTTCGTGTAACACGCCTCCTGCGTGCGGTGCTGCATGGCGGTGGTGGTGGAAAGGCAAAGTGGGCTGAGGGCACCAGTGACTGGCGTAATCCTGCTGGAGATGCTTCTTTGTTCCTACCGCCCGAACGAGCCGGCGATGCGGAGTGCCATTTCGGTTTGTGCGACGGAGGCCCTTTCGCTCCCTGCGCTCTTCTCGAGCGACCTGTGCTCCGGAACTACGCATCCTTCCTGGCGGAAGCCGGCGTTCGGGTTGGCAAAGACCCGACGACGGAGGCTGTGGACGCCGTGGACGCCGTGGAATCGGACCCTGGAGCAAACTTGCCTCGAGCTCTGGAGACTGCCCTTCGAAGCGGCCGGGAGGTGCTGGCGCACGCCCTGCTGCTAGCCAAAGCCTCAGCGACTGGAGGGCTGGAGCGAAGGCAGCGGGGGACATGCCCGCTGCACTGGGCAGCCCAACGCTGCAGCGGACGTGTGGTGGGAGCGCTTTTGGCATTCAGAGCCCACGTGACGCAGGCCACAGAGGCAGGGGCAGTTCCTGCCCAAGTGGCCGCAGCCGCCGGGAACGCCAGTGCGCTGCGTGCGCTGTTGGAGAACGGGACTCCCGCCTGTGTGCGCGATGCTTCAAAGCAGTCCCTGTTGCATTATGCAGCCCGCTCCGGGAGTGCCGCCTCCTTGCAAAAAGTTTTCGATGTTGTAGGATCAACCAAGCATCAGGCAAGAGGTTTGCAGAAACCGAGAGCCTCGATTGACCATCTCAGGTGGATGTCATCCGCCTGGCCGTTCAGCACGGTGCTGAGGTGGACTGTCGCGACAAGCAGCTGCGGACGCCAATCTCCAATCGGTTTGTATGTCCAGTTGTGAGGCACCCAAGCACGCGCCCAAAATCCTAGACCGAGACGCAAGCTTCACAACCAAAACACCTGCAAGCGAAGCCAACTTCGCCAACACCCCAACCACCGGAACGACGCAGCACAAAAGGGCTCAAATCTTCATGCGACTTCGCCAACACAATCCAACATCAGCCCCCGGAGCAACTCAGCACGAAAGGGGTCAAACCTTCATGCGAAACCAATTTCGCCAACACTCCAACCCCCGAAGCAATGCAGGACGAAAGGGGTCAAACCTTCATGTGAAGCCAACTTCGCTAACACAATCCAACATCAGCCCACGGAGCAACGCAGCACGAAAGGGGTCAAACCTTCCTGCGAAGCCAACTTCGCTAACACCGCTAGAGCTCAACATCTACAAACAATGCTATGCATCCGACTCTCTTGAGATCCCCACGTCAACCCCATCTCAACTTTCAGCCGTGCAAAGCACGCGCACTCATAAACTCTATAACCCAAGGACAGCCCTCCACTGGGCGGCCCTCTCTGGTGATGCGGCAGTGGTGGCAGCGCTGTTGGCAGCGGCCTGCGATCCGCAGCCGTCGCTTGGCTCGGCTTTATGATACCAGCAGTGTGCCCATCTCATCCCATCTCCCCAGAAAGAGCAGACTGTTAAACCTTAAACATCCTTAAACCATAAGGCCCTGAGCCAAGCCCCGCTGCAGCGGCGGTCCAGCTCTCGTGGAAGCTGAGGCCGAAGGTTTCTGCCTCACTGCACGAGCGGCGAACGCGGCTCGCCCAGGACTCGGTGCACTTCGGGACATGTCTGGCAAGCATCGCTATTGCAGGAGCACTTCGCCGGCGGCAGCAGTGAAGTGGTAGTAGTCGCCCACAATCATCGGCACCAGCTTTCCGGTCGAGATGGTTTGAAGTCGGAAGTAACTTACTATCGACGCTGCTGGAAGATCGTAGGATCATGCAGCCTCGAGCTCGTCCTGCAACACTTCGAAGCCCTAAATATTGCAGGAGTCGCCGCTGGAACTGGCAGTTTCCAGGCACCCTGGTCACCTTCTGGACGGTAGGAAGCCCTTAAAGCCCTTAATGTGTTGGGTGTGGGTTTTTTTGAGCCAGGGTTTAGGGTGTAGGATTTTTGATCCAGGGTTTGAGCAGCTTCTGGCACATGGGGGCCGTTCTACTTGGACACATTTGGCCTTTCTTCATATGCAATAACCGTGTTTGGTTGTTCCCTTAGTACAAAGAAAGTCTCAGACAGAACCCTAAGGACCCGCCTGCAGTCTGATCAAGCCCTGTAGAAAACCTATGAAACCAATCAATCTAGCCATCTGTCTATCTGTCTATCTATCTGTCGATCTCTCTGTGTATATATATATATATATATTCATATGTCGCTCTCTCTCTCTCTCTCTCTCTCTCTCTCCCCCCCTCTCTCTCTCTGTCTCTCTCGCTCTCTCTCTCTCTCTCTATCTCTCTATCTCTCTGTCTCTCTCTCTCTCTCTCTCTTTCTCTCCCTCTATCTCTGTCTCTATCTCTACGTCTATGTCTATCTCTATCTCCATCTCCGTCTCCATCTCGATCTCCATCTCGATCTCCATCTCCATCTCTATCTCAATCTCTATCCCTCTCCCTGTCGCTATCGCTATCGCTGTCTCTATCTCTCTCCCTGTCCCTGTTGCTATCGCTATCGCTATCTCTACCTCTGTATGTATCTCTATCTCTACGCCATGCCTATCCCTCTCCCTGTCCCTGCTGCAGCTATCTCTATCTTTATCTCTATCTCCATCTCTTTCTATCTGTCGCTCAATATACATATTATATCTAAGTTTCTATCTTTTATACACGCACAAATCCCAGCCTGATGTGGCAGCTTGCGGTCTGTGAGGCATCCAGCGAACAACGAGTTGCATTCTTTGCTGCGTGCTGCAGAGCAGGAGAAAATGCGCGCGTCTCGTAGTGCCAAGTAGCTTCAGGGTTTAGGGCATTAAGATGCATCAAGTAGTAATGAGATGCCACGTAGCAGTAAGCAGCAGCAAAAGTAAGTAGTGACAGTGTCAGAAGTAGCAGTTGAGCAGTGACAATGAGCAGCTACTGTGACAAGATCATCAGTCATTTCTTGTTGCTTGTATCATGACTATAAGTATCTGTCCTCATCTTCTTATTCTACTTCATTTCTTACTTCGAGTCATGAGCAGCCAGTTGCAGTCAGAAACTTCTGGCGTTGGCCTTTGCTAAGGCGGATTCTCCGGGTTTTCAAGACGGAGCACTTCGCCTCGGCAGATGCGGTGCTGCTGGAGTGGGAGCCTCACTCGGGCCTAGTTGTGGCAAACCGTGAAACCAGGCTCTGGAGCGCAAGCTCATAACAGAAGTAGTAGTAATAGTACTAATAGTAGTAATAGTATTCATAGTAGTAATTAGTAGTAATAGTATCACGTAAGATTCTGTCTTCCGCTGCAACGTCCATAAGGCTCAAGGGCCAGCGTTGCTTTCGGGTGGCCGTGCTCCTTCCAGAGACGGATGCGACCTCGGACGCTGCGGTGGTCTTGGAGGACTGCTCTGCTTGTAGCGTTCTGTGTCGGGCACGGGGGCTTGATTTTGGAGGCTAGGGAGAAGAGGCAAAAAGGCGGTGCTTGCTCCAGATGGTGTGAGTAAAGTAAAGCGCAGAAAACACAGTGTCGGGAAGTGAGCGGCGTGAGCGGCTCCCCGATATGGCTCAGTCAGCTCCTGCTGGTTGAGCCCATGTTGTGCAGAGAGTAAAGGCCTCGGACAACACGCGACCGGGTGGATAATGGTCTTCGGTTTAAGAGCGCGAGAATCCTGAGCCGGCTTCGCCGGAGCACGAAGTGCCGAAGCATGACTCAGGAGCGCGGCCCAGACCAAGGGACCTGGGTCCTCCAAATCGAGCAGCTGCCACTTGGGTCGGCCAGGCACTTGGGTTGCGGTGCTCTCCGAAGCAACATACTTCTGTAGCGTGGGCTGATACAACCACATCCCACACAGCGCGGACAATGTACAACGCAGGCATGTGCGGACATGTACATCTCAATCTAGCTACAACTGTAGCCGCAGCAACAGCTACCACGACTGCTTCTAGTTGCCACTCCTCCTCCTGCTGCTGCACCAGCTAGTCCTACTCCTACTACTCCTACTACTCCTACTACTCCTACTGCGCCTCCCCCGCCTACTATCCTTACTCCTCTGCTGCTGCTGCTGCTGCTACTGCAACGTCACTGCTACTGCTATTTCTACTGCAACTGCAACTACAACTACAACTACTACCACCGCCTCTGCTTTTGCTTCTGCTTCTGCTTCTACTTCTCCTTCTTCTAGTCCTGCTCCTGCCTGCGACTGCGACGACGACGACAACGACGGCTGCCAATATGATGAGCATTGCTATGATTATGCTTCTTAGCGCTATCGAGAAAGACTTTTGCTTGTTGATGAACCATGATTCGAAGTACTCCGTCAGAATCATGACCGTGATTCGTGATTTGTTCTTCCTCACGCTATGATTCCTCTGCAGGTGTCTCAACCCCAAACCCCCTAAACCCCCTAAACCCCCTAAACCCCCTAAACCCCCTAAACCCCCTAAACCCCTTAAAGCCCCTAAACCCCCTAAACCCCCTAAACCACCTAAACCCCTAAACCCTAACCCCCTAAACCCCCTAAATTACCCAGGTGCTGCAGATCTTCGAAGCCTGCGCAGCCCCTCAGAGCTGCCAAGCCTTCAGCGCGGCCAGCGAGGCTGCGGCTGTCAGGGCTGGCGACGAGTGGGGCCGAAATCATGGGGTTCCGTTTAAGGGTTGCTGTAAGGGCAGTATAAAAGGGCTCTATGATACAGGGGCTTGAATAACTACCAACACTGATTACGGTATGGGTTCCTTGGACTGGTTCTGCGATTGCTGCCACTGGGACGACTGCAACTGCGGTTGTTTGGCGATCTACGTGGATGGGATCTGACACCCACTCGCCAAGTTGCCAAGGAGTGCGGCAGGACTTTCGAAGTGGCAGTCACGTGCGCAGCTTGACCTACAGTAGACAATGCGAATTGAACACAAGTCGGCCACCGCTGTCAGTTTCGCACATTGAGCAGTGGATGACACCTAGGATCACATCATAGATCCAAAATATGTTATCGCTTTCGCCGTCAGTACATATATATATATACATATGTGTATATGTATATGTATGCGTATGTTGATGAGCACACAATATGACAATAACTGTCGTACGGTCGTATCATAGTAGAGAGGAAAAGCGTAACAAGAACACGACGCCCACTTGATGTCAGCTTGTGTTACCCCAAGTACTATGATAATAGACCGCAGCGCAGTGAAAACTTTTCATTATAGAATACCATTACAAGGCAGCTGAAAGATGAACCCAATACCAGCATAGCACGAACGAAAGATAGAACCGTATCAAATCATCATGTCATCATCATGATCGGCACTGCAAGCCGCGGGTTGTCGTAGCCTCGCAGACGGCAAAGTTGTCAAACACAACAAGTCAAGAAACTTTCCAAACAGAACCATATCAAAACAAGGGAAGCGAACAGAGCAACATGTCCCCCCCCACAACACGAGCACAGAGGGAACGGCAAACGCAGGCCGACGACGGGGCTTCTAGCGCTGCTGCCCTGCTGTTGGGTCGGGCGCTGGGCGTGCTGTGGGTCTTCTGAAACTGGTTCCTTTTACTTACGCGGTTAATTACTATCATTAGGCTACTATAAGGGCTCTATAGTCGAGGGAGTCTAGGGACCTTGAATGGTAGGTGAGTGCAATAATGCTACAACACACCCCCTCCTCTCCCAAAAAAACAAAAGGCTAAACCCTAAGCCTAGGCCAGGAGCTTCTGGCTTTGCAGCAGCAAGGACTGCAGCCACTGGCCGGAAGCACAGAGTTCTCGCAGTGTGCGACATGGTTGCCTCGGATCCGTGAGGGATCTGTAGTAGGGGGGGGATCTATATGATCAGGGATCTATAAGGGATCAATTCTATGGGGCTCCGTATTATGAGGGATCGGGATGTGCACATGGATCGTCCGGAGAAGTTCCTTGTTACGAGCTGGTCTGCTTTCTGGCATCCGGATCCGCTTTCTCGCCTGTCCTCTGCTTGTGCGGAGCTTGCAAAGCCGAGCGGCTCAGCTTGTTTCCATGGTGTAGCCGTGGGAGGCTTCGAACGTCAGCTTTTAGGTACCATGCAGATTCTCCAAAGCTACCACTGGGATTCTTGAAGCTCTCCAGCCGATGCCACATGGGTATCCGAAGGAAGGCTTTAACTTGGTTGGATCCTGGGACGATTGGAAAAGCCTCCTGGCAAAGGATAAGTAAGCTTCCTGCCCCAGTATCACTACGGTTGTCATTTCATTGTTGCTATTGTGATGATGATGCGTGCCTTTGTACACTTCAGCTAGGGCATTCCCAACGGCATGATACCTACTGTGTCACATAGATAAAAAACAACTGTCGGACGTAAGTTGAGCATGTCCCGATTTCGTTCATGCTGTGGTGTTCGTCGGGAATCATCAAGTACATGTAGACGACGGACAGCAAGATAGACAGAGCGAGCGCGCGCCCTAATCCCTAAACCCTAAACCGTGACCCATTCAATTATTCAAGTCAGAAGCGGCCCACAGGCTTCGTGCCACTGAGCCGCTCCGGACAAAGCGAGTCCTTCGTGGCCCGCGTGCCGATACGACGGCCCCCAGGTTTGGAGGACCGGGGGAGCTGAGACTTGAGAAGAGAAGCTCATTTGGGGTCTAGGCTTTAGGGTTCAGGGATGTTTTGTAGAAGATGATCTTCATTCAGCGTTTTGAGTAGAACGGCATTGACGTTTCACGGAAGACATACGGTACAACACACGGACACACAATATGGTAGTGAGCCAGACTTGGAGCACCGGCCACAGCAATGTAGTTCTTGCAAGAATCCGAGCACCCTGATTCAAAAAGGGCTTGAGGTCGTTCGTTTTCCTTGCCGCGGCGAGAGCAACCCTGCCAGGAGTTCCAGATCTTGCAGGGCCAGGATTGGGCAGCCCGATACTACCCCACAGCGCGCGGGGAGGGCGTGGAGGGCCCCGGAAATGCCCACGGACGGAACTTTCGCGTCACCTCACTGCCTTCCGACTGCATGCAGCTGGAGATCCTGTGGGACCTGCTTGGGCGAAAGGTCACCTGGAAGTTTCTGAATGCCGCCGAGCAGGAGATACAAGCCGGCGAGAAGAAAGCCGCGGCAAAGAGGGGAGCCAAAGCACGCTCCGAACCGCGCAGCAAGGCCTCAAACAGGGGCCCGTACTTCCTCGTCGGCTCCTGGGACAACTGGAAAGGTCCGCTTCATAAAGGGAAGTCGGCCCCAGGGTTTCGGATTTGGGGTTCCTCTGACTCTGCCCTGAGCAGGTTTTGCAGAGTTTCTACCTTTTGGCGACTCTTTCCGGACGAAGGTGAAGGTTGGTTTGGGCATGAAGCGGGTGGAGTTCCAGGTCGTTGTGGCTCGGGACTGGAACCGGCGCTTCCATCCCACCTCATCAGGCCGTGTCATAGCCCAGCGTTCTGAGTCTTCCGGCGGTGGATGGATAATGAATACTTAATGAAGTCACTGTCGTGGTCTCTCTCTCTCTCTCTCTCTCTCTCTCTCTCTCTCTCTCTCTCTCTCTCTCCCTCTCTCTCGCTCTATGTACATGCATACATACTTACGTTTGTGTGTCTGTGTGCATACAATCGTAAGCACATCTAATTTACATATCAGCAACCATATCATCAACAAACTAGCTTCCAACGTGTACGACTGCTTTGCATCAGGGTCTGTATGAATAGTCGAACTGCTAGCTACGATCGGATTGTTGTGTCGGTGGTACTGATATGATGTCGGAATTTGTCACAGTCGATATCCTTCGTAGCTGCAGCGTCAACAGCTGCATTTTTGTCTTCCCACCAATGTTGTTACAGGAACACCTGTGGGTTGCCAGCCTATATGCATGCATTTCTGTCTGTCTGACTGTCTGTCTGTCTGCCTGTCTGCCTGGCTGGCTGGCTGTCTGTCTGTTTGTCTGTCTGTCTGCCCCTCTGTCATTCCGTCGCTCTGAGTATGTATGTATGTATGTACTGTATGTATGTATATATGTATGTACATATGTATGTATGTATGTATATGTATGTATGTATGTATGTATGTATGTGCATACGTCCCTGTGCAGATGTAGACGGTGTCAGTGTCTTGGATATGCTACAAGCATTCAGATAGCCGCTGGCCATCCATCTATCCAATAGGTTCTTCCATCTATCCGTCCATTCGTATTCATCCGGCCCCCAATCCAGCCAGCCAGCCGAGCATCCATCAACCCATCCGGTCCATCCTTCCATCCATCCATCCATCCGTCCATCCGTGAATCTATTTATCCATGCATCCACACACGCATGCATATACTGTATACATGTACTCACATACAGACGTACATACATACATACATACACATGTCCGTCGTTCGTACATGCATACATATCTCTACATGTATGTGTGTGTGTGAGTACATGAGGACATATCTACATGTGTACTGACATACTCCTTACTACGGTTGTATACATGCTTACATGCAGACATGCAGCACACTGCATTGCAATATCTTGCCTTACTTTACCTTTCCGTGCACGGCACTACTCTTTTCACATCACATGATGTCACATTAAGTTACATCACGTCAGGTCACATCACATGTTCTTACGTTTTATCCGCCATTCCATTCCATGCCGTTCCTGTTTCGATCCTTTAGTTGCAAGATATTAACTGCATTGCAGCACCTTGCACTGCATGGCACGACGTCACATCACATCACTTTATCTTACGTGTCATATTACGGTACGTTGTGCTACTGTGCAGCGGTACATTACATGACTTTCCACTCCATTCCGGTCCATGCCATTCAATTTGATTTGTCCCGTTTTGTTTCATCCGTTCGGTTCCATGACATTACTTTGCATGCGTTACCATGAACACATACATACGTACATACATTCAGAGATACACAGATACATACGTAGATACATAGATACATACTCACATACATACCTACATACATACATACATACATACATACATACACACATATACACACGTATGCTTGGTTACACACATACAAGCATCTGCATGCTGGCATGTTGACGCTCATGTGTATAGATGTGTACATGTACATGCAAAATTGTACACATGGCTTTGCGAATGCCAGGATGCAGAATTAGACATTCACATGTCCATGCACACAAGCCAGCGTGGATTACTGTATACCGGTCTGGCTTTGACAGGTTCCTTAACACTGAACCTCTAAACCCCAGTGATGGGGTCGTGGAAGGCGGTGGACTCGCTGGACCTGATGTGGGCCATGGTCTGAACTGGCGAGCGGAGGTTGGTGGGAAGCTCGGTTCTTGTCAAAGGGCTTAGGGTTTAGGGCCTACAGTTCAGGGTTTAGGTTTTGATGCAGGTTACTATAATTTTGCAAATACTGTAGATTTTCAGTAGATCGCATGCTAGTTCTTATGGGTGAAATTAGGTTGCAACAAGAGCTCAGGAAGAAGTGGCTGGAGGTCACCTGGAGTCCTGACCGTGCTCCTTACGTAGAGTGGCTGCTCGGAATCTACCGGGAAGGGTTTCAGCGCAAGCCAAAACCCTTATACCATTCTGGGGGGTTTCTTTTATTGTATTTGTAGTATACTTAGACCATGATAGACCCTTAAAGCCGAAACCCTTAAAGCCTTTCTGAGGACTTTCCCTGACCCTGCGGAAGCTCATGCAGCGGCGGCAGAGGACTTTGCGGCCATGCTCCGAGCTCTGGCCAAGGCGCGCCGAGCGATCCCACGAGGAAGTACTCTCTTTTTGATGCTTGGGTTTAGGATTAGGGGTTTAGGGGTTTAGGGATTAGGGGTTGAGGCTTTAGGGTAGATGGTTGAAGCAGTCGCTGTCGTCATCGTCGTGTTGCGAAGAGTAATCCCAGCCAAAGTAACATGGAAGAATGGGAGCGGAGAGGTGGACGATCGAAGCTTGTCAGCTGCCATGTCAGTGCCAGGAGGGGAGTGGCGCATGGTTTCGGGGGATGGCAGGTGACTCAGCCAAGTTAAGAGTGCGCACGGTACGTGTACATACAATATCAGACCATGAACGCAGCATGTAATATACGCAGTGGATAGAAGAGGTTTGCCGAATCTTGACTGTAGTAAAGAAGGTACAAGGTCTGCAGTACGATACAGACGCATAGTGGAAAGACTTCTCGGACAGTCTATTCCGGTCAATGCTGGATATGTGTCCAACGATTCGGCCTGGGTTGTGGTGGTTCTGCTTTATGCTTAATTCCTACGGCTACGTGTGGTTGGTTTGGAGTTGCTCTACCGGCCATGCTGTAGGAGAGGTCGGTCGGAGGACTGAAAACTTACGACCAATGCCGGAACTCCTGTCCAAACCTGAAGTGGAGGGCCCCGGATATTTTATCATTCTTGCACGCTTGAGGCTTGCGTGAGACTTCGGAGTTGAACCCTAAACTCCAAAGCCGAGTCCCTCAGCCCCAAAGCCTTCGAGGCATCTTCGAAGCGCTGCCCAAGTGCCAGCGCTCGTCGCCCTACGGCGCAAAGGCCGAGAACGAAGCCACTGCCAGGTGCCGGGAGCCAGCCATTGTTGAATAAGGCCTTCCTGGAAATTTAAATAAAGGGTCGAGGTTCAGCGTTTAGGTGCACATTTCATCAATTCGTTCAACTACTGTTGATGATATAAATCCTGCATGACTTTAAGGGCCCTAAGCTATGAGAATAATGGTGTATTCCTTTTTATGGGTAATGCAGGATTTCTATCATCAACCGTATGTTTTGTACTTTTTTCCTTTGGCATGGGGCCTTTTTATCGACTTCTCGGCTTTGCTGCTTTCGGTTGATGATATGAATCACCGTAGACTATGGGAATTCTGGTATATTCCTTATTATGGGTAATGCAGGACTTATATCATCAACAGTTTCCGGCCTTGTCACCCCTTGGCTTTCTGGCTCGGCTTCCTGGGATTCCTGGGTCCTTGGCGTTCAGGTCTTTAGATGGCTTGGAAGTCGAGTTACCCTAAGGGTAGTTCTCTAAATTAGGGTCCCTTGTTAGGTCACCAACTTGTAAAAAAAGGACCCTAGAAGGGACCCAAGTTAGAGAAGTACCTACATAAGATGTTGCAGTTTTCCAGTTGGGTTCTCTGCTCGCCCACATGGTTGAGTCCCGCATCGGTGCTCTGACCAAATCAATGACAAACCCGGGACCCCGAATCTCAAGCCCGCTCATAACCCTCCCCTCTTCTCTAACCAATCCCCCCAAACCCCAAACCCTAAAACCCTAAAGCCTGAACCCGACTAAAGCTTGTGGTGAGAGGAAAAGGGGCGACAGGAAGAGCCCAAACTAAACCCAAACTAAGCCCAAACTAAACCCAAACTGAGCCAAGAAACACGACGAGGTGCTTGCTGGCGACCTTTTTGCGCGACCTGGAGACCATGGCGGACCCGCTGGGCCCAGCACCGGGAGCGCAGCGGGGAGCTCTCAAAGCGCTAGAGGCCTGCCTCGGTGGAGTTTGGGGGTTTAGGGTCTAGGGTTTTGGGTTTGGGGTTTGGGGTTTAGGGTTTAGGGTTTAGGGTTTGGGTTTAGGGTTTAGGTTTGGAGTTTTACTTAAAGGATCATGGGACTTAGTAAAGGTTCCTTAAAGGGCTCCTTAAAGGGATCTGTAGGGCTTCAAAAAAGGGGGGTTTAGGGTTTACTCAAAGGATCATGGGACTTAGTAAGGGTTCTTAAAGGGCTCCTCAAAGGGATCTGTAGGGTATCTTAAAGGGATCTATGGGGTTTAGGGTTTTGGGATTACTTAAAGGATCATGGGACTTAGTAACTAAGGGTTCCTTAAAGGGCTCCTTAAAAAGGGATCTATACGGGTTCTATAAGGGGGGTTTAGGGTTTACTTAAAGGATCATGGGACTTAGTAACTAGGGTTATAATTAGGGTAACTATACTTATAACCCCAATTAAGGTTCTTATAACCTTACTTACTAAGTCCCATGATCCTCCTTTAGTAGGGTTTAGGGTTTGGGGATGTTGAGGGCTGGCTTGGGGGGTGGGTGTGGGGCTTTAAACTGTGGAGGTTTCCGAAGCTTAGGGTTGAATCAGGAGTTTTAGAGTAGCGAGGTTTTGGGCTGTAGTCACCGTCGTGTTGTGCAAAGAGCACTTGGTTCCTCGAGCTCCCTGCCCATCCCCCCGGCAGGAGCAGTGCGAGCAGCTTTTGAAGGACGGTCTGCCGTCATACACACATTACGGTTCAGAGTAGCGCAAGATGACCACGTGCCGCTGCAAGTGGACAGCCCAGACGTGAGAGAGTTTTCCGACATTCGCCCGCTGCAGAGGACGCCGTTGGTGAGATTGACTATGCAGCAGCTGGCGGAGACTTCATGCAGGTCCGCATACGAGACTGTAATAATAGTCGATACTGGTGCACACTGTTATATTATGTTATATACTACTAAGTTTTCATTGGTATCTGCCATAACTATGCATACTACCAGTAGGTGCAGCTGTAGACAAGACAGACAGACAGAGAGAGAGAGAGAGAGACTACTCTCTAACGAACATCGTACATCTTCATGAAATTTTATGGCTGTAGCGCATACGATGTTCGTCGTTCTCTCGTCACCCCCCGAGTCCGTCAATACGACGGGTGGGCTTGATGCCCGGGGTCGCTAACCCGCCCTCATGCCCGGGAGAGAGAGAGAGAGAGAGAGAGAGAGAGAGAGAGAGAGAGAGAGACGCTAGGCTTACTCACCTAGCTTGTGACAGTACCGGTTCTGTTGCGCATGAGGCTCACAGCGTGGACCCCCGTAGCAGTCTCACAATTTTGCGGAAACAGACAGCGATGTGGGGGAGGCAAGTACTCTGTTCTTGCTGTGATCGTGTTATGTCAGAGTAACTTACTCGTTTGGGGACGTGAGATCAGCCCCACCTTGCTGCAGAACGGCAGTTGCCCTCACCGTGTACCCCACCTAGAAAGGCTAAGGATTAATGGTAGCCATAGGGGCCCGGCGATGAGGCCGGGATGCGCGGGGTATAGTGTTCTAGGTGGGGATGACTACACGAAAACGAGGAGCACACTGCGTAGTTCCCTGCCGTAATCAGGAAAGACCCCGATACCAGCCACTCCATAACACAGGGGGTGAGCTGGGCGGGCCAAAGGCTTGGGGGGCGCGCGCGACCCCTACGCCCTGCAGAAAGAAAGAGACAGAGAGAGAGACAGAGAGAGAGAGAGAGAGAGAGGGAGAGAGAGTAGTCGAGGTCCCCAAGACCAAAGACCCTATCGGAAGATAGTACATGTTGTCCTGTGTGATCCGTTCTGTACAGGCTGTTTTAGTTGTGTCCTCTGCATGGTCAGGGCCTCGCTGGATGATCTTCCACCGTAGCTGCACTACCATGGAAATACAGAAAGGGGGGGGGCTCTTTCGGTGAAAATATCCCTACCGTGACCTTCGCAGCCTGATGAACTCGGACTTGTGATAAAGCGGAGAGTCCAAATATCACCCGATCTCGGCATAGTTATTCTCATTTCCTTCTGACGATACCTCGGGGGATCTACGACAGTGGGGGAGCTTTGTCACTCAGAGTATTCGTGCATCTTCTTTCCGTCATCGTATACTTGATGGCCATAGCCTTGGGCTGCACCATACTCGTTTCTCACTCCCCGAAACCCAATCAAGGTATTGAGTGGGCTTTTAAGCCCGGGGACTGTGACAGGTCCCCAAGCCCGGGAGAGAGAGAGAGAGAGCCTGCCGCGGCGCCTTGTCCGAGTGCAAGCAAGAGAGAGAGAGTGTGGGGGGAACCAACACCTCTCACAGAGAGCATAGGTGCACCCGAACTTGTGACACTTTTGGATACTTTTGTCGGTTCAGCGGGGCAGCAGCTCTAATCTTTTGACATTGAACAATGCAGTCCCTGTGCAGCAACCTTCAATATGATAGATGGGGCAGCGCACACGCGCGGGTCGCAAGGATTCTCGCGGCAAAGCAGAGCACAGAGAGAGAGAGAGAGAGATCGATCAGCGCCGCGAAGAACAAGCTTCATGCTGGTCGTGATCTAGCGGGGTAACTACTTTGACAAACGGAGCACGGGCTAAACTATGTATGTGTTCAGCCCTGAGTTGTGTTCATGATTTTCGGCCCTGCTTTGGCGGTAACTTTGTTCCAAGCAGACGTTCGTTCTGTTGCTTCCTATTTGTGAGGAAGCATTTCTGGGGCTCTTGCAGGGGGCCACACCATGCCACGCCATCGAGCAGTACTGCCCCATCTACAGCCACAGGGGCCCACACTGTCCATGTAATAACGGTACTTCTTGACACAACCGACGCTTTCTCACACAAGCTCACTGAACTGGCCGGCGACCATTGCTTGCAGCCCTGATGCCCTCCAATACCGTGTTGCGGGGATAAGAGCAGGGCCTCATGTGGGTCATAGAAGCATGGCGAGGTGGTGTTTCAGGGGGGTTCCCAATTGCATCTTTGACCACGTTTTGCATAAGCGAACGTCGCAGTGACAACCCCAGAGCCGTCTACTCAGTAAGATGTTTTGAGGCCTGACTGTCGCGCAAATGACCCCTATACAAGGAAAGGACAAACGAAAGAAAGAAGGCGAGCGAGAGAGAGATCGAGCGATACATTTTTGGTCGGGAAGCAGCATGGAGAGCTGGACCCACGTTAGGTATATATGCATATACATGCATACGTACATAGTACATACGTGCGCACATACATGCAGAGTTACATACAGCCCTACGCACACACGTACATACAGACAGACGTACACACGTACATAAACGTACATATGTACATACACACATACATGCATACATACTCGCACAAGCAGGAAACCACATATGTACATACATATATACATATATATATACACATAATATATATAGAGATACCGAGATACCTTTGCACACACACACACACACACACACACACACACACACACACACACACACACACACACACACACACACACACACACACACACACACACACACACACACACACACACACACACACACACACACACACACACACACACACACACACACACACACACACACACACACACACACACACACACACACACACACACACACACACACACACACACACACACACACACACACACACACACACACACACACACACACACACACACACACACACACACACACACACACACACACACACACACACACACACACACACACACACACACACACACACGCACACATAACACATTCCTTTGCCAAACGCAGCGCTGCCAGGAAGCTCTCCCAGTGGACCCCGCCACCGGGCCCGTGCAGCTAAAGCTTTGGCACCGCCTTGTGCAGCCTGGCCTCATTAGTGTGATGATCATGATGATGATGGTGCTGGTCAATATTATGATGATGAGTACTAGTCTTGTGGCAGTGATCTGATTGTTTGTACGTGATTAGAATGATGATGTTGTTGTTTGATGATGGTGAGGAGGATGATGAGGAGGTGATGGTGGTACGGGTTACGACCAGGGTGATGAACCTGACGCTGATGATGATGATGATGATGGCTAGTGTTACGAGTATCAGCGTATCATTAGTATGACTATGATGAGTCTTGGTATGATCCTGACGTTGATTTCTTTTTATGACACAGAGAGTCGGTATTGTGCTGATGACTGTTCGCTTTGTGGTCATGAACGCAAGTATTTTGATTTTAGGGATTTGTGTGGTGATGATGGTGATGATGGTGATGATGGTGATGATGACAGTGATGATGACAGTGATGATGATGTTGATTACAAGTATCATCATCATTAACCTTGGTACTTGTTCGCATGATGATCGTCGTGATGATGATGGTGACGATGAGGATGATGAGGATGCTTCGTTCTCTGATCATGGTAGCTATTAAGGTTCCGGCATATTGTCGCATGTGCCACGAGTACCAATACTACTTTCATGCTGCTGACTCATAGTAGGATGGTTTAGTCTTATGATGATGGCTACTGTGACTGTGATCATGAGTATAGTGATGGTGATGATGCTGGTGTTGATGATGATGGCGACGCTTACTACAGTGCTGTCAGTATTATTGTGTAAATAATCATGTTTGTGATACTGATGGCGACGATGTTGATAATAATGATGCTGGTGCCAATGATGAGGATGACGACGAGCATGATGATGATGGTGATGATAGGTGATGATGATTCTGATCATGACTCGTATTGTCAGTCTAGGTCTAGGTCCGCGATGAGACAGGAGTGGCCGTGCTTCTAACTGCATGACTTTCTAACAACGTTTTTCGTTGCTGGATTGAATGTTCAGGCACGAAGACGCTGGTCTTGGGTTCGCTGTTGAACCCTGGAAGATTCCATGTCGAGTTGACCTGCGAGTCCAAGGTACCTGCCTCTGGTCATGCCGGCAGCTCAGGTTCCAAAGGACCCGGGTCCCTGGAAAGTCCCTGGCGCTTTCGCGGTGCCCCGTGAACTGAACTGCCCGTTCCGGTGCCTCGCAGAGCGAAGGTATGTGCGCAACACGGTGCACCTCTACGAGATGTTGGAACGGCTCAAGGTAGGGCCGTTTAGCCTCAGAAGAAGCTCCCGCTCAACATGCTTTCGATGGAACCTTCATGTAGACGGCGATCCTACACGATGCCTAGCTTTAGAAGTCGACCGAAAGGCTGGTTGCGTTGAGAGCTAGCAGTTGGCAAGTCTCGTGCCTAGTGCCGCAGCGCACCTGGCCGTATCAGGGAACCATGTATAAACATGAGCATCGCCAACGCAACAGCCCTCATCAATAGTCCGCACCTCGATCCCTCATAGAAGCCCTTAGCCAAAATCCACAACAACAAGAGTCAGACCCATACTATAGTAGTACATCCCTTACCCAAACCGTGAAGAGGCGCAGTCCTCCGGTGCTGGCCGGGGCCGGCTGCGTGCGCTGCTGGATGCGGAGGCCGCGGCGAGTGGGAAGTATGGTACATGAAGTCATAGTGTATGATAGAAGACGTGATTGTGTACTATACCACAGCTGGTATATTATGTTGTGGGGCACTTGTCACTTCTTTCTCCTGCTGGCTAGTCGTAAACTCTGCAGGGGACTGCACGAGAGAGCCCTTACTCCTGGCGCACGGCTCAGACGCTTCCACACAATCTTTTCTGTCTGGCTTGCCCCGCAATGAGGCTGGTTTTCAGCATAGTGGGCGCCCTGCAAACCCTCTACCATGCACGGGCCGCAGCGGAAAACAGAGGAGGCCGGCATGTGCTTCCTTGAACCGGAGTGTTTGACGCCAGACCCCAGCCAGGCTGCGATGCCTTCCCGCTGGAGTTGCTGGCTGGCAGCTCAGAGCAACCTGAGAAATATAGTCCACTACCTTGCAGTCAAGAACACTACGAAGATGGGAATCGTGATTCGATGTGGTGAGGCCAGCAGCCCGCCGCAGACTGTTTGGATCCAGGCAAAGCAGACCAGACATGCTTGGAGGATCATGGGACTTAGCAAGTAAGGTTACAAGTACCTTAATTGGGGTTATAAGTACTTATAAGTATAGTTACCCTAATTATAACCCTAGTTACTAAGTCCCATGATCCTTTAAGCAGACATGAGAGGACTGAGACTCCTCTTTGCATCCTGCGGCCGGTGCTCGCAGGATGGGGTGGAATGGACGCCATCCCACAGCCTGGACCTCGGGAGTCCTATGTGGAGAGTTTCCGAAAATAGGGGATCCTAATATAGCACCCTGAATAGTAGGATCCTTATTGTAAGGACCCCAACATAAGGTACCCCTCATTTTCGGAAATTCCCACCGTGTCCCACTCCGTCCCACCTTCTCGCAGTTCGCAGGTTCCAATGCTGGCGCTTTCCAGCGCAAGCAGGTGGGAGTTTCCGAAAATGAGGGGTACCTTAAAGGGAACTCCAGAAAGTTGGAATATGGATTAATGGTAGGATCCCCTATAATTTACCTTAAAGGGGTTACTATAATGATATTCCAACTTTCTGGCTTCTACCTTTTTTTTAGGGTCCTTACAATAGGGATCCCACTATAATTTAGGGTACTATGTTACAGTCCCCTATTTTCGGAAACCCCCAGGTGGTGAACTGCGAGCCCATGAAGCCGCTGGGTGCGCTCTCGGCCACCGCTTCCACAGGGGCTGTACTGTGCTTAGTATTAGTACTAGTACAAGTACTAGTATTAGAATTAGTATTAGTATTCGTATTAGTCTTAGTATTAGTAGTTTTTGGTATTAGTATTGGTATTAGTATTAGTATTGGTATTATTATGATTAGTAGTAGATCATATTAAGCCTGGCTCCAGGTACACTTCGGAAGGGCGATGGGCTGATGTACAGAGGCATCTGGCTGCCGGCAGATGCAGATGAGGATCGGCAGTTCGCGCTTTGACGTCGAAAGGTGGCCCTGCGCATGTCCAGGACACCATCCGCTATCAGTATTCCTTCCAGTCCTTCTCCCGGAGCATTGAAGGCTGGACCGGGTTTCCAGTAAATAGCCCTGAAGACTCCAGAAATCTCCCGCAAGGTGTCATGCGGGTACTGCGATTCTACAGTGGCGTCGCATCCACGAAGGCTGGTGTTGCTGGTTGCAATGCTATAACACAGACTATATTCCGTCTCATGGTTGCGTTATCCTAATGTACTATCGTAGTATTAGCAGATCAAACCTGATCCCTAAACCCTCTAGTCCCTTTACACAAAGCTGTTAGACTACGATTGCTTTTCCAGGCAGGGGAAGCAGCCAGGGCAGGGCACATCCTGATGTACATCGGCCGGAGGCTCAGAGAGAGGCTGGCCGTGCCTGGGTTCCGCGTTAGGGTTTGAGGGCGTTTTGGGGTTCTAGGGTTTCTGGGTCTAGGGTTTTAGGATTTTGGGGTTTTTGGGTTTAGGGTTTTAGGCTTTTAGAAGTTTGGGGTTGAGGGTTTAGGGTTTTAAGGTTTTGGGCGCAGTAATCGCTACTTCCAGAGGACATCTCGGATCAGGCGTTGAGTTTGAGGGCATGAGACTCGCCATGGCATCCTCGCAATGACTGTGGATGGCCCCCAAGCTCTGGGAAAAGCCTCCGAGACGGACGAGGTTCCAGCGAACCAGAGCCCTCAAGCGGCAGCCTGCGACGTTCCGACAGACATGCCAGAGGCCATTGCCCTGCTTCTCTAGTCTCTGTTTCTCGTCTTTCTCTGCTCCGGTCGCGGCTCTCGTTACGAATCATAGTACTGCAGCGGCAATTCCAAAATAGTCTGAAGATGACTAGCATCTTCCTTTAATGGCAGTGCTCACATAGCAATGGTGGTAGTACTTGGGCCGGTATAGTAGGAGGAGCAAAAGAGCAAGTGTGAGCGCTGATAGCAGTAACACCACTCAGGGAGCAATCTAACATACTAGCGGTACGAATTTCGTTACACAAGAACAGGTCCAGCAACAGTAGTATATTTCGAAGAATATGAAAGACATGATCATTAAAGAGCCAACATATCATATACTGAGTTATATCACTACACTAAACCATATTACCTCAAACACGAGAACATGTTGAATTCGGAAGACAGCTGGCAGGATGTTTGGCCTCGCCGCGAGCACGCCAAGGCCGACCAAACCCCTAAACCCCTAAGCCCCTAAGCGCGTAAACCCCTGAACCCTAAAGCCCTAAACCCCTGAGCCCTTGTGTCAAATAAAGCCCCTGAGTTCTAAACCCCTAAATCCTAAACCCTAATAGCACCTATGCTCCTAAATCCCAAACTCCAAAACCCCCGAAGACAAGGCCGCCCTGGCTTTCGTGGCCAGTGCCGCCTTCCACGCGGCGATGAGCCTTTGCGTGAAGCTGGTGCCTCGAAGAGACCAGAAGCCAAAGTAGACTACTTATAGCTATGTATATGTGTATATATATCTATATACATATCTATCTATCCGTATATGTTTATATATATATATATGTGTACATATGTACCATCATAAGGACGATAAAAATAAGAACAGAAGAATAAGAATAACAATAGCAATATTAAAGATACTAGTATCAATAGTATCAATAGCAATAACAATAGTTTAATAACAGCAGCAGTAATTCTAACAACAATAATACTAGTATCTTAATATTATCCTTAACAATCATAGTACTCGTAGTACCAATCGCAATGTCATGCGAACGGCAGTGGTAGCAGCAGCAGCAGGAGGAGGAGGAGGAGGAGTAGTAGTAGGTGGTAGTAGGTAGTAGGTAGTAGGTAGTAGGTAGTAGGTAGTAGGTAGTAGGTAGTAGTAGTAGTAGTAGTAGTAGTAGTAGTAGTAGTAGTAGTAGTAGTAGTAGTAGTAGTAGTAGTAGTAGTAGTAGTAGTAGTAGTAGTAGTAGTAGTAGTAGTAGTAGTAGTAGTAGTAGTAGTAGTAGTAGTAGTAGTAGTAGTAGTAGTAGTAGTAGTAGTAGTAGTAGTAGTAGTAGTAGTAGTAGTAGTAGTAGTAGTAGTAGTAGTAGTAGTAGTAGTAGTAGTAGTAGTAGTAGTAGTAGTAGTAGTAGTAGTAGTAGTAGTAGTAGTAGTAGTAGTAGTAGTAGTAGTAGTAGTAGTAGTAGTAATAGTAGTAGTAGAGTAGTAGTCGTAGTCGTAGTAGTAGAGGCGGAGTAGTAGTAGTGGTGGTAGTAGTAGTGGTAGTAGCAGTAGGGGTTCGGGAGCTATGGCCCTTCTTGGGGAAGTTTGGGCCTCTGGCAGGCCTGGGTTGAGGAAGCTATTAGGGTGGTTGATGTAGAAGTTAGTATCATGGGTATTCGAAGGGTTACTGAAAGGGCATGCTCTCCGAGGCCAGTCGCAGCTTTCCCACCTCGCAGATCCTCTGGGCACGCTACTCCGTGCAGCTGACGGTGACGTCCTCCATACTCCTGTGGCGACGCGAGGCGTGTGCCGGCCTTGGCCAAATTCCCGGTAGCCTCAAGCTTCTTTTGCCGCCTGGCTTCATGAGGCATCCAAACTTTCTAGACATAAAGTCGAGCCGAGCAATGAACATGCCTGACCACCGTGGTTATGGTGATACCCATAAGCGTGTCAATTACTAATGATGATGTTGATGATGATGATGGTGACAAGTGGTGGTGGTGATGATGGTAATGGATAGGGAGGATGATTCTGATGCTGCAAGTAGAACAGCTAGAACGCGAGCGTCGTTGTTGCATCGTCCTCGTCGAAGTAGCGAGAGGAGGAGGGGAGGAGAGGAGGAGGAGGAGGAGGAGGGGGAGGAGTAGTAAAGCAGCATCATGGTTTTCATTATCGGTCATATTCTGATCATCATCGACAGCATCGTCACTATCGTCACTATGACTGACACCGTCATTATTCGCATCATCACATCATCACCACCATCATCATCAATCATGGTAGTCATGAGGACAACAGCAGCATGATTAGCACTAGGTCGCGACGAGGCATACGTAGAAGCATCGGAAGCGGTCGAAGAGCAACCTTAAACCCTAAATCCTAAACCCCGCAGAAGCAGATGATTTGTAAGCACCAGGCCGCCAGCGCTTTCGTAGCCATGTAGGTCGCTCTAAGGTTTGTAGAAGTTCAAGGAATGATTCTGAATTGCGCATGCTGACCGAATTCACAACAGTACCAGTACTTCTCGACCTCTGAGAATCGTAGAGTAAGAATCACAGTACTTCTCGACCTTGAGAATCGTAGTCATGAAAGCACGGCTTTTTTCTGGCATGCCTGCGACACGTGGCTGGGTGCATCGAGGCTGATGCGCGGGATCCTGGGCATGACCTCCCAGGGCTGCCACATGCTTTCGGTGAAGCTCCTGCCTTTGGCAGATGCAGTTTCGCTCCACACCGTGGCTTCTCTCAATCTACTTAGTTTGCTTGCTTGTGCTCAGCTTCTTTCGCAGGGCGATCTTTGGCATAGAAGCTCGTGCTAGGCAGAGCATGACGTAGAGAAGCTGATGCGGAGGCAGTGGAGAGCGAGCACCTCAGTGTTTTTGGCTCAAGAGCTGCTGTCTCAGCTGCCCGCATCCGGAACTTCCTCCTAGTTCAACTCTCGCAGATCATGGCCATGTTGCGCGTGTCCTTCCTCGTCGCTCTGAGCTGCGTGAAGACCATGGCTGCAGGTACTTGCCAAGAAGCCGTGGAGGCGGCCTACGCGAACTGCCCCCGTGAGATTGGTTGCCCGAGCTCCTGCGAGCGTCCCGCCTGTGCCGCAATCGTTGCCTGCCCTCCCGGCTCCACCTATATGTTGAATGGCACGACCTACTCGGCGGAGCGGGTGCAGTCACTGGCAGAGGCATTCTTTTCCCGATGCTCCTGTTCGCCCGTGGCCTCCGCGCAAGCTCCGGTCTATCCATGAGGGCGATTGTGAGAGACAGATGCATTGAGAATTTTCCGGCACTGGCCAAAAGCTTCCGATCTGAGGGAGCTGGACAGAGCGCTCTACGCAAAGGTTTGCATCCTTTGGCAATCCCGAAATTCACCATGAAAGGCTTCAGCTTGACCAGCACGGTCAAGTAGGATCTTTTGGGCTGAAGCCTGTGTATAGACTTGAAATCTTAATTCAACTTTCGCAATACTCTGCTTATGGCTTGTGCCACAGCTACATTTCAATTTTGAGGCAGCAAGCCTGCAATGGACTCGACGGAAAGCTCGAGCAAGAAAGCTTGCTTCCTGCAGCATCTGTCCCTGCAGTTCCTCTACGATACGTCTACAGGTTGGATACTGCCCCCACTCTGAAACGGTTGGATACTGTTTACAATATGTATATGTGTATGTATGTATATATATATATATGTATGTATAATGTATATATGTGTATGTATGTATATATATATATATATATATATACATAGGTTTTTTTACATATATATATATATACACACGCATAGGGCCCTTACAGTATGATCCTCAATACAAAACTATCTATAGGGCTAAAGCAGGAACTCCCACTCGGGAGCTCCAAGAAGCCCCCAGGTCTGTAACATACAAGTATATAGATGTGAGCTCTTTTATTATGTCCCTTAAAAAAAGAGACCTGGAGGTTCAGAGTTTAGGGTTAGAGGTTTAGAGTTTAGGGTTTAGGGTTTAGGGTTAGAGGTTTAGAGTTTAGGGTTTAGGGCTTAGGGTTAGAAGCTCTGAGGTCTATCCCGTCCTCACAGCGCTGCTTGCACCTTGCGCCCTCGGCGAGCCCTGGTCCCCGGCTCCTCGTCGAACAAAAGCGTCTCATGAGCTCTCTTCCGGCTCGCAGACCCTACCCGGACCCCAAACAACCTACCTTGTTAGGGTATGATTCTTTATATATAAGTCCATATAAAGGTAGGTTATTTGGGGTTGAGGTAAAGCCTAAACTCCCTCACCGCTGGCCCCCGCGCCCCCCTTTCAACAAAGCCACCGTTTAGAACCAGGGAAGGGCTCCTGGGATTGATCTAACACATGGTACTCAGTAGAGATGAAAGAGGGGCTATTAGGGAATACTACAGGAGCCTTAACAATTCGGATAGGGTTTTGGGGTATAGTATACTGTACCCCCAAAATAGTATAGATAATCATTGAGGCCCCTATACTGTTGATGATATAAATCCTGCATTACCTTAAGGACCCTAAACTATGGGATTTATGGTATATTCCTTACTATGGGTCATGCAGGATTTATATCATCAACCATAGTAGCGCTACTCCCGAGGCCTCCCTTGCGGCCGCGCTGGTGGCCACCTTGGGCTGCGCCCTCGTGGCGCGCGGTCGCCTGAACCACTCGGAAGACCAATCGCTCGGGCAGGCGGGCGTTGGACTCTGAAGATTTTCTGAGGCTTTAGGGTTTCAAGGGTTGAGGGTTTAGGGTTCAAGGTTTGGGGGGGTTCATGAGATGTTGGCAGAATGCAGCAGAGAAAGTCTCGCAACAGAGTTGCCCAGTGCTCTGGGCTCTTGCGAGGTGCAGCAATGTGTAGCAATAGAGAGACTGGTATGGTTTGTGTCAACAGATCATTGAAGGCACACAAGGCTCTCAGAGGCTCGCCAGAGACCTGCGGCGCCACGTTCGGGCCAAACTGCAAACAACCTCCGGAAGTATCGGTGGGGGGATTAGGTTAGTGCATGAAGTTTTGCAAAGTGACCCGTGCTGGTCCCGAGAAGAACTTGAGCTTCTTCAGGTGCAGTGTACCGTTGTACCAGGTCCAATGTGGGAGTTTCCGAAAATAGGGGTACCTTATTTTGGGGTCCTTACAATAAGGATCCTACTATTTAGGGTACCATATTAGGGTCCCCTATTTTCGGAAACTCCCATGTGGGAAGCGCCAGCCAGCATCGTACCCGGGCAGCTTTCGGGCCCGTGGGGTTACGGTTGATGATATAAATCCTGCATGACCCATAGTAAGGAATATACCATAATTCCCAGAGTTTAGGGGCCCTAGGGCAATGCAGGATTTATATCATCAACCGTAGGACTTCCTTCAGAGCCCAGGGCTCATGAACCCCCCCATCCTTTGAAATGAAGCCTCCCCTCGGTCCCGGAACGCTGAAGATCAAGCTCGGCGTGGGGATAGCCCTGCTCGGCGCGTTGAGTGCCAGTACCTCGCCGGCCTTGGGCAAAAGCTCTGGGAGAAGTTTTCTCAAGAACAGGCGTTTTGCTGCATGGTCATTAAGTTTAGTACATGGCCCCTCATTCTTGATCCAGGTCTGACCTACCTACTGGTCCGGAAACTCATGCGGCCTACGCCAGAGAAGGTTATTGATGCAGAGCTGGTGGTCTGGAGCTACTCCGCGACAGCCCTGTGCGTTCTGGTTGCAGCCCTGCCTTTCACGGAGGTGCCCTGGATGCCTCGAGTGGTAGGTAGCTCTTCATTACTTTGAAAGGCTCGTTACTTTGAAAGGCTACTTTCAGCTTCGTTGTCTTGGCATGGCAAGCACTCTTATATCCCTCTGCTGCCTCTGCTTCCTGACGAATTAAGGCTTGCATTGCCTCTGCAAGCACTGTCTTTTGAGTTGTGCTAGGGCAACTTCGTCTTCGAGGGCATCGACACATGGACGTGGCTGGCTCTGATCGCCGTGGGACTCACCAGTGTCACGGAGCAGCTGCTCGTGACCTTGGGCTTCAGAGGCAGGACTTGGGCTGCTTCCCTTCCCTAAACCCTACACCCCTAAGCCATAAGTCGTCAGCATTTAAGCCCAAGGAGAGTTTTCAAAAGCCTCGTGTTGCACAGCGTGCAGGCCTTCCGGCCGCAGCTGGGACGCTGATGCTGACTCTGGAGGTGCCCTGACGTACGGAGATCGAGCTGTCTTTCCTATCGCAATTCGTGGTTTTGCCTTCCTCTCAACCCTAAGCCTTAAACCCTATACTGCGGTAGATCGAAAGTTTGACCTACTCCTTTCGTCGAGCACAGGCCCCCCGTTCCCCCACAGAATCCTATCAAACAGGATCAACCGGTTAATTTACAAAAGACAATCCAAAGCTAGTCTGCCATTGTAATTACACTGCATGCAGGAGATTCAGAACATGACGTAAGTCACCCGGACCTAGAAAACCAGATCCGGTTTCGGGTTTCGGTCTTATGGCTTACGGCTAAAGTTTTAAAGCTTATGGCTTACAGTACGCAGGGATACGCAGGGTGGGGGTTTACCGCTTCACCTATCCCGCCTGCAATCCGATAAACGGAGCACCAACAATCGTCACGTTAAGACATCTGGCAGACCGAAGGAAGTCACATAACCCCGTGAGGAATCATGATGCCTAAGCTCCCGGCACAGCAAAAACACCAAACACCAACAACTACGGATACTAGAAAGCCCCAGAAGCCTTTGAGACTCCCCCGAAACAACTCGCAAAGTCCACCTGAAGTCTCAAGCACCGCACGGCGCGTTACATAATTATCCAGAAATCCCAATACCGCGTACCTAAGCAGTAAATACCTGCAATTTAGAGTTCGAGATATATTTAGAACAACACACAAACCTTGCTAGAAAGCCCATACATCGCTAGCAAGGAGTTGTGGGGGCATTGGGCTCGCCTGGTAGCACAGATACACCCCCAACCCTAAACCCCTAAACCCTGAGCACCTAGACCTAATCCCTAAATCCTAATGAACCCGGACGTCAGAGGCTGGCTTTGCGTTCCTCTTCAGCGTGCTGGTGCTGCATGAAGCCTTGCGGCTCCAAACTGTGCTAGGCGCCCAGGGCTCAGTGTCCATGCATCTTGGGGCTTAGAGTTTAGGGTGAAGGCCTCGGCAGGGTTTAGGGCTTCGGGTTCAGGGTTTAGGATTAAGGTTTAGGTTTTAGGGTTTAGGGTTCAGTGTTGAAGCGTGTTTACCCTAGGCCCCAGAAATTCCTTGGCTCGAAGCGCTCTTTCGTTGGGGTGTCTCGCAAAGGGATGAGTAGACTTGACGTGCAGAAACGTTGAAGATGACCCCATGGCACCCAAGCCCTAAAACAAAAACCCTGGAGCCTACAACCCATAACAGCTGAACCCCAAACCCACTCCAAACCCTTCTGGAAAAATTTCTAAACCCTAAACCCTAAACCCTAAAACCCTAAACCCTAAACCCTAAAACCCTAAACCCTAAACCCTAAAACCCTAAACCCTAAACCCTAAATTAGATTCTAAACCCTAAACCGTAGACCCTTAAAGAACACCCCGAGGCAGCCTTGGTCGCAGTGGCTCCTTGCCGGCAGAGGGATATCACAGAATGGGTAGTTGTCAAAATTAGGGTCCCTAATTGGGTACCCTGAATAATAGCTGCCGTGCTATAATAGGGGCCCAAAAAAAGGGACCATAATTTTGACAACCACGCACATAATGTCTATGTCTTGTACTAATTACTAAGTGTTTTATATTTATGCTAGAGTTACAGTAGTTACTACTATGTGTTACACGTACGTATGTAGGTATGTATGTATGCATGTATGTATGTATATACAATAAGTTATGTTATATGATAAAAAAATAAAGACAGTGTAGATTTTGTATTATATGTTCTATACTGTGCACTTTCTAGTACGAGGCATTTTAATTGAGGCAACAAGATTGAAACTGAAGGCCGCCAATCCAAAGCTCGCCGCAAGGCAGTGGTTGTCACGCTGCGCCGGCCTGCAGGAAATCCAAGGCTGCCCCCCGTCCACGTTCAGTACTGGAAAATGGATTCGCCTCCCCTATGATAGTTCCTACAACAGCCCTAACCCTATAACTGCCAATAACAGCCCCTACAGTCCCCTGCCGCTGCGTATTGACCCCCGGTAAGAAGAGCCGGCGTGCCAGGCCAGCAACCACAGCCCACGGTGGAGAGAAGAGCCTGGAGCAAGTCGGCTTCCAGGCGGTCTGCAACTTCGATGTGGAGGGAGAGGCAGTGAGCCAGCGGCACAAAAGAGCGCCCTGAGATCAAAGAAGAGCCTCCAGAGCCTTGGATGTCGGAGGTTTACGGACAGTTGGTCATGTCTCGCTGAGATTGCAAGCGTCACATTTTAATGACCCTGAAGACTCCTTTCTGCGAGATTCACCTGCTTTCACGTCTTCCAGTGAGGGTTTAGCAGTTATTTCCAAGATCGCATCTTACGACGGCATTTGTTTGGTATCTGACTTCAGGTTTAAAGATTCAGACGGAACCGGCGAGTCACAAACATGTGCCCAGGAGCTATTATGTTCTTTCTTCGACCTACTCTTTGCCAAATTCATCTGCGCGGCACGCTTGCACCAGCTAGATCCTACTCTGACGACAAGGACGACTTTGCCAGCAGATGATGACTGCTTCATGGCGGGCCCAGCTTGAACTTCTCAGACTGCCGGCTCCCAATACGTATCTGTACAAACAAACGACTGCGTCACGCCACGTTCGCAGGCAAAGGGCAGCCCCAGCAGAGTTGACAGACAGCAAGCAAATTGCAAGGCGGCATCCACAAATTTGCCGTCCATCGTTTACCGTAAGCTTTCCAACTGTGTCCACGCCCCGGTGGCTCACATACCGATGGCCTGAGCAGGGTGTCAGTGGCACTTTATGGCTGGCAAGGCAGGGACTTGTTCATGAGTTAGGGTCTCCCGGACCGGGCAATTAACGACATGCCCAGAACGGCGCACGACCTGCGGGTGCCAACGCTTCTCTGCAGCAGAGGTCCTGAGACCACAGCGGTCAACTTACATGCCTCGGGAACTTGGTGCCAACCTACAGTGGAGGAGAGGAAGTCGCCTTGAATCTGGGTACAGGCTGCAACAGAGCAGAAGTGGCAGACCCGGCACCAAGCGATATCTTTGACAAAGACATTGAAGAGGAAATCACTTTGGCAGTTTCGTGCCCTGGGGTCCCTGGATTTCCTGCTTTCTTGTTCCGAGACGCTTCCCATCTCATGGGCATGCTTTGGAGGCTTCGTCAATAGTAACGCCTGCCGTGCTGCTTGCGTATCTCGATCCGTGCCCTGCAAACTACAATATGCAATATAGAAGTCGCTCCGCATGTCGGAGCGGTTGGAGTTGCTTCTGCGCTCAAGGTCCTTTCGGACTACGCAGGTTCAGCGCTACAACCCTTTGCTTCCAAGTTCGGATGCAAAACTGCAGCAAAGAGAAGAGCGTAAGCTCCTCGTCTTCAAGAGTCAAGAGATGCGCACCTACAAATCCGTGGAATCAAAGCGTGGCCTGTTTGTTAGCTGGCTTCCCACCCACTGATATGAAGTTCTGGAAGCTTGTTCCCAGGACATGCGTTAATCACTGCAGCATTGCCCAGATCTTATATTCGTTGGGTCCAGAGCTTATGAGGCCAGAATACGATTCTGATGATTTGGTGAACCTCAAGGACCACTTTCCTGAGATTGCAACCGAATCGGTACGCTGGGCAAAGAACATGAAAGGCCAACAAACTTTGCTGATATAGGCCACTAAGTACATGATATTGTATGCATGCAGCACAGCACATTGATGCTTGCTAGTGTATATCCAGAAGCACCGCTTGCATCCTGATGACGAGTATTTCTTCTGGATGCATGATCTGGGGTATTTTGCAGATGGTGTTTCTGCTTCCTCCCGGTGCTCTTTTCCGTTTGGCACAGGTTCTGCCCATGGCGAACGTCCGCGCCGCAAGTTTCGAGACCGGCTTTTGGGAGTTTCGTAAGGCAAAACTGGATCGTGTACTTATGCGTGTCGGAGACGTAAGTCTTGTGCTCGCAGAAAGCAGGCATCCAGCTGCATGACAGGATGCTGTAGCCGCCGAGAGAAGTTCGCCTTGACTGAGACGGGCGAAGCCCGCTTTGCACTTCTGTGAAATCAGCATTGCCATGAGGGATCGTACAAGAGGGTACCAGAAGAGTTTCCAGGGCAGATTCTCCGGGCCACCAAGGGGTTAGACAAGGGGTTGCTGTAAGGGTTACTAGGGGTCACAAGACGGCTACTGCAAGTCAGGGTGAAATGGATTCTGCACAGCCAAACTAGCTGCTCGGTGATCCGAAGGTTTGCAGGTAGGATTGAGGAATCTGAAGGATCTCTTGTATGCGGGCTCTCAAGTTTTAGTTTGGGATCATCCCGCGAACTTTAAACCCAAAGCCCCGCGCCCTAAGCTTCCTGTCCTAAACCCTAAACCCTATGCTCTAAATGCTCAACCGTAAAGCCTAAACCCCAAAGCCTAAACCCCAAACCCCACGCCCCAAATCCTCAACCTACCTTGGAACCCTTAGAGCTCTTTGGCAAAGGTCGCGACTATGCCTCGTCTCCTTGGGCCGCTTGGGCAGAGTAGCTGAGTAGGTATCCTTTAGCCTTTGGAGGGGTTCCTTATGTTGGGGTCCTTACAATGAGGGTCCTACTATTTAGCGTACTATATTGGGATCTCCTATTTTCGGAAACTCCTATATAATCCTACTATAAGTCAAGCTTTTTTTGGGGCTAGGCTACTCAGCCCCTAAGAGGGAGTCCTCTTGAAGATTGGTGAGTGTAAGACCATAAGAGGCCTTACCCTTACAGGGACCCCAATGCCTAAACCCCTCATGTAGGGGCCTTAATAATCACTTATACTATTGTTTTAAAAAGGCCCAAAACCCTACTATAATTATTAAGGCCCCTATATTAAACTCCAAACCTTACTTCACGTTTTCTTATAAGAATACTCAGGATAAACACCCTGCTTCACGTGAGAAGGTGACTCCGGTGCAGCTCTTTGACGGACCCAAGCGGAAGGCCCACATTTTCTCCGGGGAAGCTGCATGGACAACTGCTGAAGACTATGGGGCTTTTCCTTTAAGGGTTGTTTCAAGGTCTCCTATAAGGGTTCTTAAAGATGTTCTAGGGGTTCGATAGGATATACTGTAATGAGGGGCTTTTATGGCGCTTAGATTTGAGGGGCCTGTGGTTGCCAGGCCGGTGACTCCGAACAAGAGCTGCTTCTGCCGCCTTTCATTGCTTACGACTTCGAGGACCCGTCTTTTGGAGATCCCGATCCCCAGCATCTAACCCTAAACCCAAACTCTAAACCCTAAACCCTACTAGCCCTAAACCCTAAACCGAATTTGAACATCTCCCTGCACGGTAGGAAGAATACTCTGTTGATTCAGACATGGAGTTGCCAGAGAAGCCGGCGCCTCACTGCTCGGGGTTTCGAGGTTCCAGTGATCCTAAGACCCTAAATCCCAAGACCCCAGCGTATAAACTTTCCCCTTAAACTCTAAGCCGATAAGCCCCGAAACCACCCTGTACCCAAAGCCCGAAGCCTGAAAACCTCTTCACAACACAAATCGAAAACCTCGTAGCAGCAGTGAGATAAGGATCCCACCAAAACAAAACACACCTGAAGCCTAACAGAGCAAACCCTGAAACCTTAGCCCTGAACGCAAAGCCCTAAACCCTAGACCTTAAACCCAAACCCCATAATCTTAAACCCTAACGCCTAATCCCTTAAGCCGAAGCCCTAGCGCCTCATTCCGAAAGCCAAGCCCGAAACTCCTAACCTCTTAACCCTATAAACCCTGAACCCCTAAACCCTAAAACCTCTATAGAGCCCTTATAGATCCTTTTAAAGGAACCCTTATAGATCCCTTTTAAAGGAACCCTTATAGATCCCTTTTAAAGGAACCCTTATAGATCCCTTTTAAAGGAACCCCTATGAACCCTAAACCCGACGCCCTTAGGCAGATGCGCATCGGCGAACTCGAGGAGAGTTGGGGCGTCCGCCTTCCCGAGCCTCTTGGGCTCGTGAGTCTCAGAATCGGTTCAGGGGTTTCGGGTTTAGGGTTTAGGGTTCGGGGGTTGAGGGTTTAGGGGTTGAGGGTTTCGGGTTTAGGGTTCAGGGGTTTCGGGTTTAGGGTTTAGGGTTCGGGGGTTGAGGGTTAGGGTTCAGGGGTTGAGGGTTTCGGGTTTAGGGTTCAGGGGTTGAGGGTTTCGGGTTTTAGGGCTTGGGGCCGTTTAGGGTTTATGGTTCGGGGGTTTCGGGTTCTAGGGGTTTAGGGTTTGGGTTTTAAGGGGTTTTGAGGGGTTTCGAGGGGTTTAGGGTTCCTTCAACGGGAGGCGCTTTTTTTCCGGCTCTTGTTACTCAAGCCGAATAGTAGGAAAAAGGGTTGCCTCGATACTTATGGGGCGATAAGTCAAGTGTTGTATGCAGAATAGTAGCCTTTCATGGGTGTTGGGACATCATTTTACCTACTTTTGGTGGTGTTCAGGTATAGGGGACCCTAATAATACAGCCCTTGTATTCTGATAGAGTTTGGGGATATATTACACTATGAATTTATCAAGGAACTCTGAGGACACTACCATAAGCGGCTTCCATACATAAGAAAGGAGCCAAACTTATTGGACTGGGGATCTGTTGTTCGATGTTTGAATTCAGGATCTGTCAGGAGTACTATTCTATTTAAAATGCATAACCCGCAATCAGAGGATCCTTGTTAGAAGGGCCCTAGGCAAGGCCTCGAATTCCACATCTGGCTGGGCACCCGGGAAAGACGGGGGTCTCTAGCTGTGAGAAACCAACCCGGGGGTATGAAGTCATTGCCTTGTAGCCGGGTCTCCTTGAACAAATTGAGGGGAGTCGTTGTTTGGGTCTGCCCCACATGATTCAGGGTATAGAGGTCTTCCGTCAAGGTATCGCCTACCAGGCAGCATCTAGTTAACTTGAGTTCAGGGTGAGGGAGTTTCGGGGGTCTTGCGCAAAGGGATTCTGATTGCATTGGAGACGGCATGGCTCAGGCATCTCACACACTTCGTCTACGGACTCCTACCTCACCTGAACAACTCACAGGCCGGAGAACGATGTGAGTCTAGCGGTCTGCTTCGTCAAACGCGCATAGGCAAACAAGTCCTTGACACCAGCTTTTCACACCACTGATGCACAACTTCGTAACGGTCTCGTGCATAGTCGCTTGACCCACAAGTTGCAAGGGATGTTGCTTGTGGACCTCTAGCAGCAGAAGCAGCCGAATGAAGCAGCTGCAGCCATGAGAATGACCAGCCACATAAAGTCATCAAGGGAGAGTCACAGTGGTAGCCAGTAGCCGCTGTGGACGTTCCACTCTTGTCCACGCTTTGGATGAGGTGCAGGGAAGACAATCATGGTGTAACATTTTGTAAGATGTGAGAGAGCCTTGGACCAGAAGAAGCGCTACGAACAGTTGCAGTTGACAGGTCTTGACTTTTAGGCCCCTAAACCCAGAACCCGAGTGCTAAGATGTACCAATCATCAGCTCCAAACGGCTAGGCAGTCCGAGCCTGTTTCCTCGCCAGGTGTCGTCCCCTGCTGGCGGCTTTCGAGTGTTCGGCACTGAGACGTCTTCGGCTTCTTCGAGATTCAAGCCTTTAAACCCTCAACCCCAAACCTGAAGCTTTGGTTTTGCGGTGTGGGATTCCTAATCCGAGAGTTGGCGGCTGTCATTGAACTCAGCTCTCTGACGGCGGAGTTTAGTACCAGAAACTGATTCAACTGAGTGCATTTGCAGGACAGTGTTGCGACCGGCTAGCACAGATTCCGGCGGGTGGCATCGCCCTTGCAACTGAGGTAATCGGTTGATAACTGCACGCCAGAGATTCGATCATCAGGATATGGGCTTCAGGGATGTTCATGGTAATGTGTGCAGCAGCCCCCCTTATGGTAAAGGGAACTACAGTATAGTTCCCTGGTAGTACTCCTTGCAGTACCATGAACAGTAGCAGAAGCTCTGCAGCTTCTTGCGCTTGAGGTCACTCCGTTTCCTGCGCCGAGCAGAGCCGGCAAAAGCCGTGGCGCAGCTGCTGCAGGACAGGTTCCACTCCCTAAATCCTGATAACCTGAGCCCCAAAGACCTTCGGGCTGCGGGGGTGTGGGGAACTGTCTACGGGTGTATCTACGACTGAACCAGGTAGGCCCAGGTTTCTGGACATCTGCTTCACTTGCTGTCGTGCCTATCATGAACATTGCATTTTCGAACCCTAAACCCTAAATCCTAAACCCTAAACCCTAAATCCTAAACCCTAAACCCTAAACCAAAAAAACCTAAACCCTAAAGCAGTCTTTGTCGTCGGTGCTGCCGGTCTGAGCACTGACTCATCAAGCTGAACACCCAAGCTTCCAAGCTTAGTGTAGGGTTTTAGATAGTTACCAATACTATTCTGGGGTTTCCCGTTTCTGGCTACAGTATATTGGGCCCCGGTGTCCTATTCTAATTCTTCAGGCTCCTATACTATGGTATTTTTGTAGATCATTTGTAGTAACCCTTGTAGACCCCTGTAGAGGCACCCTGTTCTACTTTTTCAAGCCCCTATTTTAGCTGCAGCACGAAGAGACCGCAAGTCGTGCCGGCCAGCAGGATGCCTCGCAGCTCCTCTACAAGTGGAGTGCGGAGGAAGAAAAAGGGGCGCCAATTAGGGGGTACCTTATTTTGGGGTCCTTATAGTAGGGATCTAGTATATTAGGGTCCCTGAATGATGCCTTGCCTTGGATGTCGGGCCCCGTTGGGATCGGAGTTTTGCACTGCTCTCTCGGATGCTTGTTTAGGTGGAAGCAAGCGCAGAGGCTGTTGAGTGCGTCAACCAGACTTTCATGCTCAGGCCATGTCGAAAGCCTTGAACTTGAAGCAGGCCGACGGCGCCAGGGGATTTCCGTCCAGGAGTCCGTAAGCTCTGCTAGGGGTGTTCGACTGCAGGGTTTCGTGTCGCCAAGCCTGGAGGAGCAGACAGCGTGCAACCTTCTTGTGGACGCTAGCTCCGTGTGATTGTGTCCGCCTAATATGAGCATGTGTATCTATCTACCTACCTACCTACCTACGTACCTACCTACCCATGTACAAATATAAATATACATTTATGTATTTATACATACAAAGATCTGTGTAGAATATGTATAAGAGAACCACTGAATAAGTATATGCACGAATAAATGAGCCGACAACAATACATGTATGTATGTATGTATGCATGCATGCATGTATATATATATATATGCACATCTGTATATACATGTATATACGTGTATATATACGTATATGTGCATACGTGCATTCACTTGCATACCACAAGAGGTACAGCTGTCTGTCTCGTCGTATCTGAACGTCTATTCGTCTATCCCCTAGGTGTCCTGTGTACAATATATCCCGCAGATTTTTCCCTGTCAAAGCCCGGGGAATGCCAGGAGGATGTAGGGCTTAGGATACAGGGTTCAGGGTTTATGGCTTTGGGTTTAGGGCCGTTTAGGGTTTGGGGTTTATGGCAGGTAGAAGCAGAGTTCTACGGCACCTTGCTCCGTCAGCGGGAGCCGAGCCGCCGCGTCCTGCGAGGGCATGCTGAACAGTGCGGGTGTGGAAATGGGAAGGGGCTTTCGGAGGCATCAGTTGTAAAGGATGCTAGTCTGCAGAATATGAAGATTTGGAAAGGTAGAGAGTTGAGTTGGTCTGGACAGCCTGATTGATGGATGCAAAGCACAGGACAGTGCGCGGACACCCGTAAGGATGAGAGGGCTTGGGCATAACAGAGGTCGGTCAACAGAGATGTGGGTGCAGCCAGGCTTCAGCGCAGGCAGGAGAACTCCAAGCGCCGGGCTCAGCACTTCCGTGCAGTGGAGAGTTATAAGTTGGCTTCCGGAAGGCGACTACTGAAGTCGTCTTCTATCCGTGGTTTTCCTGATATTCAACATTGTACTCCTCAAAAGGTGCCATGGCTGTGCACTGAAGAACGCCCACTACGAGCAGCTGGGGGCGCGGAGGTCATTGGCAGCAGATATCGAGGAAGCCACAGGGTGCGGCAGGCAATGCCAACTGTAGACATGGATGCTGGGATGGTAGGTGAGAAAAGCAAGCTCTATATCTATGTCTTGCGTATCTGCATGACGGCATGTGTAAGCGTACGTAACATACAGTCGTTGTTATGTACATAGACGGTTACGAAACTTGCTGCATTGGCTTGCTTCACCCGGGGTGTGCAAGCTGTCGTCTCTTCTCAATGCAAGCCATCATGTCGACTCAGCGTTCCAGTAACTTGCTGACATGGTTTTTACGATAGTATAATTGTACACTGTAGTATCTGGTTTCGGAGATGGATGAAATCCACTCTGCTCCGTGTGTTACATCTATACTCTGACCCTAGCCAGTAAACCCTTTTTCCGACGCTCTTTTCACGGTTTGCCCGACCTGATTCAGGTCGGACCACTTCTTAACTTCAGAGGGTTTTGCATCGATCCTGGATTCCTGAATCCCAACAAGCCCCGTTCGTGGGCGCTTATTCTACCTAAGCAGGCCCTAAACCCGGAAACGCTTCAACCAACCGACAACACTCTACTCTATTCTCAGGCGTGAATCCTGAACCCCAAGCCCAAAACCCTCAACCATACTGGTTTTCTGGACGCTAACTGTGACAGGAAAAGAGGGCATAAACAAAAACACAAGCCCTAAACACTTTAAAAAGCCCTAAACCCTAAACTTTACTAAACCCTAAACCCTAAGAAGATCAAGAAGTCGAAGGACCTGGACCGTGAACTGGGCGCTGAATCCCTGGGCCTCCTACCACAGCTGCGGGCCAAGGAACAGGCCATTGCCAAAAGCAGCCGTCGGAATCCTTTCCGAGCTGGCGCAACATAGTGACCCTTAAAGTGCCTTAACAGTAGTCGCTTTTAATACCAATTTCAATACCGTGTTATATTCCTGCTCATCCCAGGCCCAATGTGTCTGATCATGATGACTATGCTTACAACAGGTGTTTTTGTTGAACTGTCAGATCGAGCCCGACCTTCTTGTGCACCACTGTTCCAGGCTGCTGAACATGATAGTCATTCTGTTTGCGTCGTCGTCATCGTTGCAGAGATAATCGCCATTGTGGTAGGGCAGCGCCGGCGAAATGCAGCCGCATTCACGGCTTCTTCCGGCACATGTTGCCATGGTTAGCGCGTCCTTTACGGCAGGTGTTGCGCGATCTCCAATGCCTGGATGAAGACGGCCTCATCTCCTTCAAAGGACGGAGCAGGAGTAGCCAACATGCGGACGCCTGAAGGCAATCGCAAGAAATCTACGACAACGATAATAACAAGAGTGCTAACAAGTAATAGAAACCATTACAGTCATAACAACTATGGAAACTCGAAGTCATCAAATAGCAACAAGAAGTAGCAGGGTCATCAGCAATATAGCCATAGTATTAGTCATTCAATAGCACTAGCAATAGCAATAGTAGTAGCAGTGGCAGTAGCAGAGAAATAGTAGTAGCAATGGCAATAGCAATATGAAGTAGTAGTAGTAGTAGTAGTAGTAGTAGTAGTAGTAGTAGTAGTAGTAGTAGTAGTAGTAGTAGTAGTAGTAACACTACAGTAGTAGTAGCAGTAGTAGTAGTAGTAGTAGTAAGAAGAAGAAGATGAAGAGGAATAAGAATAACCGTCGTCACAATCACACTAAGATTCAAATAATTTGCACATATTTGCACATCTTCTGGAAGACCTACGGACACACGCCTACGATTCGACCAAGCCGCTTTGCAGGACAGGCTGCAACGGAGGTGCTCTCAGGCGATGAGATCACGGTTGCAGAGGCTTCCGCGTTTGCATACTATTGTCAGATATCATGATCGAATTTGAGATTTTATCACCATTATTATATGCTGCCAGTAATACTATTATTACTCTTATTGCTACTATTACTTCACCATTACTGCGGTTGTTACGTCTTACTACTGTTCTTATTCATTATTATTATCACTATTGTTATGGCTATTGTTGTTACTATTATTGGGGTGAGTATTTCTATCCTGGGCCGATGGATCTGGGACGACATATGGGAGTTTCCGAAAATAGGGGACCCTAATGTAGTACCCTAAATAGTAGGATCCTTATTATAAGGACCCCCAAACAAGGTACCCCTAATTGTCGGAAACTCCCATATTCGTCGCGGTTGCAGCTGCCGTAAGCAAGGCTCAAAGACAGAATCAGACCGAGGCTGCGGAGAGATGAGCACAGGGAGCATGACTACTACTACTACTACTACTACTACTACTACTACTACTACTACTACTACTACTACTACTACTACGACTACAACAACAACTACTACTACTACTACTAATAATAATAATACTTATAATAATATTAATAATAATACTAATAACAATAACAATAACAATAACAATAACAATAACAATAATAATAATAACAATAACAATAATAATAATAATAATAATAACAATAATAATAATAATAATAATAATAATAGTAATAACAATAATAATAATAATAATAATAATAATAATAATAATGATAATAATGATAATAACAATAGTAATAATAAAATAACAATAACAGTAATAAAAAAACAATTCAAGCATCAATAATAGTAATAACAACAATGATAATGATAATCGTATCCCCTTTATAATCACACAGTTATTCTAAAGATGTACCTCAAACTCTGGGATGCCAGGTGGTGTTCCACAACATTCTGGAAGGCCACACCCCGGAAGAAGTGGCAGCAGCCGTCACGGCCTTCGTCTTCCCGGACAAGGTTGAGATGCCCCAGGACATCCTCCATAGGCAGCTGAGTACCTGACACTCAGACTCCGAAAAATCGACTCAGAGGAAGATAGCGCCTGCCCCTCCCGCTCCCCGTGTTTCATAGGCTTCCCCCTTCTGCGCCACGTCACCGAAGGATGCGACGATGGAGGAGCTGCCGGAGAGCCTGGCTACGGTTCGGCAGGCCGAAAATGCAGGGAAATGCGTAGCCTCAGGGACCAACAAGTTTTGGTGTATCGGGCTCCGCAATCTTTATTGTAGCTCGAAACCCTGCCACAAGTCGGCAGTTAAGGAAGAAATTGTCTGTAAGAATATTGCAGACTTTGGTTGATCGCTGACTCTTTTCCATATTACTTCCCTCAAAGACTAAGGCCGATAGCCCCGTATGCGGGGCCGGGGAGCATGAAAGGCCGAGCTTCTGGAGGGTCATGTTAGGACCGTTAGCTTTAGAACAAAGCGGATGCTTCAGCAGAAGAGATTCGTTGCCGACAAGCATGTTTTGGGAAGGCGTGCTTTGGAGTGCGAGAAGTGTGTTGCTGTTTACTGCCTCGTCTTGCAGGCTACAGGTGCTGATATCGTCATCGGGGGTTTTGACCTATGCAGGAGGTGATGAGCTAGACAGCCTTTCATTGAGTTGCTGAATGTCGCCAGCTCCCCACACGACAAGATAGACGCAAGCTTGTTGTCAGCGGTTTCCAACTGCGGTGCTAGCCAATAAAGACGGTAGTGAGCTGCAAAAGGTGGCAGCACCCATAACCCTGCCTACTCCGATCATAGCTTTGCGCGAGAAATCTGTTGTCTGAACTTGTGCTACAGACTTACATGCCACAGGCCAGTGGGAGACTGAAAGAAGTGCAGACTCTGCAGTTATATGCCTCACCCCGCGGTTTTTGTCGGACAGGTTCCCTTGCAAGCAGCTTCTGTAAGGTAAGCCCCACCGCACTGCTGGACCTTTACTGTAGCCTGACCTCGAAACACCAAACAACGCTAAGACCACTACAGCTCACTAAGGCCCCCTGGCCCGAAGAAGCCTTTGAACAACTAACATGCTTTCTGCATTCAGGCGATGCTCGACCAGCACTACAAGGCCACTGGGAGGTTCCTACTATACCCTTGCATGCCAGGTGAAGCCGGTGAAGCCCAAAGCCTTCTTTCCGACGAAAGGTCACCCCTCCCATCCCCGAGTCTCTCTCTCTCTCTCTCTCTCCCTTTGTCTCTTGCAACTCCAGACCCTAAGGCCCTAAGCCCTAAAGCCCGAAGCCCTGACAAAAAGGCCCTCGCATGCACATCTCCAGGTTGAGCAGCTCCTCGTGAAGCACCGAGCCCAATACGACTCTGAGGCGCCTTTGCACGTGGAGGGGTTCAGGGTGTGTAAGGCTCAGGGGGTTCAGGGGGTCTAGGGACTACAGGGGTTTAGGGTGTAGGGGGTTCAGGGATTCTAAGGTTTTAGGGTTTAGGGTGCATAGTTAAGTAGGGGGTTCAGGGGTTATAAGGCCTCCAGACCACGTGAACTTCGAACCCTCGGCCCTGGGCCTGTGATGCAGTTGCCTCTAATCCTAGGGCTGTGCTTCAAGGACCGTCAGGGGTTTCGTTTAACGAGTTTCGATTGAGAACAGAACAGCGCATGGAAGATGCTCTTTTCCCAGAGGGTCCAAGTACTCCCTATTATAGGGCCTTTTTAGGTACCAAAAACCACAAATAGGAACTACTTGGACCCTTAGGGTTTTAAGATGTGCTTAACGGAGGAGTTTGCGCGCAGCTGCAACGTTGCGCTCATGGGCCCGAGACTGAGCACGAAGAGTCGGTTTCTTGTTACTCTTTAAAGTCTGTGAACTTGTCGGGATGCGCGGAGTTAAGTTCAGAAACTGATTCTGCCGTTCTGCTGGCGTCTCCGTCGTACTTGCTGTAGGGTGGATGATCCGAAACCTGAAACCAAGTTCCGGCTGGATTGCGGAGGCACTGCGTACCGATGGGCCTGCGGAGAGACTTTCGCCAACATCATGCAGGAGTCCCCCTTCCAGGACAGAGCGTCGACTCCTTCCAGATGTGGAGTCGAGACGGGTGGAGCCCACCCCTAGCAATAGTCGACGGTTAGGTGAGTGGTGAAATGCAGCACTCCTACTCTCCTGTGCTACAAATATTCATAGATATGAAGACAGATGCGAACATTGATTGTAGCTGCTAGTACCAATGGCAATACCGCTACGAGTAGCAATACCCCTAAACCCCAAAGCCCTCAGACCTAAACCTTAAACCCCTCAACCCCTAAACCCTAAACCCCCTCAACCCCTAAACCTCTAAACTACCAGAAGAAGGGCCCTTCCGTGCCTCCCTGCCGGATCCTGAGCCTTAAACCCGAGACCATGTTAACCCTAAACCCTCAATCCCGGACGAGGGAAAAAGGCGTTCAAAAACCCTAAACCCCTGAACTTCCGACCTTCCGGATCCAGGAAGGCGCCATTGTCCGGGCCATTGTTCGGGCAGAGGAGTTGCTCCGGAAGCTGCAGGCACTCCCGGGGCTTCCGAAGCATGAGCTATTGGGGTTGAGGGGTGACATAGAGGTCAGGGGTTTAGGGGTTTAGGGTTGAGGAGTTTAGGGCTTAGATGGACTTGGGGCTTTGGCCCTTTGTGGCACCGAATCCCAAGTTTTCGAGTCGCCAGGAGGTGGCCAAGATGCTGGGCAATAGTGTCCTCCAGAATGCCAGCGCCTCGTGTCCAGAAGAAGCTCAGCGAATCTGCGCGCAAGCAGCGCCACGGTTACCCTAGACCCTAAGCCCAAACCCAAACCCTAAACCCTGGAATCCATGAAACTTCCTTGAAATCTTGCCCCGGAGGTTTTCTCGGAAGCAGCTGACCTGATCCACCGGGACATCGCATTCGTACCCTCCCTGTACATTAAGCAGGCGTGAGAAGGAGCCTCGTGATCTGGCTTCTACGGAAACTCGCTCCCTGCGTCTCACCTTCTCGGAGAATGACTTCGTCGCAGAAGAAAATGCATTGCTGTGTGCAGCATACCCGAGCTCCCTCAGTCCCCGATGCCCAGCATCTGTTCAGATGTTGCCACGGCAGCCGAGGTTTGATTCTGCTTGCAGTTCCGGTTCCTACTAGTATTAGGGTCTGACCCGACAGCTGTTGCTCGAACCATTTCTCGAAACGAGTTTTCCTCAAGCTGCGTTTGGTTCGAGCGGGTCTCGCAGAGCTCAGCTGAGGGCCAGGAACTCCTCTCCATGCAACCGTGAACATTGAGGCCTGGTGATAGCTGGTCAGCAGCTGGTTGGTGTGCATGAGGTTTTTGGGTGAAGACTTAGAGACTCGCTTGTGTGTGCCATTGCACATACCATTCTATACATGCATACCGCATAGGTGAGTACACACGCATACATGTATGTGTACGTGTTCATGGATATGAAGATGTAGAAACTAGACTATAGGCCGAGAAAGGCTCGCGCTTTCCGAACACATGATGCCGATGCAACTCGAGTTTTTGACATCCCAGCCGACGTTGACAAGCGGACTTGCACAGACTTCTAGCAGCCATTGGAGTGTTGTTATGGGAGTTTCCGAAAATAGGGGACCCTAATGTAGTACCCTAAATAGTAGGATCCTTATTATAGGGACCCCAAAACAAGGAACCCCTAATTTTCGGAAACTCCCATATAGAGCCCGTTCAAAGAGCCCTTACAGAAAGCTCAGAAAATCCACGGGTACCTGGTCGCAAATGCGGTGTCCTTGCCTTTCCCGAGGCCTTTAAACATTTGCGCGATCCTCAACTCCTTACCTTTGGTTAGTAGGGAATGGAAGAATGGTAGCAATAGTAGTTATAACTGTACCCCATTCCTCCATTCCCTACTAACCAAAGGTAAGCAACATGCTTTGCGTTAGGGTTTGGGCTTCAGGGTTGACGGTTAGGGCTCCGGGTATCGAGTTTGGGGTGCAGGGTCAGGGTTTTGGTGTTTTGAAGGGGGACTCTTCAATGCCGCACTGTGCCAGGTCTCCAAATCAGACCTGCAGATAACCGGCTACCGGTCGTGGAGGAAAGCAGTTTGCTGGAGTCCAGCAGGGACTCTTTCAGTGTACGCCACAGAGTTAAGAATTTGTAGTGCAGTGTTCTTGACATAAGGGTCCACGAGGGCTTGCATAGATTTTTTAAATAGTTTTTTTCCGCAGTGTTGAGGTTGTTCTTTGATCATGTCGCAACAGGGACTGCTGCTCAATCGTATTGGCAGTTTTACGAAAGCCACCTCCGAGACTTTTGCTCTTCGATGCATCTTGGATCATCCTGGCCGCTTGCTCAAGGCACTGCAGAAGATAGTTCCTAGTCATGATTTTGCCTTTTTGAGCAGTAGCTTATCAAATATCCATGCATGTGCTCTCCGAATGCTGGATCCCGAGGACTCGCATCATCTTTTAGAGATGGAGCAGATTTCATTTGTGGGTTCTGCTGTGACGAGTCGTTCTCGGTGCCTTGTGGTGATAGGGACAGGGCTTGCAGGGCTAGCAGGTGCCTGTCTGATTCTGGCAGCACTTGTTTCGGCCGGCTCCTCCCGTGTCTCGAGTGGACAGATCGTATCACCGGTCTATGACTTGGGCCTGGCGCCAGAGGAGGGCTTGGATCCCTTGATTGGTTTGAGCAGACTGGCTGAACTCGAGGGTCTGCCAGGGCTGCCTCCAGAAATCAGCGAGATTGCCTCCCTCCGCCCCAACGTGTCCACGGAAGCTGCGAAGCGAAGGTTGAGAGACCTTGGTCGAGCAATCAACTTCCACAGACCCACGGCCATGGAGGAACAGGCATACAGAATGTCGCAGTGCGTGGGTGCGACCTACGATATGGCCACCTACCTCGGCTGGGCAGGCTTGAACATCGATGCTTTCGCCATAAACGGCTTGTGTCCCGACACAGCAGATGATAAGAGCTGCTCAGCACAAGCTGTCGGCCTTATCTTCAACCTCTTCTGGGTGATAGCCAATGCGGCGCAAATCCCCGTGTGGTGCCTGGCTAGAAACATGACGAACTCGTACATTTCCAAAAGCAACGCCTGCGTGGTGACATTCAGCGTCTTTTTTGCAACGGTATTTCAGATGACATCTGATGGTCTGACTGCAAGGGCTGATTGTGACTTCAGCGAAGATGACGATGAGGACGACGACGAAAGGCTTCTCATTCCTGGCATCGGCGCCTTTAAAGCAAGAGTCCGCCGACGCTTGCATGAATTGAAGCTTGCTGCAGCTCAGATGCCTCATCATCCAGTTTTGTCTCGGCGAAACACCTCAGAACTGCCCTCACGACTGCCACCCAACAGCTGGGTCAAGTTGCAGGATCGGCTCCTCCAAGACATCGCAGATTTGGGCCCTGATGACACACGCGCTCAGGAGAAGGGCGTCTGCGGGCTTATTATCGCACAGACGATCAACGACTTCCCTTACACGGGCACCGACATTTGGGCCCTCTTGAACACTTGCTCGGAGCTCAACTGGAAAAACGGTAGCGATTACAAGGTAGCGCAGGAGGACTGTGCAGCCGGAGCCTTGGCAGTCATTGCCGACTTGGTGAACCTCGCGACGGATATTGCGGTGATCATTGCAGCGTGCCTTGGTCCAGAGCAGAGGCCGCGAAAAACCGTCTGTGTGGCGATCGGAACTGACTTGACCTCCAATCTCTTATCACTGGGAGCTTGGGCTCTGACTGTGGAGCATAGCTGCAACTTGAACCATACTGAAATTCTCTCCCCCATTGACCTGTCGATTGGGAGCTAGTTGACTCGGTGATTGCTAGAGTGCGTTTTAGGTGTGGCTTACGTGCCAGTTCCCTGTATTTTTTTATGCTGGGTGCGGCAAGCCATCATGCTAAGTTTTCCTTTTGGCAGCTGTCGTCACCTCGCCGTTTGGTCTGGGCGGCGTGAGAAGGATCCCGCACAGGCCATGCTCGCAAGCCACGTCAGAGTCAGCTACTTGAAGGGCTTCAGGAAGAAAGGAAACAAGAATGGCCCAACATCTCTAAAAAGCTACTGTTCTGCATACTTCTGTGGTCCAGGTAGGGGATGCAGATTTCTTTTGGGGTCCGGTCACTTCAGAAAAAGGTGCAATATCTATCTATCTCTATCTATCTATCTATCTATCTATATATGTATATATTATATATATATATATTAGTATTATTATTAGTGCTATTATTTGCTCGGCATTTTGTGGGATTGAGGGTTCAGGAATGGCTGGCTTGCGATTTCTGCCTGGTGACATGAGCAGGTAGTGATAGGAACTGTCAGTGAAACTCGCTGTAGACTTCAGGATCTTGCCAAGCAAGATAATTCGTGCTTCCATTTTGCTGGTCCTTTCGACAGACAGTAAGGTGCCACAACAGAGTCTGCCAGATAGCTTCGGGGAATTAGGTACCATCTCTGCCAGAGATCCGATAGGCCTTGACCCTAGGGCGCATGGGCCAGGGCCAGTTGATAATGCTAGCTGTAAGGAGCCCCTGCGGCTTCGGAATGCAGCGATCCGATGCAGATCGCCGACCAAAAGCCCCGGGTGTTCCCGCCAGACTCAGCAGGTTTCCAGAGCCCAGGAGTGATTAGTAATATGGGGGGCCTGAAAACTTACCTACACTATTTTTGGGGGTTCCTTATCATTATAGTATACTTGGCCCCAAAACCCCATTCTAACTATCAAGGCCCCTTTTGTACCCAAGACAGCTGTCGCATGGGACTAAGGCCATGGCTATAGGAGGGAGGAAGGAACCCCTGCAAAAAGCCGGGCAGCCGGCAGAACCACAATGCGTGCACTACGGTTGATGAGAGAAATCTTGCACTACCCATAAAAAGGAATATGCCATAATTCCCATAGTCTAGGGTCCTTAAGGTTTCTATCATCAACCGTAGGTTCTGCTCCTTGGACATGACAGAAATTTCGTGTTGGTTCCATTGACAAGTATAACAGGATGCAATTCAGGCTTCTGTTTGAGAGCAAACGTTTTGAAGTTGTAGTGGAAGTGAGAGAAGGGAACAGGCCTGCTTTGTACTGTAGTTCAGCCACACAGCACGCATGTGTTCACACGCACGCATACTAAACCGGGCGTCACATGCACAAACACGTCCAATTCCATGGACGAAACAAAGCTACTCTTGTGGATCCGGAATTAGAAATTAGTATCCAAAGCACAGAAATGTCGAGCATCTGGCGAAATTCAGGAGTTGTGCTGCTCCCTTGCGGGTTTTGAGGTTGAGGTGGAGGTTCACGGCTTCACAGCGCGCCAGGAGACCCGCGCACCTGTGCCGGCAAGCTCGCTTCGACCACTTCTGTTGTGAGTTGCAGTAGCTGCAGTTGGAATGGTTATCGAGAAAAAAACGATGTCAAAGAGCGCCCCTGAGTTCGCTGGATGCAACAGGCTCAGACTTCTGCGAAATCTGACTGATGCTAGTCGTACGTATGTTTCTTTATTGCAAAGCACGTGCTTAGTTCCTGCACGAGCTGTGGCAATAATGGTCGCCATACCCGTAACGGAGTCGCGACGGCAAGAAGACAAGCGGATGTTGTTGTGGTACGCTTTACGTAGCAGTTATCCGAGCGCTCCTGCCTTTTCACAGGGAAGACAGGAACACCCGCACTGATGCAAGTCGCATCAATGACAGCAACATTTGGGTTTCAAGAAGCAGCAATAGCACTGACGAAAGGAATAGTATGAGCAGTCCGCCCTCACGACAGACGTAAACCAGCCGCTTCATGATTCAGCGATAGTAGTGGGGTGCTGGCGGCGCTTGTGGTGCTGGGTCGTTGCCATCACCATCATGGTCATCATCGTCATCATCGTCGTCATCGGCATCACCGTCATCAGTGTTATCCTCCTCGTCAACATCATCGTCATGACCATCAAGACCATCACCATCCACCTCACCATTATCATCATCGTCATCATCATCATCATAATTATCATCATCTTCGTCATCATCTTCATCTCTATCATCGTCATCCTCAGCATCCTCGTCCTCCTCCTCCTCCTCCTCCTCCTCATCATCATCATCATCATCATGAGTTTGTATTCACCATCGCAACTTACATGTTCATCCTCATTTCCTCCTCCTCCTCCTCCTCCTCCTCCTCCTCCTCCTCCATATCAGCACCACTATCATAAACGTCATCATCATCATCACCATCATCAATCATCATCATCATCATCATCATCATCATGGCAATCACTGTCATCACCGGCCCCAGTACCATCATAAGCATCATCTGAATTACAGCCATGGCCATGACGGTAGCCTGCAACAGAGCAAGACAGACCTCTTGATCAGGCTCCGCGCCAATTTCTCCAAATCTGATTCTGTGGCCTTTGGCTTGTAGGGCTGCCTTCAAGGGGGGGGGTCCAGGGGCCCTTGGCCCTTCCCCACTCCCGGGAAGCCATGCGTGCCGGTGCTGCCTCTGCAGCTCGCTGGGCGAGGCCCTCTGGAGAGCTTACCTTGGGTTAGTAGGGAATGGAGGGATGGGTTCCAAGTATAACTACTATTACTACCATTCTTCCATTCCCTACTAACCAAAGGTAAGAGAGTGGTGCGAGCCAGAACATAAAGAAGATGAAGAGGTCAAGAGAATTGTCAGGCAGCGATGGTTAGTGGCGATGATGATGGGGATGTTGGCTGCTGTAGCCACGGCGGTAGTGGAAGAAGAAGCAGTAGTTAGCGTGAAGGGTGAACTTGCAATACGTCTTTCTCGCGACTTTCCTTTTCGCAATGGTTTGAGAAGTTTGAGACGCCCGGGCTTGGGCCGTGCCTGTGAGTGAGGCCCTGGGGTATGGAGAGCTTTACAGGTTCAGGAGTTGGGATGCGGTTAGGGCCAGGAGACGACACGAGAGAAGCTGTACGTTGTGCATTGGCGTGAGACTCGCAGCGGAGCGCAGCGTGTACAGGGTTGCAGAAGTCGTTGTGCTTCTCCATGGTGTCGCCCGCCACGGACTTGCAAATAGTGGAAGCAGGTGCAGAAATGCGCACTGCTCACTGTGGGCACGCAACCTGAATGCAACTTGCCTGCAACTGGCGAGGGCAAAAGACTTGTGATCACTCACTTCCCGCATCTTTCCAACCTCCAAACTCTAGAATCTTGAAACCTCTGGTGGCTGGGAGCAGCGGGGCTCGAAAGATGGATTACGACTTCAGTCTTTTCGCGGTCTGATATATGCCCGTTTCCGGAGTCGCCGAAATGTCAGAGACTCATGGGACTCGATGACTCCTTGCGAATGGCTAAGCCTTCGGGCAGAGGATGTTGAAGGATGTTGGAGTTGCGGTCTTGAGGGATTGTGCCTCGGAAAACAGCGGCAAGCGAGCAGATGAGCAGATGTGGTGGTGTTGCCTAGACCCTGAATAAAGAAGCCTCGCTGGAGTTCGACTAAATAGTTCAGATTCACGATATTACTTATTCTCGAGGGTTCCTTGTTTTTGTTAGAGCACAACATGCTCAAAAATCCTGTCTCATATTAAAGGCTCCTATGCCACCGAGCATTTGTCAGCACATGGGTAGTTGTCAAAATTATGGTCCCTTCTCGGGTCCCTATTTTAGTACGGCACCTCTTATTCAGGGTACCCAAAAAGGGACCCTAATTTTGACAACCACCTATATGAGCCATGACGAAACAGGCGAAGCTCCAATTCCATCGTCGTGGCCCGAGACACTTTGGACAGCATTACCCAGTACAGCAAACCCCTTAAAGTTGGAAACCGGATTAAGGCCAAATAGTGCTGGAATTCCCTATGCAGTACTATTAAGGATTGAGGCTATGGGGTTTCCAACTTTTGGGCTTCTACTGTACGCTCACAACCCTTCATGTGCTCTCCGGCATGCGGCTTTAAGGAAGCCTTATAGATCCCTTTTAAGGAACCCCGAAACCCGGGCTCCTCTTCGAATCTCTGTTGCCGTACTCATTTCGAAAGGAGTTGTCCCGGCCCCGGCGCCGAACCCGATTCCCCTTGGACCTTGGAGTTTAGGGTTTAGGGTTTAGGGCTTTCGGGGTTTGGGGTTTGGGGTTTAGGGTTTAGGGCTTTAGGGCTTTAGGGCTTTCGGGGTTTGGGGTTTAGGGTTTAGGGCTTTCGGGGTTTGGGGCTTTAGGGGTTGGGGGTTAGGGTTTTGAACTGGCCCTAAACTCAGAAATCCCCCTTTGTTTCATTTAGGCTTGGCCCGGAACTCTATATCCTAAAGCCTAAATCCATTTAGGAGAGAGGCCTTCGGGTTTTTGGGCTGCCAGGCACTTGCATTACCGGATGCCATTATCTTGCTCTTTCAGATCAGAGTTTAAATCATTCCTGGCCCACTCTGCAGGTTTTAGAGTGTAGCAGTTTAGGGTATAGAGTTTATTAGGGCTTTATGGTTTAGCGCTTTTGAGTTTCGTTTTGAAAGCCTTACAGCGGGGGGGGGAGGATCCAGGGACTCGAGGGAGTTCGTTCAAAAAGCGTAGCGGACTTGTAGGCAGTACTCGGTAGAAGTTTCGCACATGGAGGATTAAGAGTTGTGAGTCGTGGGGCGAGGGGCAATACACACCAGCTTTTGTTTCGTGCATGATAGTTCTTAGAGTACGTGGGTCTCTAGAGCATGTTGGCGTTGTCCGATAGGCAATGGGTTTCGGTCTTGAATCGCAGCTTGAGGCAGGAGAGGGAGCATGCATGCACATGTATGTCTGCACATATCAGAAAATTTGCATATCATCTTAAATTACACGAACGTTTTATCATATAGTGTAATATAATGTAATGTAAGCTACTTTTATGGGGTTATAAAAGAGAATATAAGACAAGACAACGTAATATATCACTCGCAAACGTAATCTAGTTTACTTTAACCTAGTCTAGTATAGTATAATAAGAGAGTGAGATGATACAAGATGAGGCATATACTCCAATCTAATCTGTTGTAACAGAATAGAAGATTGCGTAATCCAACATTACACTATACTATACGAAAATGTAATTTAGTAACCGAACCTAATCTAGTATAAGATCATATGTGCCATGTACATACACAGGCGCATTTGTGCACAGTTTGTCTCAGTTACATCACATCCAAACTTCTCCAGGCCCAGTCCGACGCCCTACACCCCAAAACCCCAAACCTCAAAAGTAAGGGATCAAGGGACTTAGGAAGTGAGGTTATAATTAGAGTAACTATACTTATAACTACTTATAACCCCGATTAGGGTACTTATAACCTCACCCTAAACCCTCAACCCTAAACCCTAAACCTCACGTCCTAAGTCCCATGATCCTCCAAGTAGTCCTGACCCAGAGGCCCCATAGTAGCTCCTTTTTGGGATTACCTTATAGGATTCTATATACGAACCCCGAAAAGGAACTACTTTGGGGCCTTAGGGTAGATGCTGCGCAAGGTGGCCTCGCCGCAGCGCCTTTGCTGCGCTTGGCGGCCGAGCCGATGCCCATCTCTGGCTTCGTGGAGCTCCTTGGTCTTTAGGGCTTAGGGGCTCTGGGGCTTAGGGGCTCTGGGGCTTTGGGGTTTAGGGGGTTTGGGGTTTAGGGTTCAGGGGCTTTGGGATTTGGGGTTTAGGGACTTTAGGGTTTAGGGTTTTTAGGGGCTAGACACTGATCCACGCATTCTTCAGGTGTCTGCAAAGTAGGTGTTCTCACTATATAAGAAAGGGTGTTGGGGTATGCATATTTGCTTGGTCGTCTTCGTAAGTGTGGTGTTCGGTCACAGTTTTCTCTGGGTCGTCTTCGTAAGCATGGTGTTGGGTGCCAACTCTCTCCCAACCCAACCCTCTCCTCCCCTCGTCTTCGTAAGCATGGTGTTGGGTGCCAACTCTCTCCCAACCCAACCCTCTCCTCCCCTCCCAACCCACAACCTCCTCCCAACCCCCTCCCAACCCACTCCCTCCCAACCTCTCCTCCCAACCCACTCCCAACCCCTCCCTCCCAACCCACTCCCAACCTCCTCCCAACCTACTCCCAACCTCCTCCCAAACCCACTCCCAACCTCTCCCAACCTCCTCCCAACCTCCCAACCCACTCCCAACCTCTTCCCAACCCACTCCCAACCTCCTCCCAACCCACTCCCAACCTCCTCCCAACCCACTCCCGCAACCCTTTCCCGACCCTCCCTCTCCCACCCTCTTCCCAACAGCCTCTCCCAACCTTTTTGCCTGTACCCAACCCTCTACCCAACCCACCACTCCCAACCTACTCACTACCTTCCAGTCCAAGCCAAACACCCACCAAGACACACCTCAAGCCAAATTCGCTCTGCCTTCTTCCGGATGCAGGTCCGAATTCTTTTTGGGCAAGTAGCGGGGTCGTCTTCGGGAGGGCGGTTCGGGTTTCCTTAAGAATCCGTGTCGGCTTCGGGAGGGGCCCAAGTGCCGGTTTCGGCAGTTATCTTCTTTAGTGCTCCCAACCCACTCCCCAGCTGCTCCCAACTACATAACTCCCAACCCACTCCCCAAGCTCTCCCCAGCTGCTCCCGAAGCAATCACATCGCGGAGGCATCCTCTTATTTACTGAGAACACCTCCGCCGTAGACACCAGGAACATCCCCTGAACTGAGGCAGCGTAGCTGCGGCTCCTCCCTGATCAGCAACGTTTGCGCTTCCGGTGAGGCTCCTTTTGGGGGTGGGGGTTTAGGGTTGCATATATATATATATATACACACACACAGTTATCGTTTTTTGTTTTATTGTTATATTGGATTTGGCGTAGGGGAGCCCGGGCAAAGTCCAGCAAAAGGCAACGGCTTAGAGTTGGATTGGCTACTTATCATAATGCCGGTCGTGGTTCTGGCAATGCAGGGGTGTTTGATTGTAAGGAACTCGCGTGAATCCACACATGTCGGATCTATTCAGCATGACCTCCGAGCTAGCGAGTGCCCATGAGTAGAGCTCTTGCCTGCCAAAAGCGCTGCACAAGAGATGGGATGCGAGGAGGCGGACGCCATGGATGTCAGTGTGGCGGCAGCCCAGGTTCGATCGAGATCTGTGTGTCTCTGTGAACTTTAGACTCCTGTGGCTGTTATGGGGACATTTGCCGGCCTTTGGGTGTGGGTTTCGTGTCAGCGGCATGAGAAAATCCATGCTTCCTGGCTGGAAGAGTAGCTATGAGTGCTGCACAAGGTATGCCAGGTTCTACCACACCAGCTTACTTGCCATCGCCATACGCTGCTCTGCCTGCTTGCTCGAATTGCATGTTCTGACGCACGCGATCTGCTCAAAATCGGTATGCGGCAGGCAATTGCAGTCATTCTTGATGGTGCCGGAGCCACAGCTTCGCGCAGGGTAGCAGGAGGTCAGCGAATTTCCAAGAGCGTCATAGTAGTAGTCGTCGTCGTAGAATGTAGTAGTAGCAGAAGTCGTGGTGGTCTACCACAACTAACTACCACTACCACTGCCGCTACCGCGGCGACCCGCGACTACCAACTGCCACTACCGCTACCATTGCAGATGCCGCTGCCGCCACCGCCACCGCTGCCGCTACCGGGTCCCGCTGGTACTGCTGGTACTGCTGGTACTGCTGCTACTGCGACCGCTGCTACTGCCACTACTACTACTACTACTACTACTACTACTACTACTACTACTACTACTACTGCTACTGCTACTGCTACTGCTACTGCTACTGCTACTGCTACTGCTACTGCTACTGCTACGACTACGACTACGACTACGACTACGACTACGACTACGACGACGACTACGATTACGACTACGACTACTACCACTACTACGATCACTACTACTACGACTACTGCTGTTACTACTACTCCTACTACTACTACTACTACCACCACTACTACTACCACTACTACTACTACTACGACGACGACGACTACTACTACTACCTACTACTACTACCACTACTACTACTACTACTACCACTGCTACTACTACTACTACTACTACTACTACTACTACTACTACTACTACTACTACTACTACTACTACTACTACTACTACTAGGCTTGCGCGCCTCCTGGCGCCTGGTAGTTTGGAGGTGTTCGAGGGTCAAGAGTATCGGTTTTAACAGGGTTTTGTGAAAATCGCAGTTTGGGTACGTTGTCAAAAACTACTTTGTTTTTGTAAGAATTACACTTTCGGATGACGATGATGATGCTAATGATGATGATGAAGATGCTGAGAATGCCAACGATGTGCATGTTATTGGAAGCCGATATTAGGACTGAGGACTACGGCCACTAGTTCGAGGGTCAAAAGTATCGGTGTTTACAGGGTTTTGTGAAAATCGCAGTTTGGGTACGTTGTCAAAAACTACTTTGTTTTACTAATAATTACACTTTTGGATGACGATGATGATGCTAGTGATGCCACCGCACCAGTGGAAGAAAATGCTTCGAAAACACACGAAAATCGAGCCACACCGCGGGGATTGCGTTTTCGGCAAAAATCGCGGTTCAGCAAGTCGCGATTGACACCCCCACCAAACCCTGCCCTCCCAGTCGAAGAAAAGGCCCATAAAACGCTCCAAAGTACCGGCACTGCCAGTGTTTTTGGCAACAAGAAAACCATTGCGGTCGACCATGTCGTTATTAACCCCCCCCCACCCACCCCCCCCCCCAACCCAAAACCTCCCCGAAACACTTGAAAACAGAGCAAAACACCAGGCGCCAGGAGGCGCGCATGGGTACTACTACTACTACTACTACTACTACTACTACTACTACTACTACTACTACTACTACTACTACCACGACTACTCTACGACGACGACGACCCACCCACTGCCGCCACCATCACCGAAATTTCTGGCATTTCTGGAGGGAAAAGAGAACTCTCGGTTTAGAGCCTGCTTGAGATGAGGTCTCCAAGCTCGATGGCAGCGTTAGCAGCCGCTTCGCAGAAATGTTAGACACATCCGCGCAGAGCTCAGATGGCCTTCTGCAGCCATGCCTGCCCGCGTCTCATGCTTTCCTCGGTATTATCTTGGCTGAGGTACTAATCATGTACAAATGCTGCAGCGGCTTGCCTGGACCCCAGGCCCGTTGTTGGAGACTTCAACCCTGAGCCCTGAACCAGCTGAGCCCAAACCCCAACCCCCTCCACACGACGTCTGAGGTCACACAACATAATCACAACACCATACTGAGCTTCGTCATTGCCGGGCACCTGGAGCACTCGCCGTGATGCTTGGTTTCTTTATTGTTCGTCATGGTTATGAACCTTTCGCGTGCAGTCACTACAGTCGTGATCAGTTTAGTTTGTCATGAGGTGTTAGGCAACTACAACTTGCTCCTACTGCTTTGCAAGGCAACGCTTTGCGCTTGCTGATCGCACAGATGATGTAGTGCAAGGATATGATGAGTGAGTTTGCTGATGCTGCTTGCTTTCTGGATGTTGCCATTGCAAATGGCCGTGATTGCACAATCGAACTTGTTTTTGCGGTGTTTGCAGTTTTCAGTTGGTCACCTGTACCGTTTGACTGCCCTTTCTTTTTGCAGGTAGTACTCTGTGCAGTATTACATGTTGATGCTGTTGGGGCTCCTGCCCTTGAGTTAGTGTTTTTGTTTTTCCGCTTCTGGGTTTTTTCTATTATTCCTGTTGCATGTGTTGCTATTTCTGCTCCACCAGTACTGCACTTATGAACCAAGCAGTTGCGTAGGACCATGACGTTCGTTGTGAACATGCTTGCCAGACTTGCGAAGCACTCTTGCTGCCAGTACTACTTCAACATGTTTGTTTTTTGATTCGGTAGTAGCGTTTAGTCTTGTTAATATTATGTATACACGTCCTTTGTTGTCGATGCTTCTGTTGACTTTCTTGCTATGCCTATTTTTGCTATGCTTGTGGTGGTGATTTCGATGGTCGCTCGAGCCTCATGATCGTGAAGAAGAAGATTATGCTGATGATCATTGCCATGTTTTTTGGTGAGTCGTGCCTGTAGCTCTTACAGCTGTACTATCTTTAAATACAAATATAGAGAAATAATATAATATATATATATATATATATATATATATATATATATATAAATGTTGTGTTATGTATGTATACACAAACTGAATCTTATCTTATCTTATCTGATCTCACATTATATGGTATGATATTGGGTTAGGTTATAACATACTATATTACATATAACAACAAAACCTCGGAAGGGGCCCCCACCCTGTAATAGTGGTATAAAAGGAATATAATAGGGCCCTAATATAATCCTTATAGTCACTATTACAGGGTTGGGCCCCTTCTAAACTAAAACTCATTTCCTCTCAGGGCACCGGCCTGGTGGGGCGCGGAGGCGGGCTACGCACGGCCCGCCGCGCTGTCTGCTGGGCAGTGAGGGCAGTGGAGGCCTCTGTCCTGGATTGAAGATTTTCGGGATTTAGGGTTTAGAGTGACATGGGAATTAATTAAAGTTCAGGGTTCAGGGTTTTTGGGGTTGCAGAGCTAAGAGAGTTTCGGGTGTCAGATTTGAATGTTTACGGGTCTCGGCTTGCAGCCTGCGATGTGAGGAAACAGAAGTAGAAGCATGAGCCAACCTTCGTACTGGCTCACTTAAGTGTTTACTCTATGCTGTGTCGTGCGGTCGTATGTGCATCATACGTGGTTGTTTTCAAACCGTTAAGTTTCACATCATATGTTCTAGCTCGATATGAGCACAGAACCCTGCGCTTCCTCGACAGCGAAACAGCGAGACTTTGAGCATGAAAGATGTTCCTTGCAGTGATTCGGACTCCAGGAATACCTCCCGGCAGCGACGATGAAGTGGGTTGGCCCGTAGCTTCGTTGCTTCGTCAGCATCGGTGAAGTCCTCGAGAGAAACTAGGGAAAGCTGGAATGACAGTGGGTTTTGGGATCCGGGGCTTATCTACAGTGGCCTATTGAATGGCGCCCAAGATGGGAATACGAAGGATGGTGCCAAACTTGACTTGTAGTCAGACCCTTACAGGTTCAGGCAAGGCATGAGTGTCCTCCTACTGATGCCTCAACCTTTTCTGGATCACTGTTATTCTTGTTCGGAACATCACCAGCTTTTGTCATCGTGAGTTCGGTATTTTTGTTGTTACAATGATTGCTATTCAATATAGAGGGTTGTTGCATCCGAGTTGATACTAGATTCGCACCGCTGCGGCCTCCTCCTATCATATCGGCATCTCCTACCGGGATTCGAAGTCTTGAGGCAAGGCCACGACAACAATTCCGGTATTGACAATAATCACGTCGGATCATGAAAAGGGGCTACGCATGATCGCACTACACGGCTCTGCTAGTCGCAGAGGCTGCCTGCACCAGTAAGATCAGTCGAATCCTGGCAAGAGGTGATTGCTGGTCTTCCCTTAGTGCAGGTGGCCGCAGGACTTCCGAGCCCCCACCCCTCCAGTCTTTCTTAACTCAATCTTATTGCCACTAGCAAAAATACCGTTAGCATTACTATTGTTGTTAGAAAAGTTGTTGCTCTTATATATTAACATCAAAAGCAACGTAGCCGAGTTACAGAGTCACAGATGGTACGATGTTACCCTTGCTGCGCTGTGCAGCACAGGGAGCCCTTCGAGCCACAGGTTTTCCAGCCACATTGAGCTGCGCAGGGAAGAAAAAGCTCGAAGTTTGCACAGGTGGGGTTTGGGGCTTAGGGTTCAGGGAAGTAAAAGCTCGGAGAGGTTACGGATTTCGGGTTTAGGGTTTGGGGCTGAGGGTTCAGGGAAGTAAAAGCTCGAAGTTTTCACATTGGTGCGAGTCTCATGTGTCCCTGGTACCGCCAGCAGACATGTTCTATCAGATTTTCAAGATACAACTCTAAGGCACCGCGACCGTGGGCTTATGAGACATTCGCCCACAGAGAGACTTAAGTGAAAGCATTGAAGCCAGGCTTGGCTAGGGAGCCCACGCACGCGCACATGGCTTCGCAGACTCGGTGCGTGTGGGCGGCCCCGGTGAGGCGGCAGATGCCGCTGCATGCACAGCCAGGCACCTCAACCTACGTGTGGCCCTGGCCTTCGGCGCCGATCGTTGTGCGCCGGACGATCCGCATCGTCGCAAGGCCAGTTGCGCCGGCGCAGGTGCAACTTCCACATCTCCTCAGAAGGCGGTCATGGGCAACGTCCCCTGAGCCGCCCAAGAATCCCAAGACCAGGGCACCCCCAAAGGGGGAGCCTCCGATGATATGTGTCGCGGCCACGCCAGTGCGACATCCCAGCAAGCCAGCCATCCCTGAGACAGCTGCTACGCCACCTGCACACCAAGCCCCTGTGCCACCTCCCGAGCCAGAGCATGCGAAGGGCCCTCCCGTTTCCTTTTTTCCCGAAACACCAGAGGGAGGTGAGGAAGATCACGAGCAGAAGAAGGAGGATGAGGAGACAGCTGCTACGCCACCTGCGCACCAAGCCCCTGTGCCACCTCCCGAGCCAGAGCATGCGAAGGGCCCTCCCGTTTCCTTTTGTCCCGAAACACCAGAGGGAGGTGATGAAGATCACGAGCAGAAGAAGGAGGATGAGGAGACAGCTGCTACGCCACCTGCGCACCAAGCCCCTGTGCCACCTCCCGAGCCAGAGCATGCGAAGGGCCCTCCCGTTTCCTTTTGTCCCGAAACACCAGAGGGAGGTGATGAAGATCACGAGCAGAAGAAGGAGGATGAGGAGACAGCTGCTACGCCACCTGCGCACCAAGCCCCTGTGCCACCTCCCGAGCCAGAGCATGCGAAGGGCCCTCCCGTTTCCTTTTGTCCCGAAACACCAGAGGGAGGTGAGGAAGATCACGAGCAAAAGAAGGAGGATGAGGAGACAGCTGCTACGCCGTAGCAGCTGTCTCCTCATCCTCCTTCTTCTGCTCGTGATCTTCCTCACCTGCTACGCCACCTGCGCACCAAGCCCCTGTGCCACCTCCCGAGCCAGAGCATGCGAAGGGCCCTCCCGTTTCCTTTTGTCCCGAAACACCAGAAAACACCAGAGGGAGGTGAGGAAGATCACGAGCAGAAGAAGGAGGATGAGGAGACAGCTGCTACGCCACCTGCGCACCAAGCCCCTGTGCCACCTCCCGAGCCAGAGCATGCGAAGGGCCCTCCCGTTTCCTTTTGTCCCGAAACACCAGAGGGAGGTGATGAAGACCACGAGCAGAAGAAGGAGGATGAGGAGACAGCTGCTACGCCACCTGCGCACCAAGCCCCTGTGCCACCTCCCGAGCCAGAGCATGCGAAGGGCCCTCCCGTTTCCTTTTGTCCCGAAACACCAGAGGGAGGTGAGGAAGATCACGAGCAGAAGAAGGAGGATGAGGAGGCCAACGATGAGCCTCAGCATCCCTCGCCAAGGCTTGCAGAAGCTGCGAAGGCAGAACCCCCACACGCCCAATTCGGCGAGGCAGAGCTAGAGGCTCTGATGGCAGACTTGGCCGCTATGGGGATCCAGGTGCCTGAGAAGCCCAAGGGCGAGGCGGAGGTGGGCGGACGCGGGAGGGCGTGACAGAATGTGTTCAACAATGTATTCTACTTGATCGAACATGTTTCTTCTGAAAGACATTTTCTTGATGAGTGGCCCAAAAGCAGTTGAGACGTGTCTTGCATGGAGTCTGCAAGCTGAGCTGAAGACTCTCCCGATGCAGCCCCGAGGGATGAGCACTGTGAAAACATTTTCCGTTTCGTGCGGCCCAAGGTCGGCGATCTCATTGTACTGGGTGCAAACATTTATCCGAAGGAGTTCCGGCTCAGATACGCGGTCGTTATGGAGGCGCGCTGCGGCTGCAATTCTATAGACGTGCTGATGAGTAGGGGGCGGTGCCACATGCTGTGCCCTGAAAAAGCGGAGCCGTGCAGAAGTGCAACGCAGGTGGAGGCCACACACCTGACCGTGTGGCCGCTGCTGGAAGACCGCGCGACCGCCATGGGCGAGTGCTGGCCATATAAGGTCGACACAACACTGGAGAGCACCGTCGGCCGGCTGGGAGGCTGAGTGCGGGTGGCACAAGGGCCACTTGGCCGCACGGAGTTCTGGAGCCGCAGACGTCAGAAGTCTCGAGCTGTTGCGCGCCCATGCCGAGGCCCCATGCGGGCTGCGTCGGCACGGTGGTCGCGGTGCCCGGCGTAAGATTCCCCCTGTTCCAGGAGCTCAGGCGCGGGGTCGCTATATGCTCTCGAAGATGCCAGTTGCATCCGCTTGCATCCGTTGGCCTTTCTGCATTTTGTTGGTGTATGTTGCACAGGAACCACCACATGCAGTACGTCATCAAAGTCGAATTCGATGATGGCAGGCGCCGGTGTTTGGAGCACTAGTTGTTTTGGGAGTCACGTGTCCCTCACTTTGGAACTAAAACTGTGGAGATGGTGGGCAGTACATGAGCAGCATGCTGTGGTACTGTATTCAATGTATTCTATGAGTGTACTCTCGCAGTTTATTGTAGTAGTTTACCATGACAGTATACGATAGCAGTATTTCGTGCGAGAGCGTTGTGCATCGCGTGTCAAAAACGTTCGCAACAGTTTTGGTTCCGGAATCTTACTAAACCTCGCGTGTTGGCACCTTCAAATGACAAGAAAAAACTTTACCCAACAAACACAGGCTTTCTTTCTCAGTTTAATTCCGGACTATGTTAGTGTTTTGTTTGCGGACGTTTCCTTACGAGGCTGCTTCAAAGGATTGCAGGGGTGTGGTCTTGGCTGGCAGGGACGAGCTGTTCCTGTTCACTGAGCTCCAGGCAGAATGCTGATTGAGCTGCAAAAAGGTGTGTAGAATGCTGTCGAGGCGGCACATGTGCACGCTTACACATCTCGTGCTTTGTTGCATATGCGCTGGCAATGTGTGAAAGGGCTTGACCATCAGCGACGCCGTGTGAAGCTTGAAAGGTGCTTCGTGTTCGTCCATGTGCAAAATTGGTCACCAGAGAGACCTTGAAAGCATTGAAGCTAGGCTTGGCTAGGGAGCCCACGCACGCGCACATGGCTTCGCAGACTCGGTGCGTGTGGGCGGCCCCGGTGAGGCGGCAGATGCCGCTGCATGCACAGCCAGGCATCTCAACCGTCTCAACCTACGTACGGCCCTGGCCTTCGGCGCCGATCGTTGTGCGCCGAACGATCCGCATCGTCGCAAGGCCAGTTGCGCCGGCGCAGGTGCAACTGCCTCATCTTCTGGGAAGGCGGTCATGGGCAACGTCCCCTGAGCCGCGCAAGAATCCCAAGACCAAAGGACCCCCAAAGGGGGAGCCTCCGATGATATGTGTCGCGGCCACACCAGTGCGACATCCCAGCAAGCCAACCATCCCTGAGACAGCTGCTACGCCACCTGCGCACCAAGCCCCTGTGCCACCTCCCGAGCCAGAGCATGCGAAGGGCCCTCCCGTTTCCTTTTGTCCCGAAACACCAGAGGGAGGTGAGGAAGATCACGAGCAGAAGGAGGAGGAGGAGGCCAACGATGAGCCTCAGCATCCCTCGCCAAGGCTTGCAGAAGCTGCGAAGGCAGAACCCCCACACGCCCAATTCGGGGAGGCAGAGCTAGAGGCTCTGATGGCAGACTTGGCCGCTATGGGGATCCAGGTGCCTGAGAAGCCCAAGGGCGAGGCGGAGGTGGGCGGAGGGGGGAGGGCGTGACAGGATGTGTTCAACAATGTATTCTCTACTTGATCGAACTTGTTTCTTCTGAGAGACATTTTCTTGATGAGTGGCCCAAAAGCAGTTGAGACGTGTCTTGCATGGAGTCTGCAAGCTGAGCTGAAGACTCTCCCGATGCAGCCCCGAGGGATGAGCACTGTGAAAACATTTTCCGTTTCGTGCGGCCCAAGGTCGGCGATCTCATTGTACTGGGTGCAAACATTTATCCGAAGGAGTTCCGGCTCAGATACGCGGTCGTTATGGAGGCGCGCTGCCGCTGCAATTCCGAAGCTCCTCACCAGGTCTAGACGTGCTGATGAGTAGGGGGCGGTGCCACATGCTGTGCCCTGAAAAAGCGGAGCCGTGCAGAAGTGCAACGCAGGTGGAGGCCACACACCTGACCGTGTGGCCGCTGCTGGAAGACCGCGCGACCGGCATGGGCGAGTGCTGGCCATATAAGGTCGACACAACGCTGGAGAGCACCGTCGGCCGGCTGGGAGGCCGAGTGCGGGTGGCACAAGGGCCACTTGGCCGCACGGAGTTCTGGAGCTGCAGACGTCAGAAGTCTCGAGCTGTTGCGCGCCCATGCCGAGGCCCCATGCGGGCTGCGTCGGCACGGTGGTCGCGGTGCCCGGCGTAAGATTCCCCCTGTTCCAGGAGCTCAGGCGCGGGGTCGCTATATGCTCTCGAAGATGCCAGTTGCATCCGCTTGCATCCGTTGGCCTTTTCTGCATTGTTGGTGTATGTTGCGCAGGAACCACCGCATGCAGTACGTCATCAAAGTCGCATTCGATGATGGCAGGCGCCGGTGTTTGGAGCACTATTTGTTTTGGGAGTCACATGTTCCTCACTTTGGAACTAAAACTGTGGAGATGGTGGGCAGTACATGAGCAGCATGCTGTGGTACTGTATTCAATGTATTGCTTACCATGACAGTATACGATAGCAGTATTTCGTGCGAGAGCTGGTGCATCGCGTGTCAAGAACGTTCGCAACCTCATGGAGTTTTGGTTCCGGAATCTTACTAAACCTCGCATGTTGGCACCTTCAAATGACAAGAAAAAACTTTACCCAACAAACACAGGCTTTCTTTCTCAATTAATTCCGGACCACCTTAGTGTTTTGTTTGCGGACGTTTCCTTACGAGGCTGCTTCAAAGGATTGCAGGGGTGTGGTCTTGGCTGGCAGGGACGAGCTGTTCCTGTTCACTGAGCTCCAGGCAGAATGCTGATTGAGCTGCAAAAAGGTGTGTAGAATGCTGTCGAGGCGGCACATGTGCACGCTTACACATCTCGTGCTTTGTTGCATATGCGCTGGCAATGTGTGAAAGGGCTTGACCATCAGCGACGCCGTGTGAAGCTTGAAAGGTGCTTCGTGTTCGTCCATGTGCAAAATTGGTCACCAGAGAGACCTTGAAAGCATTGAAGCTAGGCTTGGCTAGGGAGCCCACGCACGCGCACATGGCTTCGCAGACTCGGTGCGTGTGGGCGGCCCCGGTGAGGCGGCAGATGCCGCTGCATGCACAGCCAGGCATCTCAACCGTCTCAACCTACGTGTGGCCCTGGCCTTCGGCGCCGATCGTTGTGCGCCGAACGATCCGCATCGTCGCAAGGCCAGTTGCACCGGCGCAGGTGCAACTGCCTCATCTTCTGGGAAGGCGGTCATGGGCAACGTCCCCTGAGCCGCGCAAGAATCCCAAGACCAAAGGACCCCCAAAGGGGGAGCCTCCGATGATGTGTGTCGCGGCCACACCAGTGCGACATCCCAGCAAGCCAACCATCCCTGAGACAGCTGCTACGCCACCTGCGCACCAAGCCCCTGTGCCACCTCCCGAGCCAGAGCATGCGAAGGGCCCTCCCGTTTCCTTTTGTCCCGAAACACCAGAGGGAGGTGAGGAAGATCACGAGCAGAAGGAGGAGGAGGAGGCCAACGATGAGCCTCAGCATCCCTCGCCAAGGCTTGCAGAAGCTGCGAAGGCAGAACCCCCACACGCCCAATTCGGGGAGGCAGAGCTAGAGGCTCTGATGGCAGACTTGGCCGCTATGGGGATCCAGGTGCCTGAGAAGCCCAAGGGCGAGGCGGAGGTGGGCGGACGGGGGAGGGTGTGACAGGATGTGTTCAACAATGTATTCTACTTGATCGAACATGTTTCTTCTGAGAGACATTTTCTTGATGAGTGGCCTAAAAGCAGTTGAGACGTGTTTTGCATGGAGTCTGCAAGCTGAGCTGAAGACACTCCCGATGCAGCCCCGAGGGATGAGCACTGTGAAAACATTTTCCGTTTCGTGCGGCCCAAGGTCGGCGATCTCATTGTACTGGGTGCAAACATTTATCCGAAGGAGTTCCGGCTCAGATACGCGGTCATTATGGAGGCGCGCTGCGGCTGCAATTCCGAAGCTCCTCACCAGGTCTAGACGTGCTGATGAGTAGGGGTCGGTGCCACATGCTGTGCCCAAGTGCAACGCAGGTGGAGGCCACACACCTGACCGTGTGGCCGCTGCTGGAAGACCGTGCGACCGCCATGGGCGAGTGCTGGCCATATAAGGTCGACACAACACTGGAGAGCACTGTCGGCCGGCTGGGAGGCCGAGTGCGGGCGGCACAAGGGCCGCTTGGCCGCACGGAGTTCTGGAGCCGCAGACGTCAGAAGACCCAACCTGTTGCGCGCCCACGCCGAGGCCCCATGCGGGCTGCGTCGGCACGGTGGTCGCGGTGCCCGGCGTAAGATTCCCCCTGTTCCAGGAGCTCAGGCGCGGGGTCGCTATATGCTCTGGAAGATGCCAGTTGCATCCGCTTGCATCCGTTGGCCTTTTCTGCATTGTTGGTGTATGTTGCGCAGGAACCACCACATGCAGTACGTCATCAAAGTCGCATTCGATGATGGCAGGCGCCGGTGTTAGGAGCACTATTTGTTTTGGGAGTCACATGTTCCTCACTTTGGAACTAAAACTGTGGAGATGGTGGGCAGTACATGAGCAGCATGCTGTGGTACTGTATTCAATGTATTCTATGCGTGTAGTAACAGTTTACCATGACAGATACGATAGCAGTATTTCGTGCGAGAGCGTTGTGCATCGCGTGTCAAGAACGTCCGCAACCTCACATGGAGTTTTGGTTCCGGAATCTTACTAAACCTCGCGTGTTGGCACCTTCAAATGACAAGAAAAGACTTTACCCAACAAACACAGGCTTTCTTTCTCAGTTAATTCCGGACCACCTTAGTGTTTTGTTTGCGGACGTTTCCTTACGAGGCTGCTTCAAAGGATTGCAGGGGTGTGGTCTTGGCTGGCAGGGACGAGCTGTTCCTGTTCACTGAGCTCCAGGCAGAATGCTGATTGAGCTGCAAGAAGGTGTGTAGAATGCTGTCGAGGCGGCACATGTGCACTCTTACACATCTCGTGCTTTGTTGCATATGCGCTGGCAATGTGTGAAAGGGCTTGTGACCATCAGCGACGCCGTGTGAAGCTTGAAAGGTGCTTCGTGTTCGTCCATGTGCAAAATTATGCAAAATTGGTCACCAGAGAGACCTAAGTGAAAGCATTGAAGTCAGGCTTGGCTAGGGAGCCCACGCACGCGCACATGGCTTCGCACACTCGGTGCGTGTGGGCGGCCCCGGTGAGGCGGCAGATGCCGCTGCATGCACAGCCAGGCATCTCAACCGTCTCAACCTACGTGTGGCCCTGGCCTTCGGCGCCGATCGTTGTGCGCCGGACGATCCGCATCGTCGCAAGGCCAGTTGCGCCGGCGCAGGTGCAACTGCCTCATCTTCTGGGAAGGCGGTCATGGGCAACGTCCCCTGAGCCGCGCAAGAATCCCAAAACCAAAGGACCCCCAAAGGGGGAGCCTCCGATGATATGTGTCGCGGCCACACCAGTGCGACATCCCAGCAAGCCAACCATCCCTGAGACAGCTGCTACGCCACCTGCGCACCAAGCCCCTGTGCCACCTCCCGAGCCAGAGCATGCGAAGGGCCCTCCCGTTTCCTTTTGTCCCGAAACACCAGAGGGAGGTGAGGAAGATCACGAGCAGAAGAAGGAGGATGAGGAGGCCAACGATGAGCCTCAGCATCCCTCGCCAAGGCTTGCAGAAGCTGCGAAGGCAGAACCCCCACACGCCCAATTCGGGGAGGCAGAGCTAGAGGCTCTGATGGCAGACTTGGCCGCTATGGGGATCCAGGTGCCTGAGAAGCCCAAGGGCGAGGCGGAGGTGGGCGGACGGGGGAGGGCGTGACAGGATGTGTTCAACAATGTATTCTACTTGATCGAACATGTTTCTTCTGAAAGACATTTTCTTGATGAGTGGCCCAAAAGCAGTTGAGACGTGTCTTGCATGGAGTCTGCAAGCTGAGCTGAAGACACTCCCGATGCAGCCCCGAGGGATGAGCGCTGTGAAAACATTTTCCGTTTCGTGCGGCCCAAGGTCGGCGATCTCATTGTACTGGGTGCAAACATTTATCCGAAGGAGTTCCGGCTCAGATACGCGGTCGTTATGGAGGCGCGCTGCGGCTGCAATTCCGAAGCTCCTCACCAGGTCTAGACGTGCTGATGAGTAGGGGTCGGTGCCACATGCTGTGCCCAAGTGCAACGCAGGTGGAGGCCACACACCTGACCGTGTGGCCGCTGCTGGAAGACCGCGCGACCGCCATGGGCGAGTGCTGGCCATATAAGGTCGACACAACACTGGAGAGCACCGTCGGCCGGCTGGGAGGCCGAGTGCGGGTGGTTCAAGGGCCGCTTGGCCGCACGGAGTTCTGGAGCCGCAGACGTCAGAAGACCCGAGCTGTTGCGCGCCCATGCCGAGGCCCCATGTGGGCTGCGTCGGCACGGTGGTCGCGGTGCCCGGCGTAAGATTCCCCCTGTTCCAGGAGCTCAGGCGTAGGGTCGCTATATGCTCTAGAAGATGCCAGTTGCATCCGCTTGCATCCGTTGGCCTTTTCTGCATGGTTGGTGTATGTTGCGCAGGAACCACCACATGCAGTACGTCATCAAAGTCGCATTCGATGATGGCAGGCGCCGGTGTTTGGAGCACTGTTTGTTTTGGGAGTCACATGTTCCTCACTTTGGAACTAAAACTGTGGAGATGGTGGGCAGTACATGAGCAGCATGCTGTGGTACTGTATTCAATGAGTGCACTCTCGTAGTTTATTGTAGTAGCTTACCATGACAGTATACGATAGCAGTATTTCGTGCGAGAGCGTTGTGCATCGCGTGTCAAAAACGTTCGCAACCTCATGAAGCTTTTGTTTCCGGAATCTTACCAAACTTCGCATGTTGGCACCTTCAAACGACAAGAACAAACTTTACGCAACAAACACAGGCTTTCTTTCTCAATCAATTCCGGACCACCTTAGTGTTTTGTTTGCGGACGTTTCCTTACGAGGCTGCTTCAAAGGATTGCAGGGTGTGGTCTTGGCTGGCAGGGACGAGCTGTTCCTGTTCACTGAGCTCCAGGCAGAATGCTGATTGAGCTGCAAAAAGGTGTGTAGAATGCTGTCGAGGCGGCACATGTGCACTCTTACACATCTCGTGCTTTGTTGCATATGCGTTGGCAATGTGTGAAAGGGCTTGACCATCAGCGACGCCGTGTGAAGCTTGAAAGGTGCTTCGTGTTCGTCCATGTGCAAAATTGGTCACCAGAGAGACCTAAGTGAAAGTATTGAAGCCATGCTTGGCTAGGGAGCCCACGCACGCGACTCAGCATCTTTCCTAGTAGCACAGAGCCTACACAACACCGTGGGTGTTGTACATTATTCCTAAACGCGAAGTCGTGAACCCCACAGCACAGGCATAGACATAGACAGCCGCATGTCAAGCCATGAACCTTTCGACTGTGGCGTCGCAGTTGCGCGCCTGCCTGAGAAGGGCTTGCCTTGCACTTCCGCAGCACTGATCCCAGACGTCGGGCCTATCCTTGGAGGTCCATGAGTGGTTTTTTGTGGGGGCTATATGTGGGGTAAGTATAATTACAACTCATATTCGGGGACTTATAACTCTCCGTATACCACCCATGAACCTCGAAGTATACCCTGATGAGATCTTCCAGGCTGCTTCTCATTCCTGAGAGACCCAGAGATGCTTGAGCCCCACAGCCATAGCAGGGGGTCTTTTCTTCGGGTTCCTTCAAGACGTGATGGAAGGGTCAGATGCTGCGGATCATCGATCAGATGTAGGAAGTGTTCTTTAAGGTACTATTAAAATAGGGGCCGTAATAATTAGAATAGGGTTTTGGGCCCCATCATGCTATACTCATAAATACGGAACCCCCCCAACAAAAAATGGTATAGGGAAATATTTAGCCCCCGACATTATCCGGATCTGTAGTCAGGGTCCATGTCCCAGGCGCTGCACAGGATATCTCCAACGCCAGAGCCTGACGAAGCTTCTGATGGGCTGCCGCGAGTAAGCTCTAGGGTTTCAGGGTTTAGGGTTTAAGGGTCTAAGGGTTTAGGGGTTTGGGGTTAAGGGTTTGGGGTGTAGGGTTACTGGCAGAGTTTGGGCTTTAGGGTTTAGAGTGTAGAGTGTAGGGTTCAGGGTTCAGGGTTTGCGATCCCACGGTGAAAGTTCTGGTCAGTCTACGGATTTCGCAACCACCGTGTTGCATGCAAGTGTGCAAGCCTTTCCAGAACAAACTTGTCGGCGGTTTGGATTCCTTTTGCACACCCAATGCTCGCTGTAGCAGTCGTCATCGTGGTATATTATACTATAATAGAAAAGGGACCAAGGAACCCCCAAATCAGTATTGGTAGTTATTAAGGCCTCTACGTTAAGCATCCTCAACCCCCTCTGACACATCCTGGTCTTTCGCTTCATTCTCGGCCAGACTCTGTGCTTCTCGCATTGGCTGGGCTCTGCTCGAGATCCATGTAAACTTCAGAAACTTCTGACACAAGGCAAGAGGTTACAAGTCGCGTGGCCACAAATTGATCTGCACCACCGTCGAGCACTTGGAGGTTATGGAGAGTTGCAAGCACAGTTGTAGTTAAGTGGTCTACTTTGTGAAGATGTGCTGAGCGTTGATATAGTGGCCTCGTTACTCAGACTAACGTTCCTTAGGATTGCTTGACATATTGACTGAAGTAAAGTATACCCGGTATGCCCCAAAACCCTAACTTCTAAGGCTCTAAGCCCGCATAAAACCCGGCACAGTACCCCTTTTTAGGAACCCTTTCAAAGAACCCTTGAGAGGAACCAGATGCTAACGATTGAGGCTCCTTTACCCTTAACCCTCATTGTAACCCGTATGGATCCTGGCAGGAAGCCTTGTAAAGCACCGTCACAAGGAGTTATCATGAAGGTTCGTATATGGTGCACATGTACAGCCAAGGCTGGATTGACTTCTGCTTCAGTGACACAGTCGCTGCAGGAGAACTTTTTGCAGACTTTTCGGCATTGGTTCTAGTTCTATAGGCTTATGGTAAAGGTTGCTATAGAGCATTTCTACTAGCCTTGCTAGTTTTAGAGTTGCGATAAGGGTTACTGTAAAGTGTTACTATCAGGTTCTTTGGGTTTCGATAAGAGCTCTTATTAGCTATCAATTATCACAGTACGAGTTACCATTGTGGGTCCTTTTTGGGCTGTGTTTTTATGCTCGAGTAGTCATGCTTGTCACTTGTCTTGCCACTTGTTACTGCTGCTCGATGTAACGTCAGTTACAGGACGGCGCGCAGCGAGCGTCCGAGTCCTGGATCCACCTTGTCGTTTGTCTGTGAGCTAACCGCGCTATTCTGTTTGATGCCACGAAAGTCGCTAGAGTCTAGAGTATGCTTACTTTAGCGAATGTCTAGGCAATGACGACGATGACAACGATGACGGTGATAGTGGAGGCATGACGACGGCGATGTTTATGGTGATTAGACTCGGCCATTGTCCTTTCAGAAGTGATTGCAAGCCTGAGTACTGCCGGTACAGCTGCTGCTGAAAACTATATCTGCAATCATGTCGAAAGCCTACACAATTCCCGAAGTGACGAGCCCGGTGCGCTCAGGCGCGGTGCCCTTACCAACTTGGCAGGCGAAGCCCGCTCCTTGACCAGCATCCTGTAGTCCTGCAGGGGTCATAATACTGGTTTAGAGCGTTCTGGGTATACTCTGTATAGCAGCATTGTGGATCTAGCGCTAGTTGATTACTGCAGTTGCACTTTTTTGTGGATGATGCGATGCGAGAGGGATCATCGGAGAGGTTGACAGGGACCGTGCGCCGAGGCAGCAACCTCCTTGGTTGGGGCCGATCTGATCCGGCACCTTCCGCGATCCCCTCTGTCACCTGAGCTGCACTTGTCTTCAACATGTCAGGCCATGTCATGTTAAGCGCTTCATTGGCGGCGCAGGTCTAAACCATCCTAAACCCTAAGCGGGTTCTGGAATCTCAGGACGGTACTCGCTGCGAAAGCTGTGGCGAACCGTTCGGGGTCCTGAGAAGGCCGCGGCTCTGCGACTAGAGGGGCCCCACGACTCTGCACACTATGTACTATATACAATATACTCTATATATTTATAATTTATAATAATATAGTATACAGACTCTATATATGTATATACACATACAGTGTGTGTGAATGTGTATGTATATATATATATATATACATCCCATCTGCGGCGAGTTTAGCTTTTGCACGTCGCGTTTGGAGCAAAGTTCATCAGGTTTGCGCAGCATGCATGATGAGATGCATTATCAATTCAAACGTACTTATTCATCATATACATGTACATGCACACCTTTCATCAACCTCGACCAACTCAAAGCAAGCAAGCACAAGTGTGAATTTACAGACGGATAGATGGAATATTGTACAAGTATTTAACAGTCGGTGGCCGTAGAACACATTGCAGACGGCTTATGCTAACTTCACTAGTGAATAATAATTGAACAGATACCAAAACATGTCGGTAACCGTAGATTAATGAAGAGTCTATGCATGTACAGTCATGTATGCGTACCTACTTGCCGACCTACCGGGCGACAGACATACATGTACAGAAGGTACATATGCATGCATGCATGCATATGTGTACATACGTATATGCACATGAAGACCCAGAGAAAGAGAGAGATAGAGAGAGAAAGAGAGAGTGAGCGAGTGAGTGAGTGAGTGAGTGAGTGAGTGATATGCACATTGTATTTATTTTACACACCACAGAAGTTCGGGATCTGCATTTCGATCGCTGCTTGGCGCAGGCGGCAGACCTGCGGTTCCTGCGACCGCTACCTGTGTGCCTCGTGCTTGGGCAGCTCCTTTGCTATAGCCTTGCCAGCACGTTTCTGGGGTTGAGGGTTTAGGGGGCCTAGGGCATTAAGGGTTTTGGCAGCTGGGTTTGAAATCAAAATGAAAGGCATGGGGTTGGGGATCCTGAAGATGAAGGTCTTGGGGTCTGTAGGTTTGGGCTTGTTGGTTTTGGGTGGGTCAGTCTGCTTGGACTGGCAACATTTCTGCAGCTGTGGGAGCCTTTTCCAGTGTGAGCCAGGCAGGCATTGGCTGTTTCTGTGGGTCGCAATGCCCGCAGTGTCGGGAACTTGGACAGCGCAGCGGCCAAAGCCTCAGCAGGTCCGAGCGGTTCAGGATGTGGCAGCAATATTCTGCTGTCAAAGCCTGCAGGTGAGTTCCAGCTCATCCGCCCCAAAATGGAGGTTGGAATCACAGTCGGTTCGACTTGTGCAGAGCTTATGCCGCTTTTTGTTCATGAGGATGGTGTGAGTGCAACCATCATCGTGCCCAAAAAGGCTGGGCCCTGAGAGTGCAATTTGGCACAGGTTGCCCGTGGCATTTTGGGATGCGGAGCCGGACTTGTTTTTGCTACCATGCGCCCCCGATTCGACACGTACCAAACCCAACAAAAGTGCATCTGCACGGTTCCGGCATGTTTGGAAAACCGTGTGACTCGGCTTTTCATTTTCCGCATGATCTTCGCCTTTGCATGTGCATTTGTCCGTGTTGTGCCGTCGTTGTTTTCCTCGTTCGCTGGAACAACATACGAAGGCGAACAAACACCGATGCGAGAATGCCCGGTTTCCTTTCGTACCCGTTGCCCGCTAAGAAATAGCAACACCAAGCCGAAAGCAGCAACAAACAAACGGCGTGCCGTCAGGCTGGTCTCTTCGCCCTGGGGGACAGGCCGGCGTTCACATCTCTGGGAAGTGAAACCATCACCGCGTAGCATCTTCGAATCCCCTAAATCTTAAGCTGAAGTATAATTAACATTATTATAACTGCATACTAGCGCTAGAACCAACATTAATATTGGTATTCGAATTAGTATGAACCTAAACCCTAGGCTTTACACCGCATGAAGCCGCAGTCGCTGCGAGGCGGAAGATTCCTGCGTGGCTCTCCTTGCGAATCCCAGGCCAATGGTTAGTTGCTTATGCATCATTTGCCCTTGTTGGTGTAGTAGTGGTGGTGATTACTGTAATTGACCGGTCTGTCTGGGAGAGGGTACTGTTGCTGCCGTTGCCTAGCTGGTACATGCTATGACTCTCATCGTGCAGTCGCCCGTGTGATTATTGGTATTCCTGCTGTTGCCATTGGAGCCGTTCTTATCCCTGTCACGATCCTGATTGCTGTTATGGTTCTGCTTGGTTCTTACTGTTTTTAGCCCTGTGTCATTCCAGCCGCTGCGGTGTTTCTTGTCATTCTCGCAGAGCTCTGCCTACACCCTCATGAAATTGAAAGCCTCAAGCCTTCGTCCCCTGAGTCTCAGATTCGGGGTAAACCCCAAAACCCAACATAAAGGCGAAGACGAAGAGCCCCAAACCTTATCCTGGGGTCTCCTTCATGAATTCTTGTTCTTCAGTTCTGTACATAATTTTATTGATCAAGCAGGCATGTGTTTTGTGGGTGCCTTGGCAGGTGTAGCCAAGCATTTGCCACCTCTGCAAGATTCTAGAGCTCAGCACTTGTCCGAGATGAATCATGATCAGCTTTGAGAAGCAGTGCGTGATGGCAGCTTCACAGAAGCCAAAGAGGCATTTCGAAGCTGGACATCAGCTGCCGTCACAGCCACCTTCAGCAGAAAGTGCTTTTCTTTATTCCAGCACGCCAGCGACGTGGTTCGGAAATTCTAGCCAGATGCGCGATACGGATGGGTCTTGCTCTCGGCAGAGGTGGCAGTCATCCTCCAAACACCACTCTTCTATGCAGCGGCTTATGGAAATCTGACAATTGTCCAGTTTATGCTTACTGGAGTTCCAAGTGAACTGGCGTGACAGCTGGAGGGAGACTGCTTTGTTTTATTAAAACAAAGCAGTCTCCCTCCAGCTGTCAAGCAATCTATGGCATCCGAAATTCTCACACGGAGGTGGTGAATGTCCTCCTCGAGCATGGGGCTTTGATGCTAATCAAACCTGAGCGAAGTGACCAGACCTGCTGAAAGCGCAGAGCCAGCCCGGCAGACGAAGAAGTGCCCACAACCTTCGCCAACACCTCAAAGCTCATGTCTTGCTGCCGCAGCAAGGAGCCGTTTAGCCACCTTTGAATGGCGAAAGGAGGATAGCATGCACGAGCCCATTATTGAGAAGTCACAGCACAACGTGGTGGTTGAGAACCCGGAATACTGGGTGTGCGAGTCTGTGAAGGACTGCGCCAAGGCAATGTTCAGAAAGAGAGTTTGCAGTGGACCATGCCAACCTGCATTCAGAAAAGGCCCTGGTACCAAAACCTCACTGCAAAGGATGCAACAACTCTCCTGAGTGTGGTAGTGGATGACAAGGCCGATGACAAGCATATGGCGTGCATTGAGGAGTTGGCAAGCTCTTGGAAGCCTTCCTTGTACACATTATCGGCCGTGTCACAAACGACAAAGACCGTGACATGCTATGTGTGTGTGAAGTTTGAAGAGTAGGAGCTCGCGATCCGGCAGGTCAAGGTTGACCGCGGCCACCAAGGCAAAGACTTAGGCGGCGTTCTGCTGGAAGCCGCAGAAAAACATGCAATGGACCTTGGATGCTGGTTTTCCAAGGTGGAACTGCGTGTATTGGAGACCAACGAGAATGCACGGAGGTGCTTACTAAACTTTAGTAAGCACCTTCGTGCCTTCTCGTTGGTCTCCAATACACTCAAACTGGCTTCAAAGCTTCTGCATCGGCCCCATCCCACTTCCCACCATGCAGCTGCCGTGATGACGAATGTCAGCATGCAAAGATCAACTGGCTCCGTTTGCAATAATGCACATGTTGACGGAACCATGTCATAGTTTCACCCGACCACTTTGCAGCATGCGAAAAAACGGCCGTTTGTTTCATATGGCTCTGGTCGACCATGTTTTGTTCATGCCACAACTCCTGTTGCTGTTGTCAATAACTGTTCTGAGCCGTGCTGTGTAAGGGCTTGCTTGGTCGGTCTGTCTGCTGCATTGCTATCCTTGCCTATAAGCATTACTTCGATCTGCATGCTAGCAGTGTTGCCGCTGTTCTTCGCACAATCAACATCTCAGCCGCCCTCCTCCTCCTCCTCCTCCTCCTCCTCCTCGTCCTCCTCCTCCTCCGCATCCTCAGTCATCAGCGACGATGTGATCACCAGTGTCAGCATGATCCTCATCCTCACCTTCCTCATCACCGCATCCATTGATCTTCTTTACCTTCGTCATCGCCATTGTCAGCACAAGCCGCAACTTCTAAGCCCCAAACCAACCCCCCAAGCCCTGACCCCAGACCCAAGCCCTGAACCCAACTTCGAAACCACCCTAAAACGGGAGACCTGTGTTGGGCGAGCCTGGAGCAGCGCGCCGGCCAGCCGCTGGAGGCGGCGGAGATCCCTCTCGGCCAGGCTGGGCGACCAAGGGTCAATCGCAATACAATGTAGGGGCCGTAATAATTACCTATACCATTTTCGGGGGTTCCTTATTATACTTTACAGTATCATAATATACCCCCAAATTGTTTTTTGATTCACTAAGGCCCCTAAAGAGGGGCATTAATGAAGGTTCTCTAGAAGGGTGCCTATACGGGGTATTAAATATGGGCTCGAATCCATGGGCCTGAACAAATAGATTAGGGTTTCTTCAATCGGTTCGTAAACAGGGCTCCTATAAAGATCTATAAGGCTTACTGTGAGGGTTAAGCGTATACGAGCTGCAATAATTACCAGATAGGGTTCCCTTAACACGCTAGCATAAGGGATACAGAAAGGGTTTGATATCGGGCCTTGAGAAGTGAATACTGTTTAGGGGAATAATTTATTTGAATATATGACAAGCAGCTATACGGAATAATAGTGGTAGCTATACAGGCCGTAGTGACGCAGGCAAAGGCCTCTACGGTCTACAGCTTAGGTCAGGACGTCGTTTTCACGCTTCAGATCCTCGTGGCGCCCCGTATTCATGGATGCCACTGTTACTGCTTGTTTCAGCCTGAACCCGATCTTTCTCTTGTCATATGCTTACATATTCCGACCCTTAAGGTGCTTCACGTCCGAAACACCGGTCTCATGCTCGAGCTGGTCGTCAAGGCCTGCTCTCCCGAAGTATCCAGCCTTGACCCGGAGAGCAGGTGTTTTAAGCCCGTTTCGCATGCTGTGGTAGATAACATAGCATAGTATAGTCACAACATAGAGCCGATGAGGGATACACTTATTATTATGCCTACATCTTCCTACACCCCTAAACTCTAAACCGGAAGCTCACAACTCCCACCGAGGACCAGCCATCGTTGCAGCTCGAGTTCGGTTGTGCCCTCAGACAAGCCATGTTATTGCTGGTTGCAGCAGCTGCAGGGCAAATCTTGGAGTCAGGGTTTTTAGGACGCGGGGCTTAGGTTATGATTTGTTTTTTTTCCTTAGGTTTCGTGACCAGCCGGACATACCTGTCTTGCGAATCGCGGACGTGCCAGCCAACCCTCAATGATTCATTCACCATTGCAATGGTCCGATAGTAGGGGACCCTACGTAACATAGTACCCTAAATAGTCGAATCCTTATCATAAGGACCCCAAATAAGGTACCCCTAATTTTCGGAAACTCCCATATATCCATCAACATCCCAACCCTAAACCCTAAACACTTGTCCCATGACAGCCCTGGCAGCACGGCCAGATTGGCAGGAACAGCCGAGGAGCGCAACGCGTGGGAGAAGTACTTAGGCCTGGCTCTCGAGGCGTCGCCCGGGCTGTTGGCCACAGAGTAGCTGGACAAAATCCTGCATTACCCAGTATAAGGAATATACCATAGTTCCCATAGTTTAGAGTCCTTAGGGTCATGCAGGATTTTGTCCATCAACAGTACTATTTAGGTGGTCGTCAAAATTATGGTCCCTTTTGGGTCCTTGTTATAATACGGCACCCAATATTTAGGGTACCCCAAAAGGGACCATAATTTTGACAACCACCCTGGTAGTTCGAAAAGCAATACCGTATAGTGGCCACTGTCTTTCAGAATGATCGTCATGGCGAAGCTGGATCGAGATTCAGTGGAAGTTGCAGTCTTCGGAACTTGCGACTTTCAGGATGGACTCTTGCTGCCGATTCCTGGTTAGGGTATTAGGGATTGCAAGTCTCGTCTGATCCTCTGCGGATGTGCAGAGATGTTTGCAGTGTGCCTGCATACATCTATGTGCTGGACATGCGCGGGGCATCACTCGATGCTGCGGTTCTTCTCCTAGCTGCCCATCTGGACCTGTTTAGAACACGTCTAGGATTACAGCTTGCTGTCCCAAATACATATCCCACCAAGCATCCACATCGCATTAAACTTACTCTACACCACCATGCAATAGCCCGGCCCCGTGCTGGGCGGCTTGGCCATGCTGCGCATCACGCTGCTTTCCGGGGAGGAGCTGGCGAGCCTTCCTCTGACGGAGCTGAGCGATGTGAAGGCCCTGAAGCAGCGACTGCATCAGCAGCACGGCCTGCCGCCACGCTTCAGGCAAAGGCTTCTTCATGATGGAAACCCTTTGGATGATGACTTCCAGCTGGACACCGAGATGGATCTGCAGGCTGTCATAGCGGCCTTGAACGCAACTTCGGAGAAGGAGAGCTCAGAGCTGTGCGAGGCGGCAGCTTCTGGCCGAGTGGCTCAGGCAGGGTGTGCGCTACTGACGTCCGAGCAACGACCGCTCCTGAATTCCTTAAACTCGCGCATGACGCAAAACACAGGAACAACCCACGAAGCCTGGGAATTAATATGTCGTAAGATCTCTCAAAAAAAAGCATCCCACAGAGATCCCAACACTTTCTGAAGCCGTGAGGCTGAAGCTCTGCTGCAGCTCCCCATGGACCCGGATGCTCGAGATGAGGAGGGCTGTACGCCATTGATGAGGGCGTCGAAAAGCGGCCACGCGGATATCGCAGAAATGCTCCTGGAGGCCGGTGCTGAGAAGGATTCGTGCGACCGGGGCGGTTTTACAGCACTGATATATGCAGCTCTCCGCGGACATGCTCAAGTCGTACAGCTGCTGCTGCTGGCTGGTGCTCAGAAGGATGTTGGGGATCATCGAGGCAGCACAGCGCTGATGCAGGCAGCATACAACGGTCGCGCTTCGGCCGTGGGGTTGCTGCTTCAGGCCGGTGCCGACGTGGGTGTGCGTGACAGCCAGGGCGACACGGCCCTGATGGATGCGGCACGTGGCGGTCATGCCGCCATCGTTCGGCAGCTGCTGGAGGCCGGCGCCGACAAGGACGCGTGCAACAAGGAGGGCAGTACGGCGCTGACGATGCAATGCAAACCCGAAATCCAACGATTGCTGGAGGCCGGTGCCATATTATAGGGGCCTAAGTAATTTCCAATACTATTTTGCGGGCTCCTTACTATCATAGCATAAAGGTGGAATTGCAGGGTTAGGAAGGACCAGTTCACGGAATATCACGAAGGTTCAGGGGTAAGTTGCATTTTTATGTGGAATTCAAAGTCCCGTAGTTCATTGGGCTTGTTTGATTGCTCAGGTGTAGCCCTACTTGCTGAGTCCGTTGAGCTTTCAAGTCCGTAGACATCTGTAGTACTGTTGGAGCAGACCTAGGCTTGCAAACCCTTTTTGAAGCAGATACATCCACCACTAAACCCTCAACTGTAACTCTAAACCGACTCTAAACCGTAAACCCTGGATGAACCGACAAGTAAGGCGGAGCTGTCTTGACCCAAGTCGCTGCCACAACCCTTTGAACTCCCGTGGTTGAACGTTTTTTTCGTTTTTTCTGGATTTGCGTTGTGGATCCTCGGCTCGGAAGTGAAAAAACCCAAACCCTAAGACCCATTTGCTGTCCCTGCCCCGGTGCAGGGTTGGAGCACAGCCCATGCCCCACGTGAGCTCACCTTCGACGAGCTCCAGACCCAATTCCAGAGGTACAAGGACGGTCTTATCTCTGATGAGTATGTGCTGCAAACGTGGGGCGACGCGACCCTGGAGCTCATGCAAGCGCAGTTGATGGCGCTGATGGCCGAGACAGGGTGATGGATGCCGAAACCGCCTTGCCCCCACCTGAAGGTCGCGGACCCTGCTGACGCTGGCGAGAAGCCCCATAATAGGGACATCATATTGTTTGTTTAATTACTAGAGATCCTTATTATGGTAACTTTAACCCTTAAGGCCTTAAACCCTAGCCGATGCCACACTTCGTCAAGAGCGAGATCTTTGCTGAGGGGCTGAGAGTAGCTCCACCGGCGCTTCAAGCCAGCTGCTCTTGCTTCTGCGGACCTAGAAGGCCCTCAAGACAGAAACGCCTTTCTGCTTATGGAGCCCTTACACAGAACTATAGAATCCCTTATCGAAGCCTTTAAAGAGGGGCCCACAGAAGCCCTTCTACTTTTCGCGCTTTCCCTTCGCAGCACCTCGGCCGTCGGAATCTCACCGTGGGCAGCCCCGTCTACGACAGAAAAAGGATGAAAAAGGTGTACACAGCTATGTAGTCGTACCGGAGTTGTATTAACGCAAAACTCATCTACCCCCCTAAGCCGCAGAGACCCAAACCTTTTGACCCTAAGCCGAACGCCCTGAAGCTTACAAGCCTAGAGGGAACTCCAGACAGTTGGAATATGGATTAATGGTAGGACAGGATCCCGTATAATTTTCCTCAAAGGGGTTACGATAATGATATTCCAACTTTCTGGCTTCTACTGTAAGGCTTTAGGCTGATGCGCAATGCCCCAATCCCTCAAGCAGTACCTTGGCCCCAAGAAACCTCCGGTCCCCTAAGTCCCCCGCAGCCCAATCCCTCAAAGCCTACACCCTAGAGCCCTCGAAGCCCTAATCTTCCTAAAGCCTTGATCCTGAATCCGCTGAGGAGCAATATCATGAAGATCCTAGATGGTTATTCATTAATACTCGATTTGGGGTTCCTTTATATAAGTATAGTATAGTACACCCTAAAACCCTAGACCCCAAAACCCTAAATGCGCAGAAGACAGGTCCTGGTCCCTGAAAGCGAGCGGGCGGAGCGAGATGCAGCGAAGGCGAGCTACAAGAAAATGGGGGTTTCAGGGCTTGGGGGGGTCTGGGGTTCAGGGCTTGGGTTTAGGGTTCAGGGGGTTTTGGGGTTCAGGGTTTAGCGTTTGGATACCTGGTAGCAGAGACGTCGGCAAAATAGAGATTTGCATACAGTACGCTTCTATACAAGCCAGGTATTGCCTTCAATGTTCCAGGCAGTGCGACCTAATGTTTGGACGTATGTCCATCGACAGAACTAAACCCTAAACCCCTAAACCCTAAACCGTGGTACGTTTATAGATTCGATAACAGGCATCAGAGGTCTCACCAGCCTTACAGCAAGCTCTTCCTGATTGCATTGTCTCCACGGCCTCCCTAAAGTCCTAAACCCCGAACCCTAAATCCGCAACCCCCTAAACTCATACTAGAACCCTAAATCCGAAACCCTACATAGTAGAACCCTAGTCCGAAACCCTACATAATAGAACCCTCGGTTCGAAACTCTTCAAACCTCAACCGCTAAACCCAAACTCCTCGCTTCTTAGCCCAGGCATCGCACAGAGCGCAGGAGGTGGAGGAGCGCCGGGCCCTGAACGAGGAGCCTGCAGCCGGGGCTTCTTCGGTGCTTCGGTTACTCTGTAGGGTTTAGAGTAGGGTTTTTAGGGTTTTTTACGGTTCAGGGTGTATTGAGAGTTTTTGGGAATTTTAGGGTTTTACGGTTCAGGGTGTATTTAGGGTTTTAGGGTTTAGGTTTTCAGAGTTATAGAAGACTCTCGCGGCGTTAAAAACCAAGAATAGGGTTCGGGGATGTTGCAGTAGATTCTACAGGGGCTATAAGGGCATCATATTCCGAATCGTTCAGGTTCTTATGATAAACGAGCATAGAATAGAGAGGATCCATCTTGAGGGGGTTAATATGAGGGGTTTAGCAGGGCGGTGGTGATTTAATGATACTTGTTCTATAAGGGCTGATCAGCTTCTATTGTAAGGGTTGTATATTGGTGTATACAGGTTTTGTGAAGGCTGTCTCAAGCCATTTAAAGGTGTTCGGGTTTGCTTCCAGGATTTCGGCACTTGGTCGAGAGTGCAGTTACAGTAGCGACACAAATGGCTACGAAAGATCTCAGAGTTCCAGTGCTCGTAGAAAAACCTGCGATAAAGGCCTTGCCTTAAAGTCCGAAATGCTAAAAGCCCCACAAGCCTTATAAGCTCTATTAGCCCTCCAGTGTCCTAACCCCCCCCTCACAGAAAAACAAGCTCGACTTCTTCTGTGGATGAAGGAGCGCAAGAAGCGCCTTTCAGAGGGCCTCGGGATGCGCTTCACTGCGGAGGCAAAACCTCCAAGGGGTTTAGGGTTTTAGGTACCTTAAACCCTGAGCCAAGATTCCACCGGTAAACCCTGAAAGCTACCGTGAACCTTAACAGTACACTCTACTACGTCTTCAACGAAGGGCTTAGGCGTAAGGTCGAGTCAGTGCAGCGTCTATGTGGGTGATCCGGGGGCAAAGGTGAGGCTACGTCTAAGTCGGACCATTTTGTTTGGTTCATAGCCGTGCGTAGCCTGCCCGCCGCGAATTGCAACCCGTAAATCCTGGAGGCTATGGTGGCCCGCGGCACGTGAAGAGGCCGAAGGGCTGCGGGTTCTGGTTCGCAGAGCGGCAAAGAAACACGACAGGAGCAGAAGCTTGGGCACTTGTGTTTCTAGGGTCAAAGGGCCATCGTGGCTAAAGCCGGCATAGTCACAGACCCCACGCCGACGTTGAGAGTGTCCACAGGTCTCCATCTCTCTGGATGCTCGCTCAGCTTTTCAAAAAGCCGATCCTTGGGGAGGGGGGGGAGGTGGGGTGTGTATGGCGTGCAGTTTCTCCCGTGTTGTTTTTCACTGAGTATGGCTTTGTGTACAGTGACAGGCCTTCTGTGAAGATTATCTATGGAAATCTTCTTGACGATGTTAGTCTTCCTGATGGTGAATATTTTGCATGATGGACGGCGCGAGTTAGTAAGTAATTTTGTATGCACTGCGAAACTATGCTAAGACACTCGTGCACGATGTGCACTGTTTGTGAGACCTTTAGCGGGGAGTAGCAAAATCGTGCACGTAGACGTGCAACCTACCCCAGCCTGCGCGTCGGGTACATGCGTGGCCGGGTACCAGACACAATTGGAGCATGGGGGATCTGTTTCCTCTTTCTGCGGGTTACCTTTTCTTGAGAAAGGCGCCTCGAGTTGCAGAATCACATGTGAGTGGTCCACTACAGGCTATCGTGTTCTTACAGTCCACGATGGCAGATTGAAAGAAGCGCAGGCCCTGCTGTTCTAGGCCCCACGCAATAGTTTTTCAGGGTTTTGGTCCTAGACATTCGGAGGTTTTGGGGTCGAGCTTGATTCGCAAACTCAAGCTTCAGCGGAAGCTGCGGGTACTGATGCTGAGAACCATACATGAGAAAGACGAAACAGTACGATCACACGTCCCCTAATGGCTTAAACCTAACGCCTAAGTCCGGAGTCCTAATTCCCACACACAAACTTCTGTATCTTATACCCTCAGCTCTCAACCCCAAACTCTAAACCCTAAACCCTGATTCACGAGGAGACCATGTAAGCATGCCCCGTGTTGCCATGGCTTCGATGCAATGCGCGATCCAGGTCCTGTGCGGCATGTCTGAACACTTCCTTTGAGGAGAAAAGGAAAAGGATTGTTTCTTGGTGGTCGTCATAAGTAGCCGTTGTACTCAATACCAGAGTAGCTACTCGAGATGCTAGTCAAAACGAACGTTAGGAGCCAGACTAGCCGAATTGAGAGCAATCGTACTCCAACGGAGTTCGATGACTGTAGCCATGCAGCAAGTTCAGGGTATCTTGCAAGCCATTTCCTTGTGCCGGACAAACTCAGCTTGAGTCAAGCGTCGCGATGGTTGGATCGCTGTTTCTGAGATTACCCTCGTGAAGACCGGACTTAGGCGATCTAATCGTGCAAAACCCAGACTAGCCCTGATGATGGACATGGTTTTGTTTCTTGGTGGTGCTGGTGACGATGATGATCAATCATGATACTGACGACGGTGGAAAGAGGGAGCAGAAGGCTTGTGATGCCAGTGCCTTCACATCCCCCTCCTCCCTGTGCTCCTACTACCGCCGTGTCTAGTAATTCCACTGCACTCGCAACGGCCAGGCGGCGTTTTGAGTCGCCAGCAAGATGCAGACGAGGACATGATGGGGATGAACGTGTGCAGTCATCAGTAGCACTCGCAGCCGGCGTGCAAAGAAGTCTCACAATCGTCACAAGCATTAGAGTAGTCAGATAGTTATAAGCAAACAGCGTGACAGTTTGAAAGCTTCGTTTGTCGCCAAGATCTAAGCAAACGCCTATCGTCCCTCATAGTCATTAAGATTCGGAGGATGCGAGGCGGAAATTCCGCGTCCAAGCCCTGGGCGATGAGCCCTCGTCGTCCACGGTCGGGCGACCCTGTAGAGCCCTCAGGTCCAAGATGGCAGTTCTGCGAGATCTTTACACGGTTGAGGTATTTTAGAGTATACTCTACAGTAACATGCAATACTAACTATACTACGTATCAACATGAGGTGAGGCCCAAGTACTGTGCCTATGATGGGGTTCTGAATGGCATCCCTGCCCGTAATGTTGCGGACTACTCGCTCCGAGCTTTGAGAATTCAGCAGCTCGATGCAAAGTGCTAAGGCGGCCATGAGTGCATAGGGTTTAGGGTTTAGGGTTTAGGATTAGTGTATGCTGCAGAGAAAGTCATGCACGCCTGGGTCTACAACATGAACAAACAATCACGTCCATCGATTCGTAAGTGCAGCTATTGTTGTCGTCACGTGAATGAGTGAGTGAGTGTAGTGTGGCGGGGTAGCTTGTGCCTGCTAGAGCAGCTGAATGATAAGGAACCCTTGAGCACAGTATTCCTAGTAACTAGTAGTTAAGACGCTTGTATGTTCTAGTATCCTTACGGATCCCTTATGGTAGCTCTTATGACCCCCTGTGACTGAGGTGTCTTTCTGGATCGCGCCTCCTTGTGGGGCGTCGCGTCACGCTTCGGGCGCTCGGACTCCTTCTCCGACGCCTCCATTTCTGAGCTGGGACTGGAAGAGGTGCAACATAGGGGCCTGAATAATTCGAGTCGGGTTTTGGCATGAGAGGACAAAGTCGGAGGCGAATGAGCTTCAATTGTGCATCAAATAAATCAAACGACTAGTTGAGCCTTGAGCTTGTCGTCTCACAAAGCTTTGCAATAATTCCATCAATGCCATGCAACATCGAGCCATACTTCATAGAATAAAGTTTCGCGGTCTATTGTAGTATAAACATAATCAGGAACCCCAGAAAACTCGATACTAGTTATGAAGGCTTCCATTTTCAGTTTTAGGTTTTAAGATGCCAGGGAAGCGATCCTAATATGTAGACTAAAATACAGACGTAACCTCGCAATCATCATTATTATGATAACCCCCCCTTCCCCCCCCCACAAGCGAAAGAAGCTTCCAGGTCGCTGAGAGCTTCATGGAGCCCTTCATGCCCACGGAGCCAGTGCTGACGCATGAGGTTTCTGAGGCCCCCCACCAGGATCACCTGGGGCTCCCCAGCGGCGAGGAAGATCCTGTGAGCATCCAGGAGATTTGGGAGCCTGATTCTGGCAACGTGCTGATAGAAGAGCAGGATGAGTCCAAAGAGGGCCCGGTATCGAGGCTAGACCCGCCTGCTACCTGCGATATTGACTGCGTTGAGCAGCCATTCTACACCTCTCCCGCGTCCGAAACGGAGGGAGGCTTGGCATCTGCTGTGGACCTTTTGGTGTCCCACCCTCGGCAGTCAGTCTTTCAGACTCTGGAGGCTGTCGACGATCTGCAGGGACATGGCCCGGCTCCAGAATCTGACATTCCATTGCCAGCATTTCCGGGTCGGAGCACCGCCTGGTCCTTCACCGACTCCTTCGAGCAGCTGACCCATGCAGGCGCTGCATTCGTTCTTCAGAACAGGCTGCGAGACGAATTATCAGCTCCGCCTTGCATGTTCGGCAGATCCCACGTCAACATCCTGGCTTGCCCGGCTTTCTTACATCGGAGTGCCTGCAGGAGCCTTCATCATGTTTCACGAGCAGTACCGTTAATGAACTTTCGCCAGTTGGCTTTGCCAGCTCACGAGCCGGACCCCCCATCGCCAAAGTTTATGGCCCTGATCGGTCGCTGCAGCGCCAAAACGGCGCAGCTGGGCACTTCGGCGGATCTCAACCTGGACTTGGAGGTTCATGGGTACTTATAAGCGGGGTTATAAGTAGGGCAACTATATTTATGAACCATATTGGGGGACTTATAACTCCAGTTATAACTACCCATGAACCTCCAAGAAGGCGACCTCAGCGCCCAGACGGATCAGTACTTCCAGTGCTGCTCGCAGCTCGTCCTTCGGGGAGACGGCCAGCGTGGAGTCCCTGAGCCTGAGTCCCCTGCGCCAGCCGCTCACAGCTGAAGAGATGCAAGCCGCGCGCATGGGCTTCTTTTTCGAGAAGGCCCCGGGGCAAAATGTAATCACTGCTCTCCCGATCATGCTTGCTGCACGGAGGAAGCCAGAGTCGTCGAAGACGACTTGGAGGACCGTCCCCTGTAGCAATACGAACAGGGTTCTAGCTGTTTTTATAGGAACTACAAGGGCATGATTTTACCAAGTCTCCCGACCCTAATTATGAGCTATTGGATCTTGGGGCCTTTGGCGTTGACGCGCTGGGGAGGAACGTGACAATTGAGAATGGTACAGGGGCTAAGCATCATCGTCTTGAACAAGATAATGTGCGTGCCTGGTATATCACACATGGAAAGTGTTCTGATTACGTGAACAGAGAGGTCACTATCTCATGACCATGGTGCAAACCAATTGTATTTTCTGTCGTACAATTGAACTCCTGTGGACTCTAGCACCAATGTTTTGCAGGCAGCGGGCAGGAGGAATGAGGAGGAGCAGGACCAGCAAGGGGAAACAGTAGAACCAGAATAACAACGATTTGAACAACGTAACCGTAGCGGCAACAACAACAGCAGAATCACAGTCATAGCCATCGTCATGATCATCTTCTTCACCGTCCTCCTCCCTAGCAACTGCAACAACGACGCCCGCACTGCCCTTACAGTTTGGCAGGCAGCCCGGCCGGTGCACGAAGACCTCAGGTGGGCCTTGTCGTGGGTACACTTGAAGCCGCGATACTTCCTAGTATACTGCTCCTTTTTAGAATGCCCTTATTATAGTCATCAGTCTAGTCTAGCTGGCTTACTGCCGGCTAGCTGTGCAGATCACATCAAGAGCGGAGTAGAAATGGGCTTGCAGAGGTGTTTGCGGGACCTTTTCATACCACTAAACCATCAAAGCTGATAGAACCCATTTCTAGTTTTTCTAATGCCTTCATACAGTAGCATACCCTTTTACAGACGTAAAAAGCCCAGCACAGGCCTCCGGACACCTCCGAGTCACCGCCGCCCCGCCGCTGCTTCGAATCTCGACGGCCTCGAGAACCGGGGACTCCTGTAAAAGGGGCTCTATAATAAAGGGTTACTATAAGGCTATGTCTAAGACATTATAAGACTCTATTACTATGTATGAGGGTCTTCATATAAAGGGGCCTTAAGAATTAGAAGAGGGTCTCTGTAACAGCTCCTTTCAGAGATCGAGAGGGTCCATTTTGAGGGTCTTGTTGTACGTAGGGCTCAGCGCTTCAGTTTAGGATTTAGGGTTTTATACGGTTACAAGTATTGTTGTGTGGAGTCGGAGGCATCGAGAAAGAGTATATAGGGATGCATCTGGGCCGTTCAAAGTCTTTAATTAGGGTGTCGCGATAGCATAGATCGCTATAGGTTAAATATAGTATATTAGGGATGCTATAGTTAGTATCCAGAGTATAACTATAGTAGACTGTCGTCTCTTATGGTGCATTATAGTATGCTAGAGTAGGCTGCAAGATGTTGTAACCTGTAAGTGCAGCTGATGAGGTTGCGGGTTGATGTAGGTGAGTTGTGGATGTCTGGCTCACGGTAGCCGAAAGCCGAAGTCCTAGACCCCTGATGATCTAGAGATGTTAGGGCTTTAGGGTTCAAGGTTTAAGGGTTTAGGCTTTAGGGCTGAGGGGTTGTTGGGCCACATTAGTCCGAAAATTCAACCCACCTGAAACCCGAAACTCTATGCACTGAGTTGATCGTTGCTTAACCAGCCGCCGGACAGTCATTGGCATGAAGGGTTTAGGAAGTTTAGGACGTTTGGGAGCGCCTCCTTTAGGGTTCCTACAAAGGGCTCCTTATACAGATATCTATAAGAGCCCATTGCAGGGTTTATCGTCGACTCTAAAGCAGAGCTGTGCAGGAAGTTAGGGTTTTATATGTGCAAGCTGAGGAGCTGATGCAGTTCTGTAGTATTTCTTATTATCGCCCTCATGGTAGTTTTCCTTAGTACAACCCTCATGGTACTGTTGCTATAACCTTTTCAATCGAGAACGTGCTTTTGGACCGTTGCCGTCGGGACGGCTACCTACCGGCGCACAGCGATTGTCTGCCGGCTCAGGTCTTGCTCCAGTTCTTAGGGTTTAGGGTTTATGATGTAAGTGCAATGCACAAGCAGCGCCTGATAGAATTTACTTTCGTTACGGGGCCAGGGCATCGAGCAAAGCAGGAGGAAGACCTGGAGCTCTGTACACTGGTCCGTGGGAGGCTGCTAGGACAAACAGAGATCCTTCAGCGGTTTGGAGCCGAGTGGTCTGGACTGGACCTCTGGACCTGACGTTCAGGAAACACGGAAACGCTTGCGCTTCGTCGCCGTCAGGCATTCTGGTGGGTGTGAAGGGAAAGGCGCCCACAACCGAGGATGGCTGATGTTCAACGCGCCTGCGACGTCGCAGCATGCATCGTGCGAACACTGTACGAAGCTAGCATGCTGCAAACAGGAGTGATCCCTGCAAAAATTGGGGTTTCTATGGCCATGTTGACTTGTTGTGTTCGACTGCGGGGCGTTCATGGCGTTCCGACTGTGCAAGCGGGTTTCAGACATTGCGAGGGCTGCCAAGTACCCAAGTAATTGGACAGATGGCAGTCGAGCCGACATCCAAGCCAAGAGGAGGGAGCCTTTGCGTACACTGTGCTAGACATGCAGTCGGCGCTCCTACTGTTTCCGTGCGTCTGATGGTTCCAGACAGTCCATCAATACTAATTACAGCGGTCGTGCCAACGCAGACATCCGTCATCGTCGCTGTCGTCATCACCAGCCGAAGCAGCAGCGTCATCATCCCGATGATCATCAGCGTCCTCGCCGCGACAGCCTTGAACTCTGCAGCAGAGAGAGGGGTGCAACAGCAAGGTCGCCTAAAGCCCAACCCTCTTAGGCCCGAAGCACCTAAACTGACACTTGTAGCCTACCCAGCCCTTAGCGGCCTTAGCCCTTTCCTAGCAGTAGAGTGGGTAGGCAACCTTTAACCTTTTTTGGGCAGTATAGTCCCCATATAATCCCTATATAACCATAACGGTTAACCTTTAGTTCCCCATGATACCCGACAAGTAGGCTTTCAAAAGATCCTGAAGCCTACTTAAAGGATCATGGGACTTAGTAACTAGGGTTATAATTTGGGTAACTATGCTTATCACAGCTTATATGCAAATTAAGGTACTTGTAACCTTACTTACTAAGTCCCATGATCCTCCAAGTAAGAGTTTCGGGTTCAGTGTTAGGTTTGGGTTTTAGGGCTTTGTGAGTAAAAACGGGATCGCGGCTTGCCTCTGAACTTTGAACCTCTGTTTAACCCAGTGTTTCAAAGAACCCTGAAGCCTAAGCTCCCATTGAAAAAAAAATCGAGGCCTGCTGCAGGCCCTGGACCTGGAGGCCGGCGAAGCGCCGGAGCAGGAGCCCCACCGGCACAAGGACGCCCAGTGGAAAGCTTCTCGATGTTAGGGCCGTTACCTAAACCCCCCAAAAGTAGGTTAATTGAGCACAGAAAGAAGCCATTGCACTTGCAAAAAAAAGTAGGTTAAATAATGGCGCAAAACCCTACAAGGGCTGTTATTCCACATACTTGTGGGGTCCAGGTAGGGGTCCTTTTTCGGGTGGTCATGTTTCAGGATCTTGGTGCTTAGCATTTGTGTTAAGGCAGGAGAGTTCTGTCAGTGTTGTGTGCTTTCCCGTCGGCACTTCCCGGGCTGTGGGAGTGGTTTCGTTTCGACTGGATCTTTTGGACCAGGTCTACAAGAAGCTTCAAGCCGCCGTAGGTCGCGAGGTGCTGAATGAAACTGCGAGTGACTGGCACTTCGTTCCGGTGGCAGCGAGTGCACCCACGGCACCTACTGGTAGCTACAATATAATACAGTTTAATTGAATAATACTGTAGCTGTAGTAGTATTGTACTGTATAAGTACAACGCTTTTTAGCACACACAAAACTCGGCTGCTTTTTCTGGGCTGACGCCTGTCAGGACTGGTGCACCAGAAGAGGCTTCTGGCAGCGAACACGGCGAGCGGGAAAGTGGCCTTTAGACTTTGATGCGAGTAAAATATAGTCAAAATATAGCATATATACATATACATATACATATACAATTACATATACATATATACATGTGTATATATATATATGTGCGTATATATATATGTATATCTAAATATGTATATATATACATATATATATATAGATATATATAGATATAGATAGCTTTTTATCTATAGGGTGTTTGCCATCCGGTGTCAGCGAGAGTTCCCTTGGGCGTCCCAAAGAAGCGATAGCATACATTGTGGTGATATCGTAAGGGAAGGCCAGGATGGGCCAGGGCAGGCATCATGCGTCATATTGTATAGTATGTATTCTACTATACTCAACTACGTATGCTCTATTGTACTGTATCATACTTTGCCCATACGGCTGATGGACAAAATCCTGCATTACCCATTATCAGGAATACACCATAATTCCCATAGTATATGGTCCTGAAGGTCATGCAGGATTTTGTCCATCAACAGCACTACAGTCATTTCATGCCACAAAGTCAAGGCTGCGAGGCTAATTTGTGCCTTCGAAAAGGGCTTCTTAAGTCCCGACTGAAGAACTTTCGCGCTTCGGCTTCCTTGGGTGCCTTTTAACAGGGATCCCTCAGGGTTCCTTACTCGTACTTACGAACTATGTTGTAGTAGAGCAATTATTGTGGTGCTTAGGGCCCCTTGCTGTAGTTTCGTTTCGTATGCACCCACGGAAAGTGGAACCGAATTCGGAAAGCTCTTCATGTACATTATGTGAGAACGGTTGCATGTGGGGGGTTGAAGGTTTGGTGCTTCGTTCCGCGGGTTGGAGGTCGCAGGCCGGACGTATAAACGGATGCAGTCAAAGGTTTACGGTTTTCCGTCTGGTGATTGGGATGGACCGGATGCTCTCCTCCGTAAACCCTAAACCCTCACCTAAAACCGCCGGGCCCCCTAAACTCTACACTCTAGACCGTAGGCCTTAAACGTTAAACCCTACCTCCAAGAAGCCCTAAACCCCAAACCCTAAACCCCAAACCCTAAACCCCAAACCCTAAACCCTAAGCCCTGAACCCCAAACCCTACTCTTCAAGTTCGACCTCCCACCCGTCCGAGACATTCCTCTGCTCTCTTCGCGGGCAGCGCTGCTGCGGGAGAAAGGGTGGGTCTGTGTTGCAGCCGTAATATGTGGGCTTAGCAACTACCGATATTCATTCCGTGGAGTTCATAATTATACGAATACACAGAGAGAGAGAGAGAGAGAGAGAGAGATATATATATATATATATATATATACATATATATATATATATATACACATATAAATACCGCTCGTAAAAAAAGCCCAAACCTGGTTTTGACTACTAAAGTTACTGGAGCCGCATGGATCGTCAGAGCTGCCGAGTTGAGGCCAACGATCTGCACGAATCGAGTCGAGAATGTGGCCACCTCTCAGACTTATGGCTCAAGAAGACTTTGCCATAGTTGTGTACCATTTTACAGGTTTATGGGTACTTAAACCGAATAAGCAATAACAATGTAAATTTTAATCCCGTCCCGACCATGAACTAGAAGACTAAGAAGAACTCGAAGACAGCATGCAGAGAGGAGTGATCATGCGTCGATCTCTTTGAGGCTGACAAACTCTTAACCGTTACCCGACTGCTCATCGCAGCTATGGCAGCTGAGACATCTGGTCCCGAGAGCCAGCCGAAACCTGTTGCTGGGGACAGGGTCGTGGAGATCGTGTCACGTGTTCAGTTGAAATTCTGGGTCCGTATCTGGCGGCGGCACAGTACTCGTAGCGGGAAGTTGCGGTCTGCTTACAAGAGCTTCCTTTCAGCAGCTTTGAGACAACAGCAGATGTCGAGTACTCATGTCCGTGGTGCTGCAAGGCCTCGCCGCAAAGGCAAGAGTGCTGAGTTTCTTTCTAAGATGGATTTAAGGCCTTTACAAGAAAACATGGTAATAACACATTAATAGTACAGTCTACTGGTTCTAGCGAATGGAGTATGTATTACATTGTGGTATGTTATAGGTGATGATAGTATCATGGTAGTGTGATTCTTTTCAGACCCGCCCCCCCTTGCCCCGCCGCATCCCAATATCTTCAGCGCTCGGCAGGATGTCATGCACGTCATCGGCAACGGTCCAGCAGTTTTGCTGGAGGCCGGAAGCAAACCCTACATGTGTATGTACATGTATATAGAATACGTATTTATTTTGCATTTGCCTGAACATATTTATATGCGCTCTCGCGTACAGGCTGTTACATCGGGATACAAATGGATACATAGATAAATAGTTAGTTAAAGACATATATATATATATATATATATATTCATACATATCAAACATTCGCAATGATACGGTGAGCGCCCAGCACGCCTCAAAGTGTGCACTCTGAGCCTAGCCCACTAGCTCTCCTCAGGTCGTCATGAGTGGCTCCGACATCGTGGCCTACAAGGCCTCCGGTTCTATCGTTTTTTGAGTCTTCATTCGTCTACTCACAGTACATGAGTTGGTATACCAGTCTTGGGTGTGCTCGGCATCTGCATTGCTCATGGCCTTATCCTGACAGGTACGATATCCGGATGGTACTCAGGACTTGCTTGAACGAAGCAGCAGCCCTGTTAGCATCGCAGTGCCCAGCTGGCGTTCCTCAGCAGGACAGCGTCATTCCGGAGAAGGCATTGCTGTGTGAAAGACGGAAGGAGGATCCAGTGGTGGCTGACTCAGGGTTCGGGTTCAGGGTGTTTGTCGAAGCTGGTGACCCCTGTAAGGCATGCTAAACTTCGTGCCAACGCCTCAGGGGCCATAACTCTAAACCCTGAACGTGGCCAGAACCCTGAGTTGTGCTGCAATCATCGATGTGACTTTGATATCGAGCTCATAGTAGCAAGAAGAGGAGCACAAAGTGAACCGGACTAGGAACCAGTACTCACCCTGCGTATGATCTGAGCCGTTTCGTTCGTATTTCTAGCGCGATTAAGCGTAAGAGCGTGACTGGGTTTTCCGGCATTGTGTTAAAGAGGGGTCTGAATAATCGAGAAGCATGTCCCTTTACAATTCCCCTACATAACTCTCACGTAACCATTTTCTAGTTATTCAGGCCCCCATATTAAACCCAGGGTCGATCCTCCAGCAGAACTTCGCAGGGACACGCCCGGCCTGTCTTGCCGGGGGGGGGGCCCGTGGGTAGCACGCTGTCATCTTCAAGATTGTTTAGGGGGCCGACATGTTGTGCTTTGGGGGGCGCCGGGGGGGGGGCGGGGGGGAGTGGGAAGGCACCGCGTACTCACTGCTACTCATGGGTACTGCGAGGGTCGACATGTATTCCAAACCCAAACAGCAAGTTTCTGTCTGTGCAAGAGCCGGAAATCCTTCGGCAGAGTCACGATGAGGCAGGCCAAAGCAGTAGTTGGATCAGACGAGAGGCCGGAAACAGAACCCTAACAGTATCCTGATATACCACCGACCTGAAGAAATACCTCCCCAGAAAGGCTTTTGCGCCAGAGTCCCTGTAGTATTCATGTTTGTTTAATATACCGGGGATTCCATACAGGGAGTTGCACGGGCATGTATTCTAACATGGTGCATGATTCTGTACTGTGACTGTGATGCTGTGCATGACATACTTACGGCACGCAGCTATAACATATCGCTTGCCACGTTCATTGTTCTGTATATTGATACCTAGGTGTGATGCCGGCAAGACACGCCGTATGCTAAACGGTAGGCGTCCTAAAGGCAATCACGAGATCATGTTGCACTGCCGCGAGCTACATCACGGTATTCTGTGTATGCTATGCTGCGTTCTTCTGTTAGACAATGGTTCCTTGCCAGTGCTTTCGTGGCTGATGTGCAGCCTTCCCTCGTGGACTATCTACCGATCCCGATAACGGAGTTCGTCGGAGCCGAATCAGCAAGGCCTAAACATCCCTAAACACTTTAAAAACCCCGAACCCTAAATCCTAAACCTTTACACAAGAGCCTTGCTGCTCCTGATCTCCAACTGCAAAAAACGTCCCGGACCTGAGCCCTCAAACACTACAGCCCTAAACTCTACCACCCCCGAGCCTTGAAAGCCGAAGCCTTCAAAGCCTGCTTTATAAGAGATTATTTTATTATAGTAACCTCTGTAGTACTGGTCGGTCTCAAAGTGCCTATAAACTCTAAACCCAGAGCTCCCTTACAGTAGCCCATATACTTAGCCAGGAAGGCCGTCTCGGGACGGCTGCGAAAGCCAAGGCCAATACCATGGTACTTTGATGGTATAGCCAGAGCAACTTCAATATTACTTACTGATAGGAACACTTATGTTAAAGAGTGCTGTAGGGTTCTAAGGGTTCTGCACGGCGCTTACGGCTCAGGGTTTCGGGTTTGGGGTTTGCAGGGCCTCATGATTTGGGATAGACTGTCGCGACCGCCCCCTGATCCACAACTTCTCCTTCATCCCTTGATTTCTCCTCCACACACGTGTGGTTGCAAGCAGGTAGATGTGCTGGACGAATCGCATACCCCGATCTGATTGAAATCCCCCGCTTCACAGCGATCCTCCACAACAGTTCTAAGGTTATTTGAGCCGGAACCCGGTTCGCCAGCTAGTCGTTGTGGTTTCGACTCTTGGCGGACATCACAGCACTCTTGCAGCTCCATGTCCCGATGTGCAAATCTATCGGTATAGCGTGACAACGAAAAAGCGCGCAGACATAATCTAGTTCTACGAATATGGTCATAGAGTGAATAAGTGACTAAGAACTAATACCCGCACGCGCGCGCACGCACAACCACGAGATTCGGACAGACAAACCGACCGACCGACAGACAGACAGACAGATAGACACACGGATACACGGACACTCCGACACACCGTCACCCGCACACACACACACACACACACTCTCTCTCTCTCTCTCTCACACACACTCTCTCTTTTGTAGTCCTCGACTCCACTTCGCACCAGGCCTCGCGTCGCAGCCGTCCCTGGAGAACCAGCCACTCGCCGAGCGGGAAGGAGCCGCTCCTAAGACAACAACCCCTGGCAGAACCTTCAGGTTACCCAAAAAGGCACCCTGTGGGTAGCTGCCAAAATTAGGGTCCCTTTTTGGGCACACTAAATATTAGGTGCCGTGTTATGTTGCGGACCCAAAGAGGGGCCCTAACTTTGACAACCACCCAGATCCAAAACCCCCAGCCGCACCTCCCGTAACATCACGAAGAAGCCCACCTAGAGCCCCGAGCAGCGATCGCAAGTTGTTCTGTATAGGATGTTGTGGCTTGGGCTTGCAGATCAGATACTCAGCGCAATCCCAGCTTTTTCTGAAGTGTGCCAGGAAGCAGCAATCTCCCCATGAGACGCCTGTCCGCCTGGCCAATTTGCTCATGCCAGCGAAAGGGCTTGGTATGTCGGAGCATCTTCAGGCTGCAAGGCATTTCTTCCAAACACTGTAAATCACCAAACTCACCCTCTGCAGACGGACCTACGCCCTACTCCTATGCCGTCCTATGCCTCGCATGCCAGCCCCAGATAAACCCGTCAACCCCTGAGCTTCTAAACGCTAAGCCACAAGACTCCGAACCCCTAAACCCTATTATAAACCCTGCACCCCTAAATTCCTAAAGTTCAAACCCTACCTGTCGCACCAAGCCCTACAAAATAGTAGGCTACGACCCCGTATTGTTATATATGGGGTCTAGTACTTCAACGGCTAGGTTTCGGATGCACAGGTAAACCACTGGTCCTTCAACCCTAGAAACCCTGCTTAAACTCCTCAACCCGAGTACCCTACACCGCGCTACCTCACACCCCTCTAATCCTCAAACGAGTTTCAAACCCAAACCCTAAACCCTAAACCCCTAAACCCCTAAACCCTAAACCCCTAAACCCTAAACCTTAAACCCCCCCAAAACCCTAAACTCCTAGAGCCGAGCGATGGCGTCCAAAAGGCTCTACCTAGACCCCCAAAAGTCGTAAAATAATGGCCCAAAACCTATTAAAAGCTATTATTCTACATGCTTTTGGGGTCCAGGTAAACAACTCTGGTCCTTGTTGGCAGGCTGGCGAGCCCGCGCGGGCCACGTCAGTTAGAGTACCTCGGCCGGGCCTTCGACGACGAGAGGCGCCTTTCGTGAGAAGTGGTTCAGGGGTTTTAGGGTTTCGTGTTGAGGGTTCGGGTGGGCTCTGTCAGCTGCAGTGTTCAGTTGGTGAGAAATAGGTTCTTGTTTGATGGCTTTCGACAGTTTTGCAGGGTTGCATCAGGATGTTATAGGGTTTCTTGAGAGGTAAAAGTGGTCTTGCAAAGCAGCTAAAATTCAGGATGATACTGTAAGGAGTTGGCTTCTATGCCAAGGCAGGTACCTGGATCTGCCATGAAGCCAATCTATGCAAGGCGCAACATTGCGACTCCGTCTGCCACGTTTTCCCTGGCCTCACGCCCAGTCCGGTCCAGTGAAGTTCGCGCATATCCGAAGTTCGAAGCACCGAAGGGTATGAAAATTTGGAGTGTGTCAGAGTTTCCATCATCTGAATCCGAGGTCGCGACCATGGTGGGTCCGATCCTCGGCATGTTGCAATCGGGCCCAGCTGCATCCTTTTGATATCTCTTTCCCGCCAGGTACATCTGCTCAAAGCCTTAAGTAGGACTTACCACATAGAGCGCCATGATGCACAGGGCCCTCGTTGCGTCTCTCCTCGTTGCGTCTGCAAGAGCCGGTTGCACCGTGGAGAGCCAGAGCTGATTCCTGGTTTGGAGTACCATACTTGAATACTTTTTTTGGTACCTGTTCCTTAAAGGAACCATCTGGAAATAAGGAAAAAGTCTATACTTTTTTTCTCCCTGGTTACTTCAAAGTCCAGGCTATGTAGATACCCCGACGCGGATCCTGGGCCATGACAACATGGCTATGGGCCCCATCACGCCACAGTACTGTGCGCAGCTGTGCGCCAACGGAAAGTTTGCCCTCGCCGGCACGGAATTTGGGTCCGAATGCTACTGCGGGGATAAACTGAACACAGGAACACCGCAAAAGTCCGTGAATTGCAGCGCGGCCTGCAATGGAGACGGCAAGCAACAATGCGGAGGCTTCTGGTCCATCTCAGTCTTCGATGTGAAGTGCTCCGGCGCGCCCGAGCCGCCCCCAAAGGGACCCCCGAAACTGGTGAACCCCTGCTTGGAAGAGACGAAGTTTGCCAAGATGCCCTTCTGCAACAGCTCTCTTGCCATCGACGAGCGTGTCGCGGACGCTGTAAAGCGCATGACTCTGAAAGAGAAAATCGGAGCGCTTGGTACAGACACCCCTGCGATCTCGTCTCTCGGCCTTCCACGGTATAACTGGTGGTCGGAGGCTTCGAGTGGAGTTGCAGATGCCGGGAATCTGCAGACTACGAAGTTCCCCTACCCCATCACCACGGGCATGAGCTTCTAGGTAGGCCTTTGGGACATTTCATATTTTCCCCTTTTGGGCTTAATAGGGTCCTATCCACGAACATTTTTCAGAGGCTTTAAATTGCCAACCTAGGCTTCAATCGAAGCCTCTGGACGATGGTGGGCCGTCAGATCGGCCGAGAGGCGCGAGCGGCAATGAGTCTCGGCCCAATTTCCGACTCTGTGCTGTGTTGGGCTGGGTAGTACAGGGGCCGAAATGATTACCAATACTAAGTTTGGGGTTCATTATTATATATTGATATAGTAGAAAGGAATCCAAAACCCTATTCTGCTTATTAAGGCCCTACATTATTCGTTTCCATTGGGCGTCGAGTGAGAGTATGCAAGCTGATAGTAGTCTTGAGGATCATCGCTGAGGCATGTTGTTGGGGTTTCAACAAGCCGTGTTTCGGAAACCCGAACTTTCAGCTTGTTCCGGGTGGCTGTGCCAGTCCATCGTTGGCTTGCTGAGTTCAGAAATGTGCCTGCAGACTTGAGCAACTCACATATTTAACTAGTAACTAGAGCTCATCAGCATGACGTCTCCGTGAGCTCCATACGACCCTCAACGCTCGAAAAAGTTGAAGCTCTAGGCTTCAAACTCAATACCCAAACCGAAGCCCGGAAGCATCCGCACATCGCCAAGCCCTAAATCTGAACGTTTCGCAGCACTTTCTATGCACTTCCGTGTCTGGCCTACAAGTACTCAGCGGGATGAATATCGGAGGGCAGAAGTTGAGGCCTGGGTTTTACCTTGACCCCTAATGCCTATTTTCCTGACAGACGCAAGGAAGTCAGACTAAGGGGTGCAGGTAGCTGTTAGTTAGGGTTTATGCTGTTAGGGTTTAATTAGGTTTTACGGTTTTTCGAGTTACCAAGCCCATGCTCAACATGTCGTGTCAACCTCTCAAGGTTCTTGAGAGTGTCTCCTGATGCTGTGTCGTTCACTTCTTGGCTTAGCGTCCGAGAAGTCTTCGTATTCCTGTCGTCAAGTTAGCTGCTTCTGTCCGAGCGTGTTTTGCACGGAGTGTTGACAATGTCAGCGTGTGCAGGGTATAGGCATGGGTTCAACCTGCATACCTGTTGCAGTGTGAGAGATTGCGTCAAGTCTGTCTGCTAGCGGCATCTTCTGGCAAATCCCTAAATCCAAGGGTAAAAGGAGGGACTCTTAATAAGGACCCCTAGGTAATATACCCTTAATATAGCTATTTTGTACCCATTATATAGCCCATTATAGGGTAGGGGTCCCCATTAAGGGTCCCTCCTTTTCCCCTTTGACTAAATATGCTTTTGAAGGCGCTGCCAGAAGCTGTGCATCTGATATCGGAGCACACGCGAAGTAGCGGGCTTCAAGTACTCCAGCAATTCGACCCTATTGTCGGTACCTTAACAATTAGACCAGGAGTTGGGGCATACTATGCTACATTTCCATCAACGACGAAACTGATACTACCACTACCTGGACCCCAAAAGTATGTAGAAGAATAGCCTTTTATAGGTTTTGGGCCATTATATTACATACTTTGGGGGGTCTAGGTAATTATTCCGACCCCTATATTGCACCCAGGAACGTGGGGCAAGCCTTCTCCAGCTTCTGGGCACCGGTGATCAACCTGGCGCGGGTCTCCTGCCTGATTGAAAGATTATATTAATGTAGAAATATGTTAATAGATAGATACATAAACAAGTACATAAGTGTGTGTATACATATATATATATATATATATATATATATATATATATATATATATATTTGTATATATATATATATATATATATATATATATGTGTGTGTGTGTTTGTATACGTATATGTGTATATATATATATATATATATATATATATATACATACATACATACATACACAAATGCATGTATGAGCATGGCAGCGTTCTTTCTCAACAGTGGTCCTGCACCCCCTCACTGGGACCCTCCCGAAGACACGTGCATGCCTGAGCCGAGTTGTTGCATAGCTAGAATCAGAGACGCAAGGCGGGGGCGTCATCTCGCGAATTCCAGCAGAGACACCTAGACCCCAAAAAGTAGACAAAATAATGGCCCAAAGCTTATAAAAGGCCATTATGCTACATACATTTGGTGTCCAGGTAGGAACTGAAGGGAGATTTAGCGAGCATAAACCCTGAAAAATCTTGAGCCCTAAACCGTACCTAGGAGCCGCGCTGGGGCCGCAATATCGAGACTCCTGGGGAAGATCCCTACCTTACTGGTGAGTACGCCGAGAACTTCGTCCGTGGCTTTCAGGAAGCGCCCGAGGACCCTTACCACATCCAGGAGCTCTTGAATTGGGTTTTGGTTTAGGGTTTAGTGGTTTAGGGTGTCGGGGTTTTGGCTTTAGCGTTCGGGGCGTTAACAGAGGTTTAGGGTCTTCGAGCTCGCAAACCTCAAATTCTCAATGCCGATGCCTCCTGCACCGCTTCAACCAAAGCCTCTGAATCTAAACTCGAATTCCCTACGAATACCTCTTTTCTGGTTTTGGGCGCGCAGTCTTTGGAAGTCTATAGGCTGGAAGTATGCACATCACATCTGCATAAACACACCAGTCAAGAGATAACACTCGATGCATGTACGATGATGTAAGAACTGTGAGTGATGGTTGTAGGTGGTGCTGATCGCATGCATACATATCAGGGGTAACAGAAACCGCCAACGTCAGCACCGGCATCACCAGCAGCAGCAACAGGCAACTGTACATATCTCCATGTCATGTGGAGCGTATGTATACGCATACAGTTATTTGCTTGTTTTTTTGCTCAGGCCAACCGCAGCAGTATACTCTAAGCCCCCCTGCAAAAGGCTTCGGCCTGCTGCAAGCACTACGTTGCCAACGAGATGGAGAGCATGCTGCCTTAGTTGTTTGTTTTATTGAATGTTCACAGTGATTGAAGTGTTGTACGCGGAGAGAATCCCACTTTACCGGATTGGACAGGCTTCCAACATTTCTGTGGAGGTTGCCCTGCTTTTTATTGATAAGCCGGGTTGTTTCACGGAATCACGCGAGTTGGGAAGGGTATACGTAGAGTTGTAAAAGTTATATGCGGTTGGGATCATCCTATTTATATTATAAATGTATATGCTGCAGGAGTCGAGCATGTACTATAGTACCGCAACGTTTGCCCAGTTTAGACAGTTAGGGGCACGCGATCAGTCTCAGATGGTGATCTTGCTGCTTCGGCTTGATCTATCGCTGGGAAACCATAAACCCCGAGACCCGGAAAGCTCCAACAAAGTCAGTACTTATATAGATATATGTATACATATATATATATATATATATACATATCTATATGTATATACATACCTGTATAACACTGGTCGAATCCCAACAGACCCTAAAGATCCTCCGACCTGAGCAGCTGTGGACGAGCAAGGCACGACACAGCCGGATGGGGAGCACCAGGACCGGGAACACGTGGATTCGGAGGTCTCCATGCAGGCAGGGTCTGGGAGTCGTCAAGAATTGGTACTGATAGTACGCCCAGCCTATCCGCACTACCAGTACTTCTGGTACTGCCACGAGTAGTAGTAGTAGTAGTAGTAGTAGTAGTAGTAGTAGTAGTAGTAGTAGTAGTAGTAGTAGTAGTAGTAGTAGTAGTAGTAGTAGTAGTAGTGGTAGTGGTAGTGGTAGTGGTAGTGGTAGTGGTAGTGGTAGTGGTAGTGGTGGTAGTGGTGGTGGTAGTAGTAGTAGC